GTGGCTTGCATAAGAAGCAAGCCACTCTTGGTGGGATAGTCCAGGGTACGGAACAGCTTTAAGCCCAAGGACTGGATTCTAATTGGGAGATGCATTCCAAGGGTGGAGGAGCTCCAAATTACCTTCAGATAAATAACTACCCCGAGGGGAAGAACTGAGCAAAAGCCAGGAAGCCACCGAACAAAGAGTCCTCAGTGGAAAAAGGGAATCATAGAATAGAGTTGGAAGGGGCCAGGAATGTCATCGGGTCCAACCCCCAGCTGTTGCAGGACACCACGTCACACCATCCCACTCAGAGGGCTGTCCAGCTTCTTCTGAATGTCTCCACTGTGGGAGAGCCCCCACCTCTCCAGGCAGCTGGTTCCACTGCTGCATTGCTCTGACCATGAGGAAGCTTTTCCTGCTATCTAGCCTGAGCCTGGGCTGTCGCAACTTGAATTTATTATTCTGTGACCTACACTCCCGTATCAGCGAGAAGCAATATTGACCTTCCTCTTTGTGACAGCCTCTCATTCTTCTCTTCCCATAGCTGAACACACCCAGTGTTTCCAAACCCTGGACCATTTCTGTTGACCTCTTCTGCACCCATTCTAGCTTTTCTGAATCTTTCTCGAATCTTGGTGCCCCGAACGGGACACAGTATTCCAGATGAGGTCTGACTAGCAAGGAGTATAGAGGAACTACTACTTCTGGTGATTTGGAAGTAATATGTCTGTCAATGCGTCCCAAAATAGCATTTGCCCTTTTTGCCACTGCATTGCATTCTTGGCTCATATTTAGCTTGTTCTTCGCAGTAATGCTAAGGTCCTTTTCAAGTTCTGTTGAGCTGCATATTCCCTGTTTTGTGTCTATGCATTTGTTTTTTTCCCCAGCTGGGGAGGGACTGCTTCAGGAGCCCCAGAGGGCTGATTGGGGAGCCCAGGCAGGCCGGTTTGATGGCCTGGTCCTGCGGTTGGAACTGGAGAGACCACTGCAAATGTGGCTTCCGATCTGGGGAAACCCTCTTGATCCTGCAGTGATGCAGTCCAGGGATTTTCAGCTCTGGGTGTCATTGCCTGGAGCCCATGAAAGGCCTTCTCTTTGGATGGGGAATCGCATAGTTCAAAATGTGGTAGACCAGTCCTGCTGCCCGTGAGTGCTCGTCTTCTTGTTGGCCCCAGAGTCAGGTTCTACAGAGGCTGTGAGAATTGCGCCAGCTTCCACTTCTCATTTCTCAGGCTTTCGGAAGTGCTCCGCATCTCTCACTTCCTTCTCGCCACAACTTCTGCCTTGCCCTTGCCTTGCAGATGGTAGCCAGGCAGCAATGGGAAGACTCAGGGAAATTCTCCTGCTCTCATTACAGGCAAACCGGCCCATGTGCGTGTGGGAGGACTGTGAGCTCCGTTCAGTTTGGACCTGGGTGTTCTTCCCAGTTTAGTCCGGCGCTAGATCCAGTATACCACAGTGGCTTGGTGCCGCAACTGGCGATGCTCGTCCCTGTTGTGTTGCCTGATCCTAGTCCCTGTGTTCTGGCCCTTTGTGTTCTTCATTGTGCTTGTTTCACGCCATTGTGTGTGCGCGCGCTGTGCTTCTCCAAGGACTCATGAGCAGAGGACTTGGCACCTCGAAATGGCCCGTCTCCGTTTCCCACAGATAGTCCTGCAAGAAGCTTTTCCGTTTCTAGCTGTTCCACAGAGGGAGACCTAGACACACCCCAGGCTTGCGCTTTGCACTCACGCTTCTGCCTCCTGTGCCGGTGAGGAGCCTGTGCCATGTGACACTAACCTGGCGTGTTCGCATCACATCTGAAACTCCCTGGCCTGTCAGAAGGCCCTCTGGCCGGTCCTTTTCCTGGGTGGTGAGTTACTGACTGAGATTATGGGTTACAAGGGTTGCTAGCTGGCCTAGCAAAGCAGAAAGCAAAGCCACCTGGACTGTTCCAGTGGCTTTAGCTCCAGGCTGATCAGGTGTAAACGGTGGGCAGAACTTGAGTTGTTAAAGGCATAGGAGCATCTAGCAGGTACTGGATGGTTGTGAACAGAAGATGCAGTTGACTGGACCTGCTGAAAATCCTGTGGATGCGGAAGAGCAATTGCACAATAAGATCCCGGTGGACGTCCTAGGATTGTTTTAAGGCTCTGAAAGGTGCCGTTAGCCTCCTTCAGCTTGGCATGCTGGCTGAGTAGGGCTGGGACTTGTAGTCCAAGACTTCCAGGGGGCATCAGGTAGAAGGAGGGCGGTCCACTCTGATGAGCAGGAATGCTCTGCCATCTCGCTGCACTGGGGATTGGACCCAATGGCCTTCTTGGCTCCTCCTGACTCTTCTACTCTGTGATTCTGTTCTGTGATTACATGCACGTCCCTCCTTCCTTCCTCTTGCAAGGAACCCAAGGCAAAGTGCGCCTTCTCTGCATTTTACCCTCACAACAGCAACCCTGCGAGGTGGGCGAGGCTGGCCTGAAATGGTGCAGTGAGCTTCACGGCCAAGTAGGGACTGGGCCTGAGATAAGATCCAGCGCTTGCACTGTTGTACCACACCGGCTCATTCTCTCGCACAAAGAAAGACGTGTCTCTGTATGAGTCCCGGACCTTCTGCTTTCACCTGGCTGCGGCCACTTCCGTTTTTCTCCTTTTTCAGACATCCTGCACATAAATAGCGCTCCTCAGATATCATCCTGCTATTGCTCATGTGTCTTCTTTGCTGCTGAAGAAAGGGATTTTCAACCAAGCTGCCTTTCGTTGGGACCTGGTCTTTGGAAGCTCGTTCTGTTGCCTTGAATCCTCTCAACCATTGAAGCATTGAGATGAGGCAGCCAGAGGATCTTTGCTTCCTAGGCAGCTGTTTTAAAATACTTTGCAGGTAGAGCTGCAGCTTGATCCTTGGATAAGCCTTTGAGGGAATTCATCTCTTTGAAGGGAGCTTCTCACCCAGCTTAGGTCACCGGCTCTTGGAAAAGGTCAGGCCATGATAAGGAGTTCAGACCGTAAGGCAACCTTCTCCAACTCTTTGCCTTCCAGATACACTGGATTACAAGTTCCACCATCTCCAGCTGGTAAGGGAAGCTGGCAGGGGATGCTGAGACACCTGCTTGAGGAGGCCTGCCTTGAGATGTGGCAGGACTCTTTGGGGCTGATGGGACCTGGCAGAAACATAGAAACAGAGCGAGTCAGAAGGGGCCTCCTGGGCCATCCAGGCTGGGAATGATCGGACCCGTTGGGTCACGCGCATCTTGTGGTGGAAGGCTGCTGTGTCCATCTTCTGTAGCTTGCTTGGAACAGTGCGAACGCCTCCAGGGCTACACAGACATTCGTACATAAATGTGCCATGTCCGGTGTGGTCTTCCGGTGATGCATGGAGCACCTCAGCAGCACACGCTGTACTTATATAAGCTTCTGGCTGCAAGAAGCATCTCTCTGTGTTTGGTGTGTGTGTGTTTGGTGCCTCGGAGAGCCCGAAGCTCAAGCCATCTCCCCACCAATACATGTAAATAAATGAATCTATGCATGGCCTGTAGTTCTTCTGCTGTTATTGGAAAGCATCTTCGTAACGTCTGGGCTTGAATGACGTCCGGAGTGACTCAAGGGAGGCGTTCATAACTTAGCTCAGTGAGCGTCTTCTGGCTTGGCTGCTTTTTGTGGTTTATGCACAGGGCTGGTCCAAGGCCTTTTGCTCTCGGAGCTCCAGCAGCCAAGAGAACCTCTGCAGCTGGCTGGGAAGGTGGGAGATGCTGCCCAGCAGGTCCAGAGGGCACCGTGTTGGGGAAGGAGGGCATTTCTGGGGCAGCGCAGTATTGGCATCCCGGGGCTGCCAGCATGCAGTAGCCTGGGGGAAGAGCACGGCTGGGGTGGCTGCCCATCTGGAGCTGAGCGTGCCCTGCGTGGCGTTCATCCTTCGCCACGCAGCTGCAAATGCTCCAGGGCAGTTTGGAAAAGGCCTCCGGAGTTCCTTTATTTTTCAGCCATCTCCGACCTTTCACTTCCTCCACGAGTTACATCAAGCATGTCGAAAGCTCATTCTGTGTGAAGCAGCCTCTGCTTCTCCTGTTCCTCTCTCTTGGGGCCTGCTTTCAGTTGCGCCGCTCCTTCTCGGATGGGGGGCATCCTGTGTGATGATCGCAAGGCAACTCTGCCACTGCGCATCCGAGTGCAGCCCGAAACAGCCCTGTCCTCCTGGGGGATCGCTTACCAGCAGGCTTGTGGGGCACTCCCGGGCTTTGCCAGAGATTAACCAGGGGGAAGGGGAAATAGAATGGAGCAACCTCAGAAAGCACACGGCTGGTTAGGAACTTCCCTGCGCTGCAACTTTTTGTTGCAGGTGCTACTTCTTCCTTCCAGCAGTGAAGTTTCTGGTGCTGTGATATTTACTGGTTTGGCGATGAAGCAGGGCAGTGGAGAGACACGCTTGGTTTCTCCATATTCAGGGAAATTTCATCTCAATATTGTTTAGGAAACAGGAAAGGAGCACTTTTGAAAATTATTATGCTGGAGACCTCAGGGAGGTGGGATTCTCTACTGTTTTATTGCTTTTTCCTATCATCATCATCATCATCATCATCATTATTATTATTATTATTATTATTATTATTTCATTTCTATACTATTGCACAGCTGAAGATGTCTGGCAGTTTGAAACATTCCAGGCTTCCCACACACAATCCTTAGTAGCATGTGCAAGCCGAGTTATTCTTAAATGCTTAGGAGCAGGACAAAAACCCTTAGCTTTTAAACCTGAAATTTTCTTGTTAGGCATTATACCGGAAGATATTAGCAAACAAGAAATGTATTTGATGCTACATTTAATCACAGCGGTGAGGATTGTGCTTTCTCAATACTGGAAGTGAGGAATTACCCACTGAGGAACTGATTTTAAAAAAGATTCTGGACTGTGCAGAAATGGACAGATTGACTCTATCACTGAAGGAGAAAGAAGATACTGACTTCTATCAAACTTGGGACCTTTTTTATGACTGGCTGGAGAAACGGGACTTGGCTTAGATTTAAAGATGTCTCTATAAATTGATTTGAATATGATTATAGAATGTTAGAAAGATATGTTATAGGGGGCTGACCCAGTACGTCCGATGTATTTGATGATTGATGTTTTTAGTTTTTAGTTTAAAATCTTTATTAAAAAAAATGCTTAGGAGCAGGACCAGAATTAAACACTGACAGTTCTTGGGACTTGCAAAGGAATTTGGCAAGGAAAAACTCTTTCAACCTGAGGGCCAAATTCAAGTGGGGAGAAAGTCTTGGCGTGTGCATGAGTGTGAGCGGCTCACAGGAAAAGAGGGCGTCTCTTCAAATGCCGGTATATTTTAGCTTAGACATCTTACTGCAAGGAGAAATGCCTTAGGAGAGTCATTTCGAGCTTTTTTAGAATGGGGAAACACATAACCAAAAGCCGAGAATTTGCCCATGGATTCGGAGCAAGAGGAGCGTGAGAGAGGAAGGGCGAACGCTTGTCTCAAACTCTGGAGGGCCAGATTTGCTCTGGATTTGACCCAAGGCCTGAGGTTCTGCCCTCCAGCAGTAGAGAACAGTGTGGTGTAGTGGTTCTAGTCCCCACTCAGCCATGGAGCCAACTGGGTGACTTTGGGCTTGTCTCAGACTCTCAGCCCATCCTACCTTGCAGGGCTGTTGTTGGGATAAGATTGAGAGCAGGAGGAGGAAGATGACCAAAGTCTCTACAAGTTCTTTAAAAGGAAAATGACAGGATATCACTCTAACGGATAAACAAATAAATAGGGAATAGTGGACTATCCTTGAACAGACACTTTGGACAGAGGGGACTCAAATTTCCATGGGAAGATGGGCTCCTGCTGTGGGAGGGAATTCTCAATTGTATTTTCTTGGGTCAGTCCCACAGCATGCCTAAGGGACAAGTCAGAGTTGCAGCACCTTTACAGAAGGGAAACTGAGGCTGGCACTTCTGCTGTGTGGCTACGTCTGTGAACTGGAGGGGCGGATATGTGGCCCCCCAGATGTTGAACTTCAGCTTCCATCATCCCTAATCATTGGCCAGATGGGCTGGGGCTGATGGGAGTTAATGGCCATCAACCTTTGGAGGGTACTGGTTTCTCAGCCCTGTTGGAAGCCCTTCGTGGGGTTAATGGAAGGGGACATCCTGCTTGACTTTAAAGCCCAAAATGCCACGCAGCCCATGGAGAACCATTTGTAATCTTATCCTAAGCAAATTTTTCAAACTCTCTGCTCAGTGTGGGGACCTCATCAGCACAACCGGCTATGACAGCATCATCCAACACCTCAATGATGGCAGGAAGAACTGCAAGGAGTTCGAAGACTTCCTGAAGGAGAGGTATGTACCAGTGCCATCTCCGGGGTCAGCAAAGACCCTCGCTTCTTTGATCTTCTCCCAAACCGGTTGGCCTTGGTGATGCCTAAAAGATGCTGCCTCAGCCCAGCAGTGTTTTTTCAGAGCTCCATATGCATTCCCGCAGCCCCGTCGCCAAACCTTTCCCGCCTAAACATGTGATAATTATGCTTATAGGTGCTCAACAAGAAAAAATATTCTTGGCTTTGCTTTTTAGGTTTTGCCACGCCTGCTATTCCTGGCTAAGCTCGCATTGGGTTGTTTTGGCATGTACTGCGAATAGCTTCAGGGCAACCAGGTGCTTCCCTGGGGTTTTTCCTGGTGGCCACCCTTTGGATAAAATTCCACCTTCTTTTCTTGGTTCCCTCTCCCACTCCCTGCTTTTCTGCCCAGTCCCTCTAATGGCCTTGCTTCCCATGCAACAGGGCTTTGATCGAAGAAAGATACGGGAAGGAGCTCATCAATTTATCCAGGAAGAAGCCCTGCGGACAGACAGAACTGAAGTGAGTCCATGAGCTTCTTTGAAAGGGTGTCTTTTAAGAACTTGCCTGGCTCTGCTTCTCTGCTCGGAGAAGCTCTCTCCCAGACTGAGGACTGGATTCGGTTTAGAAAAAGCCCTTCAGGCCACATTTTGGTGGCAGGACAGGCCAAAAGCGTGGTGGGGGAGCAGTGGAAAGGCCAAGGGCAGGACAGGAGATAGAAAACTGCCAGCATGGTTGAGCATTCGGTTTTACGGCCAGAGCCTGGATTTCAGGGCTGGAGGGCAGCTGGGGGACCTTCTCCCATCATGCCCTCGCTCTCGTCCCTGCTCCACCTTGCTGGCTTGGCAGGCAGAGAGAATGGGCCGCATCCTCTTCTGGCCTCCTTCCCTATTGTCTGGGGCAGAATTGGGGACAGGTGAGCAAGCAGGTGGCAAGGAGGGGCAGGTCGGGGGGTCCCAGTGGCAGCCCAGCCCTGCCTTCTGCAGACTCAAGCCCTGCTCTCAGCTCTTGCACCCTAGGGCCTGGCCTAGCCCTAGTGAGGGACCTGGCTGTGGGCCATTAGCCCTCCTGCCCTCCCTCCCTTGATATCCTTCCTATTTCTGCAAGGAATCCAGGGCAGCTCACCTAACCCTCCTCCTCTCTCCATTCACTCCGCACAACAACCTTGCCAGGTAGGCCGTGCTGGACATGAGTGAGAGACCCACAGTCACCCAGGGTGCTTCGTGGCCAAGCCGGCACTAGAGCTGCCTCTTCCGCTCCCGGCCCAGCACTCTGAGCATGGCGCCCTGTGGGGCCTCCTCCTCGCAGGGCGCTTCAGGGCCACGTGTACGATGTGCGGCTGAACCTCTCCGGCCACGTGGTGCTTGGGGGTCTTTCCCTGCCTGTGCTGTTGGAAGGGGCATTGGAGGAGCAGGGACCGTCTCACCAAGTGTTGAGAGTCGTTCAGGTCATCTGAAACTCGCTTCAGGGTTTCCAGCCTCTCAGACTTCTGACCTTTCTTTGTGGTTTTTCTTCGCTTCAGCACCCTGAGAAGAGCCCTGGAGGTTTTCAAGCAACGTAAGTAGCCAGGAGTAAATTTGCGAGCATCTGTGACCTTGATGCAAACGTGGGCTCACTCTGCAATCAGTGCATCCAAATCCATCGCTAATTGCAGGTTGTCTTGGAAAAATGTCCCATATTGTGTATCATTTCCTCTGTTCTTAATTAAACTGTCTTCAGCGGTTTTTCGTAGGCCCCATTTCCTCCCTAGAACCATTACAAGGGAATGTGGAACCTAATCCACCTTTCGAAGGTGGATGGAGGTATTGAGTTCTCATTTACAATTGGAAGGGGCACAGCTCTGCAAAAGAAGTACTCCTGGGACAGGGAAGGGGGAGATGCAGAGAAATGCCCCAAAATAGGGACAGCTTCACTAAAGCAGAGGATGAACGACGCACCAAATTGCACCTCCTGATTTATATTTCTGCATGCATGCTTAGATGTAATAGCTAGACATAATAGCTAGAAGTACAAAATATCTCACCTTGGTGGGGAAGATGGTGAACAGATGAGCTGTTTGCCTCTTAATCAGGTCTCTGGGTGTTGTCCATGGACCACTTTGAGAGCCCCAGTCTCCCTTTTGAGGGCTTTGCTCTTCAAACCTGACTTGCACTGCCCATAAGAAGGGAAAGGGAAAGGGAAAGGAAAGGAGAACAAGCTCAAAGAGAATACTGTTTTCTGACAGCCCTTCAAACAGAGGATTCCCGTCCATAAATTAGGAGACCTTGCCACCCTAGCAGAGTGGCCCTGTTGCTTTCCTCTTAGCCACTTCTTTGGTACAGCTGGAGACAGAGATGATTTGGCTAAAATTAAAGAGAGTGTTGCCAGTTTCATTCAGGGCTCCCTGGTCTCCCCCCACTCAATCATGTTGTGTATGGTGACCACACTTTAACTCTTAATTAAACCATGCAGGGTGTAATAATTGGAGACAACACTCAGACCCTAACCTGCCAAATGTGCCCAGAGCCTGTTTCAATGCCGGGGCCTAGACTTGGTGGGAGAGGATGAAAACAGCTGTCCTTTATTTTGCCAAAAGAGCTAAGCACAGCAGAAAAGCTGCCTGCAGTGATCTGTTTTATTTACATAAACAAAGCCGCTTCTTCCTGCAATCATGGACAGCTGCTGTAAAGCGAAGGTGCAGAATCCCTTCCAGCCCAGGGCCAAAATCAGCTTTAGAGGTGGGCATCACACGGTGGGTGGGACTGGAAAGAGGTGGGGCCGAATGCAGAAGGGGCAGAGCCAGGATGCTAAAGAACACAAATAGGACTTTTTGTTGTAGAACTTTTCTCTGCCTAAACAGGCATAGTAATTCTACTGTAAGAAGAGCAAGATGGAGTAGCTACACATGACTTTTTTTCCTGGGAGCCCTGGAGCATCCCATCTAGCAGCACCCTTGTGTTCCTCCCGTGCAGGACATGGCAACGAAGGCAGGGTGGGTGATGGCGGGCAGCGATTCCAGTTCCTGTGTTTCAGCCTCAGTGTCCCATCTGTAAAACAGCAGGCAGGGTGATTTTTCTCCCAGCGGTGGTGGCTGGGAGCTGCCAGATTGCGACCCGTGTTTCCTCACCGTGCTCTTCCGTGCTTTCAGAGGTGGACAGCGTGGGTCAAAGCCATGTCCAGTTGGCCCAGATACTACGAGAAGAAGCCAAGAAAATAGAAGACTTCAGGGAGAAGCAAAAGCTCCACCGTAAGAAGGTCAGGAGCTCTTCAGTAAAATCTGGAATGGGGTCAGTGGGTAGGACTGCTGCTTTTACCCAGGTCTGTGTGATTGACGCTAATGGGGATTCTAGAACATGTCTCTGTCCCTCCGAAGCCTGAGAAGAGGGTCCACAGACCCTCCGTGTCTTCAGCGTTGATTCTAGCTGGAGCCCAGTCTGCGTTGTGATGCCCACTAGAAGGAAGAGGGCTTAATATTGTTGCTGCTGGTGTGCATCTCTGTGCCTTACTTATTGAGTCATTAAAATATTTCCATCCCATCTTTATCCGAAATGGATTTCAAGATGGCTTTCAAACCAGAAAAGCAACAGCATCTTGAGATACAAATCCAATGTATAACAACATGTAATAAAAGGATTCCATTGTATGATAAAACAATCAACCCTTAAAATACCAAGGGAGCCGAGATTCAAGGTGGATGCCAGAAAGTACTTCCTGACAGTTAGGACCTGAAGGCATGAATGGGCTGCCCCAGGAGGTGGTTGAGGCCCCATCGGTGACGATGTTCAAGGGTAGGCTAGACATGCACATGGTGGGCATGTCATGAGTGGAACCAACTGGAGCCAAGGGTCAGACTAGATGGCCTGTGAGGTCCCTTCTGACTTGCTCTGTTTCTATGTTTCTACCAGCTGAATAAAAAGGTTTTGACCTGGCGCTGAAATGAATAAAGCATCAGCGCCAGGTGCACCTCTCTGGGGAGCAGGTTCCAAAGCTGGGGTGCCAGCACTGGAAAGGCCATTTCCCAGGTAGCTGCTCTTCCAAACTCCTTCAGAGGGAGCTCCCAGAGAAGGACCTCTGCAGAAGAGCTTAGTTTGGGCGGGTGTATATGAAATGAGATGTTCCGTCAAATATCCAGGGCATAAACCATTTAGAGCTTTGTATGTCAAAGTTAACACCTTGAAAGGGTATGAAATTTGAATACCTGCAAAAGGAAGCGAATTTAAAATAGGTTGTCTCATTTGGAGAGCAACTGTATGGACCCTAGGCAGTCCTGAGGAGGCCACGGGGATCCTTCAAAGCCCCAACCTTGGAACCGTGGACCAGGCCCCTCCGTTCCGCATGTGTTGGCTGCTTCTCCGAGGTTGGAAAAGTGACCTTGGAGAAGGGGAAAGGGAGTGTTCTGAGGCACAAGGAGGGGAGGAGACGGGGTGGGGGGTGAGACTCCAGCATATTCTGGTGGCACTCCAGCTTCCTTCCTTCCCCCTCTGAAGTGTTGTGGCAAGATGGCCAAAGTCGGCCGTCTTGCTGAGCTGCAGAGTGTGAGCGGTGGAGATCACCTCCCAGGCCTCGGGCTTTGTGCCGAAGGCCTCCGTGTTTATGAACGACAAAGGCACAACCCACTGGCTTTGCACCCTTTGCAGTTCATACACAAGCTGAGCGTTGTGCAGAATATACAGTCTGTAAGTGGTCACCGGCAGGAGGTGTCTTACGGCTTCAATCTTGGGCATACCTATATGCTTAAAAACAGAGGAAGAAGTCCGAAAGAGGCTACCATCAGCTGGGTATCACAGAGCCCACAGGCAGCGTCAAGCCCCCGGGCTTCAAGCATCTTCTGAACTCTCTCAGGTATCAGAAGGCCTGACTTAGATGCTTGTAGCAAGGAAGTGTGGATTTGCTTTGAAGCCGAGGTGGAAGACAAGACGCAGCATCTCTCTTTCTTGTTACTCCTGTGTGGTCTTCTGTTCTTAGAAGGGAAGACCGTCTCCTTTCTTCTTCCTTCAGTGCAGAACAGATGACTAATACTGGGTACTTTCTCGATAGGTTGAACTTATAATGGATGCCATTCATAAAAACCGGAATATGCAGCACAAGAAGACTCTGGAGGTGAACCGTTGTTCTCAAAATATGACATCAGACCCGCGTCCCTCATTTTCCACTAAGCTTGTATGCAGGCTCAGCGATGCCCAGACTTTGCATAGGAAAACGAGGGAGGAATAATTTCAGTATCCTGTGGATATTTCAACAACTGGCCAGAAACAGATGGGATTCCCTTCTTGCTGGTTTGGTGTGCCCCTTTCCCTCACAGGTCCCTCCTCCCCTCCGTCTGGAAAAATTCAGTCCTTTCCAGTTTGGGAAAAGAACGCTAAGAGCAACTTCATTGCCCTTCCCTCTTTTGCTAAGAAGGTTTTGTAGGTTTCCTGCTTTGCAAAACCTGTTTGACCAGTGTTAAATGTGGGTCAGAAGAAGTGTGTGGATACCATGGGAAGTGAAGTGAAGGTCTGACTCTCTTCAAGCCTCTTGAGCTGGGGAACGAAACAAACCGATGTCCCAAATGTTGTCTGAGAGCGTGGGGCCCTTTCATTTCTCAGCCATATGCTGGCTGTGGTGGATGGGAGTGGCAGTCCCACACACTGGAGGGGGCTGGGTTGGGGAAGTCCGAATGATTTCCTCTGCACTGTTGCCCCTTTTATCTGGTCTCTTATCCACTCCATTTTTATCCTCACAAAAACAGCCCTGTGAAGTAGCTTTGGCTGAGAGTCCATGACTGGCCCAGAGTTACCCAGGGAGCTTCATGGACAAGCGGGAACTAAATGCGGCTCTCTCGTGCTCCAGTCCAGCACTCTAACCACTACACCGCACTGTCCCCTCCTGCAAACTCTTATGTTTTGCCTTTCCACAGGCCAAGAGGCTGTATGAGCAGCGGTGCCGGGACAAAGATGAAGCAGAACAGGCCGTCCATCGGAGCACCAACCTGGTCACAGCAAAGCAACAGGAAAAGGTAACTGAGAAGTAACAGGTGTGGGCGGATTGAACCGGGACAGGGCTGAGGCAGAAATTGTCAGGAAAACAGAACCAAAGAAGGGAGAACGGTGCATTGCAGTGGTGACCCCTACTTTCCAGGCCGTGTGGAGGGGGGCAGGGTTGCAAAGAAAAAGCAGGGGGTCAGTGCATCGAGTTTGCAGGTCTTTTAAAGACAAAAAAAGTTTAACAATTACTTATTAGGAAAACATGGAGGTGGGCAGAGAAAACCGAGGGGTGGCCAGGCACCTCAGCGGACGCTCGGTCACCAGTCCACCGCTTCTCCATGATCGCCTTCTTTTCATGGCCTTCAGCCTCAGCAATTTGCAAGGATGTGTTCTTGCAAGGTTGTTTTTCAGCCATATCTTGGTAGGGATGTATAGGCTACACACCAGACATAAACTGGTGTAACTCCTTTGCCCTGAGGAACCCTGGGGGTCTGGGAGAAGTGAAGGGTTATAGTACAGAGCTATCAGCCTTATCAGGATGCAGCCCCTTCTTATTTTCAGCTTTGTTTGATGAAATATTTGCTAATGTGCACATACACACCCATCAGGCTGCACTTAATTCTTCGGGCCTTAAGCTCAGCTTAGTTGTTGGTGTCAGCAGTGCCCGGAAGTCGCAGTGAACGTTACAGATCTAGGGAAGGCTGAGCTGAGGTCTCCTACTCTTGCTCAAGAAGCTGGCGGGAAACCCACAGGGTCCACTTTCTTCCAGAGAGTGGCTATCCTATTGTAGTCCTGACGGCTCCTTTCCACTTTGCTTCCCTTCCAGCTCTTTGTCAAGTTGGCGCAGACAAAAACAGCTCTGGAGGATTCGGGTGAGTGGCCGTGGGGAGTGCAGTCGCCAGTGTTCGAACTGACCTCCGCTCCTCTGCCCTCTTAACAGCGACTCGCTCTGCAGACGTCTCTGTGCCACGAAAGGTGCCTGGCATGAGATCCAGCCAGGATTAAGCAGGGACCAGGTTGGATGCTTGCGCCCCGTGTGTGGCAGAATATGTCATTTCATGCAAGCCGCAGGGTCACCCGGCTCCCTGGATACCGTTCTCGACTGCCTCCCTCTGCTTGGTGTGCGAGCACGGGGGGGAGAGGCCGAGAGGGAGGAACACAGTGAGGAAGCTGGGTTCAGACAACACAATAACAAGCATTTTGGCAATATCCCACTCCGCCCATGACTGGGTTAGCATGGTGTCTGAATGCTGCAGTTCTGCAGACGTTAGACACGTAGAAACAGCGCGAGACAGAAGGGGTCTCCCAGGCCATCTAGTCTGACCCCTGGCTCCAGCCGGCTCTGCTCATGGAACCCCCAGCCTGATTGTCCGTGTTGCCGGCTCTTGGATCCAGTCCTGCTCACCATCTGCGGTGGCTCCTACAGACTTTTGCTGCTGGTCAGTGATTATTCCTAGGGGGAAAACTCGCTATCCCGCTGCCTTCTGCACTGCCTCAGAGCTCTCTTCCTCCACACACGCACCAGCCTACACGTAATGTGCAAACTCCCCAGGGGAGAGACCTGTCTTTTGTTCGTGCTGCCCCCTCTGGTGCCATGTGCATTGATGCCGTGCCCCTCTAGAGAAAAAAACAGCCATTTGTCCGCCAGGTGAAGCTTGTCCCATTAAACAAGCATGGAGAACCCAAGAGGTTGTGTAGGCAGCCTGGCCTCTCTCTGGGCCCTGGTCTCCTGGCTTGGGGCAGGTCTCCTCCCTTGGCAAATGGTCGAAGTGGCTCTCCTGAGGCCTTGTGGCCGACAGCAAAAGCTTGGGCTAAATTCCAGTGGTGTTTTGGCCCTGCTCGGTGTGCCTTTGGCCTCGCTCCGCTGCCTGATGGCCTCACCAACGCTGGAGCATGTCCCCTCAGCTTTGCATAACTGATTTCGGCCCTCGGGTTGAAAGACATCCAGCACCCTTGCTTTAAAAGCCAGACACGGGGGAGAGGCTTTAGGCCAGCGATGTTAAGCCATTTCGGCAGCCGGGGTGTGGCTACAGGGCTGAATTTAGATGATCTGCTCTCTCGAGATTACAGGTGGGGAAACTCAGGAGAAGTTTCTAGTGGGTGAGGTTGGGAGGCTAAATTTTGGTGCTTTTCTCCCTTTTCTTTAGCATGCAGAAATGGTGTTTTTCTTGACTCCGCTGCCGAGAAGGTGGCGTGCCCGATGGCGATGGGGCATGGTTTCCCAACAACACTCTGTTCCTGGAAGGCCCAGTGGGACGGAGTGTTGCTCCTGGACACCGTGTGAGGCATTGCTGGCCCGGGAGCTCACGGAGAATTTTGTCACGGGCAGGCACCCGCTTTCCAAAGAGTTCAAAGCATGAAACCCCATGGCCATCTTGTAAAGCGGGCGTGAGGGACCTCTTTCAGCCCGAGGCCAATTCAACGGCAGAGAAGCCCCCTGGGGCCTCAGCCCAGTGGTGGGCGGGGCCAGAGGCAAAGGGGGCAGGGCTAAATGCATGCATATTTCGAGCTCTTATTGCTGGTCGTGCAGCTTTAGCGGAAGAATTTCAGCCCTTTTGGAACGGGAAAGGCTACATAAACGTGGCAAAAGCGCCAAACAGCTGCTTGTCGGACAGGAAGGGTGTCGCCCGCTGGCCCAAGTTCAACTGTGCCAGCCACCATTCCCGCAAATGCTGCTGAGTTCTCCTGTCACCCGCTGAGAGCCACGCGAACGTCCACAATTTTGCAGGGATGAGGCAGGGCTGATTCCACCCCTGTTTACTTAGGAGCCTTGAGTTGCCCGAAGCACGAAATCTGGCTGGTTATTCCTGGCGGGACACAGGATCTCTCCTTCGGCCACCAGCCCACAAGTCAAGACATTGTCCGTTCGCTGTCCTTTAATGCTTGGTCTAGAATTGTCCCCGGCCGCTCCTCCAGCGTGACCGGGACGCTCTCCTCTGTTCTCCGATTGCAGACAGGGTGTACCAGATGAACATCGGTGCTCTTGAACGAATCCGGGAAGAGTGGCAGAACGAACACATCAAAGCTTGTGAGGTAAGAAAGCAGCAGGAGGAGGAAGATGTATTTGCCCCTGCTCAGAGCTGGGGCGGGTAGTCCGGCTCAGGGAGACCTTTGCCCTTTTGGCACAGAAAGGCAGGCCAGCCATCCTGGGTTGTCATGCCGATTCACCCCAAAAAGGGAAACTCGTCCCCCAGAAAAAGAGGAACCTGGATTGCATATGACATTATGAGCAGAAATACCGTGCATCTCACAGTCGTGTGAAAAACTGCGGGTGTAACCCATGTGCCTTGCTCAGTCCGCTGCCCAGCACCCAGCGCTGATGTCCTCAAGGCTCAGCATATCCTGGATTGTTATCCCAGACTCTGACCGGACAGCCCTGCAAATATCTTTTCCCTGAAGATATTCCAAATGGTTCTCTTTCTACAAGGGTCATGGCCAACTGGGGCATTGAATTTTCACTTCCTCGTGGATGGTTTGAGTCAAAAATGGAGGTTTCCAAACCTGCTCAGCTAGGGCTGGCGAATTTAGGACCAAGGAAGGACAGGGGTGTTGAGATGAGTCTGATGGTTACAGGCAGACTCTGTTCAAAATCTGGAGTAGCTTCTCCAGAGCTACCCTGCCCTCTGCAAAAAGAAGAAAAAGAAAAGGAATAATTCATGTTGAAGTCGTAAAATCCTGCCTGGCAGAATGCACAGCGTAAGCTATGTCCTTCCAGTGGCTTGTGTGGTTTGTGAATTATTTTAAAAGTTGCGTCACAACATTCCGTTCTTCCTGAGTTTCGGTTCAGGTGTTTTCTTTGCCAAGGTTCTAAAGGTTTTGTGACCATTTTATATTTCTGGCTCTTCCACCCCTGTGCTGAGACAGGGGACAGTTATTTTAGAAAAAACAACCAAGTGACCCTTTTGGAAGGAATTCCATATTCACGTTTTGACTTTGGCTTTAATGCTTCTCCTCTTTAATGCTGCAGTTTTTTGAGAGCCAAGAGTGTGACCGCATAAACTACTTCCGGAATGCATTATGGCTTCATGTCAACCAGCTCTCCCTGGAGTGCGTCAAGAATGACGACGTAAGTAAGGCTGCTTCTGCCTGGGTTTCTGCAGCGGTTTCCCCAACTTTCTGGATCGAGCGCTTTCTTTCTTTTTTGAATAGCCTTGTTGCTCCTGCATCCTCCTGTGAGGAGCCCAAGCCTGCTATGCATCCTCCTCTTCGCTACAACAACAACCCCGTAAGGGCAATTAGGCTGAGATTTGGTGATTGACCTAAAGTTACTCAGGGAGCTTCCAGGCCAAGTGGGGACTCGAACCTGGCTCTCCTAGGACCCATTTCAGCCCTCTCACCACTACACCACACTGCCTCTCTGTGCAGATGTGCATTAATGAATGAGATTTATTGCACATTGCAAATTCCCCCCTCAGCATCCCAAGATCTTTTCCACAAATCTGCAGAATCCACATGACTGAGAAAAAGCCAGACTGTTTGTTTGTTTATATGTTTAAAGTTTTTATAGACTGTCCCATTACTAACATCTTGGGAGGGTTTACAAGAAGCAAAGATAAAAATGAAACAGCATCCACCAAGTCACAATAAAATCACAATGAATACCAATTAAACATTAAGGTGTTAATGTTTGCAGAATCTGCTGGTTGGATTCATGGAAATCCAACCCATTTGCTTCTTGCCCTGAGACATTGTGAAGGGCGGGATATAAAATCTCTGAATGAATGAATGAATGAATTCTGTAGCACACCTGGTGCCTGGAGCAGCACTGCCCGCCTAGGGAGCGGGCCTGGACCACGGCGCTGGCTGCAGGGGCCTGAGAGCCTTTGCTTGGAGCCGCTAAGCGCTTCCTGTTGGCTTGGCCATTTTGGAAGAGGACTCCCTTTTGCGTCTCGCAGAGTTACGAGGAGATCCGGAAGAGCCTCGAGCGGTGCAGCATCGAGAAGGACATTGAGTGCTTCGTGAACATCCGCAGGACGGGTACCCTCCCCCCAGGTAGGTGGACGGGTCTTGGGTTTCTGCAGTCCCCGTGACCTGAGCTGGTGCCTGACGCCCATCTCTCCTTAAATGTGGGGTCTGCCCCATTCATGCGTCAAGGGACAAAGGCCCAGAAGCCACACAGCTGTGTGTGTGGGGAGAGCTCTTGCCATCCGTGGCCTTCTCTTGCACTCTCTTCCTCAAGTCACTTTCTTCCCTGGAAGCTGGCTGGGATTGGGGTGCCGTGGAGGCCAGAAGCACTTGCCACAGCGAGTCTGGTGCCACCAGCTCGCAAGGGCGATGAACGGCTGGTCTCTTGTCTTTTAAAATCAGATTAGAATACCTAAGGACCCTCGTCCTGTTGGAGAGTTCCTCAGTGCTGGAGAGTTCTCCAGGGGCTTGTAAGCATCCAACACAGAGCAGAAGTAGTGGTGGATGCGATTTCCACCTCTGTGAAATGCTTCTCGCTCTGCATTTCGGGAAGACGGCGATTTTTGGAAGGCCGGGGAGCCAGGAGGAAGCTGCGCATCCTGGCAGCTCTGTCCTTCCCCCCTCCCCCACCTGCAAAATGCCTCCTTTGCACAGTATCCTCGCGCCGTAGCCTCGCTGCTGATCTTGCAGGTCCGTTTGCAACCCCAATCCTTCCTCCCTTCTCCACCCTTGCAGCTCCGGTGGTTTATGAAAATTATTATAACTCGCAGAAGAATGCTGTCCCAGGAAGGAATAATGCTCCAGCCCCTGGAAGGTGAGACTCATCAGACCGCTTGGAGTGGTTTATTTAGTTGTATTTGTGCCGTGCTTCTCTGCTGAGATGGGCTTAATAGGAAGCCACAAGAAGGCACAGCAAGACGTTCCCTGGGGCCTCCCAGAACATGCCAGGGGCAGCCTGGGAACTGCGCCCGTGCCTGCCCTTGCAGGCTCCCCTGGCTTCCCCGCTGCCCTTCTACCTCCCTGTCTCCTCCTCTCCCGCCGGGAGAAGGAAGAGAGTTGCCTCATGGGGACCGAAGCATCACCACGCTCTGCGACCGGTCCTGCCATTCCCCAGGGCGCCTGTGATCGTATGTGTGAAGGGCCACTCCTGACAAAGTCCTTGCCCCGAGGAGCCTGCAATCCTAAATGCAGGAGAGATGACAAAGCAGGGGTGAAGAACACGCGGGCCGTGTGTCGCTCGCCCTGGCTTGTTTGTGCGCCCCCCGTTGCTGCTGCCACTGAATTGGCTGCAGCAGTGGCGAAAAACAGAAGACGGGTGGGAAACATGATGTCCCTCTATGAGTCCCTCAAAGGCTGTCACAAAGAGGAAGGTCAAGATCTCTCCTTGCTGGCGCCAGAGTGCAGGACACAGAATAATCCATTCAACCCAGATTCAGGCTGGACATCACGAAAAGCTTCCTGACTGTCAGAGCAGTATGACAGTGAGACCAGTTGCCCAGAGAGATCGTGGGCAGAGACATTCAGAAAGAAACTGGTGTAAATTGGAGTCCTGAAACACCAGAGGATTAGACCCAATGGCCCCTTCCGACTCTGCTATCTATGAATCTATGGTCATCCCCAGGTGGTTTGGCCATAGTTCCTGGCAGTAGGAGCTTTAAGCTAAAGACGGCGGTTATTTTGGCTCTTCTCCTTCAGCCTTTAGTCCCCCCCATCCTAGACCTGCTGCCCCCAAGAGCGTCCCTGAAATGGAATTTGGCCCTGAGTTCATACACTCTGCATGACAAAGCCCCGATGGCCTTCGTGTGCCGTTCTAACTCTCCTGTGATTCTGTGGCATCGACTTTGCAGGCAAATATGGTGCCCCGGGAGCAGGTGCACATTTGCCATCACTGCTGGGCTCCCTGGAGCTTTCCGGGGGCGAGTCTGTTTCCCAGGCCCGTGCACCTTGCTTCCCCGCCAGACTGCCTGCTCTTTGCCACCATCGTGGTGCATTTGGGGGCTGTTCCAGGATTGGCCCTTGCAAGAAGGCCAGGGTGCAGCCCCCATTGGATCCTGACCCCTGGAGCTTGCCTGGGACCTCAGGAAGATGGTTGAAAAGCAGACGGAGCAGAAAATGCTTTCTGTACCAAGGAGAGAAGCACTCCTGGTCTTAATTTGTGTCTTTCTTCTGCTTGCAGGAGGCCAAAATTGCCCATCCCAGCCAGCGGACCAGGTAAGCAAGCAAGCCCAGTGCCTTTCTGCAAATCGAGATGCGCTGAGGAAGCCCCTTTTGCCGCTCTTTGCTGCGTATCCGTCTTCCCTCTCCTTTTCAGCTCAGGCCTAACCCAGCAAGAGTTGCACCAGGCCAAGCTTTGATCCTGGCCTATGTTGTGCTTCCGTGGCAGCCAACCAGGTGCATTTGGGAAGCTGCAAGCACTGCGGGAGGGCACCCTGTGACCCGGCCTCCGATTTCCCATTCAAAGCAGCTGGGGGCAGACTGGGACTGGGATGCTTGCAGCCCAGAATTGTCGGCACTGACTGGCAGCAGCCCTGAAGGTTCAGACGGGGCTTGTTCCTGGCTGTACTAGAGATGCCCCAGACTGGCCCCAGGGCATGGCAGCACCAAAGCCCCACAGCAGAGAAAACGTGGGTACACATGCACTTTCTCCAGTGGGTCGTCAGCAGCTTAAAAAGCATGGGATCCAATACGTTAAGTGTTTTGGAGTGCTGCGTCCCAGTTCTGGGCACCGGAGTTGGAGCAGGAGGCAGAGAAAGTGGGAAAGGTTCAGGGGAGGGCAATGAAGGTGGTCCAGGGACTGGGGACAAAGTCCTGTGAGGAGAGACTGAAAGACCTGGGCGTGTCCAGTCTGGGGAAGCCTGGGGGGAGACATGGTACTTGGAAGCTTGTCCTCAGTCCCTCCAGAGTGCAGTAACGGAACCATGAGCTCAAGTTACGGGAAGGCGGAGTTCAGCTGAATGTTGGGAATGCTTCCTGACTATAGACATCTCGCTCAATACGAGAATGGACCCAGTGACCTCGGGAGGCCATCGGCTCCCCCGGGGCACTGGAGATGCAGCTGGACAGACACCTGGGAGGGATGCTTTGACTTGGAGGCCTGCCTTGAGCAGGGATTGGACCCGATGGCCATCAGGGCCCCCTCCAGTTCTCCTTCCTTGGGATTCTGTAATAAATAGCTGAATTTTAAGTGGGAGAAGCAGCACAGGTGATAAGGTTTAAGCCCCACTCCTCCAAACACTGCACGCTCGGTCTAAATCCCCCTATCCTACCCCTAGCTGCTTTTAATAGAGAGAGGAGAGGCTGAATTCTAGGACCCGACAAGCCTGGCTCTGCGTTTCGGGAGTTCCCGGTGTGTCCCGTGTGGTCTCCACCCTTTTAAGACAGCACCGTCAGGGGGGAAGGACTGCTTAAGGAGATGCGTTGGTGAAGCCAGGGCAGCTGGCTTGTGGCTTCCCAGATGCTTTGGCTGACAGCTCCCATCAGCCCTAGCCAGCAGTAAGGGGAGATGGGAGTTGTGACCCTCCGGACATTTTGACCTACAAGCTTCCCGTGCCTGCTTTAAAGAAGAAGAAAGCTGGCCTGGGATTTGGGAACAGAACAACCTCAGAGAGGATAAAGTTGACACTTCCAGTTGTGATAGAGCACAATAGGGCGCTTAAGCTTGGTTGGGGGTGTCATCACACTGGATTGGCAACTACACAAAACCCTATTTCTGGCCTTTCCTTGGATGATTCTCAGGGAAGAAGCAAAGCACACACCGAATGGCTGAATTGCTCACTTCCGAGTGGACATGTGTCTTTCGTGAAAAACAGTTATGGCAGGTCATGAGTCTGAGCAGAGACAAGGTTGTATGGACAGGTGGGGAGAAGACCTCCTTCCCCTCCAGCTGTTTTCCCACTTAGTAACACCTCTGTAAATTCTTGTACAGCTTGAGGAGGATGGGACTCTGCTGCAGTAGCTTCACTGGGCACGTCATGAGCAGGCAGACAAGGTGTACGGTTTATTGCTCCTCCAGACCTTGTGCCTGAACCCGGAGCCTTGTGCCGTTGGGTTTTATTTAAAAACACAAAAAGCCAGCCATGAAGACTTAGTTTTAGCCTAAAAAAATTAAGTGTGAATGTGACAAACGGGACTGGAAGCATCTATGATATACAGAGACGCTAAGAGGGGAACCTGCCGTTGCTCTTACAGTTCCCTTTCCTTGGAATGACCGTTGCATGAGAACACTGCAATTTCTCTGGTAAAGGTCTCATTTCAGAACTGCATTTCTTCGTCGTGGCCTCTGTGCATCACACATATGGGTTGCTGTGCCTGCGCAGTGCCTAGGCCGGAAGATTAGAAAGCTAACGGTTTTTGGCAGGAAAACTCTGCTCCCCTCCCCCTTTGTGGTATAAATAGAGCGGAGTGTCCGCCATTTTGCTCAGTCTTTGCGACCGCCGTTCGCTGTGCCTCGTGCCTGTTCGTCTCTTGCTATAGATCTGTGCCTCTTCGCTGTTTTTTCTCAAAAAGTTTAAACTTCTCTTACTCCAAGTTTGTTCTTCTCCCCGATTCTGTCCGTTTTCTTCTTGAATTCTTTCTCTATATATATATAAAAAAAAACACCAAAAATATTATCTTACCCTCTATACTGTCCCCTTTTCTTCATTTTTCCGCGATGGCGCAGTGGGCGGCATTCCGCAAGTGTATTGAATGTGGATCTAAAATGTCGCCGGCCGATCCACATGATCTATGCCTCCTCTGCCTCGGCGAGGGGCATAGGACCGACAAGTGCGGTCATTGCTTGGCGTTTACCAAGCAGGCACGAAAAAATAGGGAGAATCGTCTCAGAAAGCTCCTATGGGATCAGGCATTAATGCAGTCCGACCAACTGCTCCTACGGCCTGCTTCCTCTTCGTCCGCGCCTCCTCAGCGCTCCTCCTCCACCGTGGGTGCTCCGGCGAAGCGTCCTTCCTCGACCTCTGCCGACTCTCCTCAGCATCCTTCGGACGAGGGCGCCACTTCTATGGGGGCTCAGTCGCTGCCTTCTCCCCCGACTAAGAAACGGGAGAAGTGCAAGCATACCAGTCTGGATAAAACTTCCACCCATAAGAAGCTGAGGAAGGAAAAGGTGGATAAGCCCGCTCGCAAGAGCAAGAAACCTGACCGCCCAAAACAACGAGGCTCAGGTTCATTGGGCTTTTCGGTATCGACGGCCGCCACGGTACTGACCCCCTTGGGACCGGCCCTGCAACTCGTTATGCAGGTGACACCACCGGGATCCCCCAGGCCAACCACTCGGCCTGAGAGCGTGCATCCCCAGCAACAGGAGGAGCCACTACGGGAGTCCATCTCTGATGGCGAAATCAGAGACTCCCCACCGAGGGGACGCTCACCAACACCCATGCCACCGACTGAATCTCATGTGGCCTCAACATTACCTCCCAGAGGTCGCACCTGTTCATCCGAGTGTTGAGATGAAAGTTGGTTGATTCCGGGATATGGTGCTCCCCCCGACTGGGGTGGGTACCAGCCATATCCCTATTTCCCTCGTGAGCAGAGATCACCATCGGTCCTGAGGGATGTGCCATCCACTCCAGGCGTACGGAGACGAGGCGCCCAGCCTCCCCTGAAACCTCCTCCTCCTCAAACGACGACCGGCCGCATTACATGGAAGACTCCGAGGACTCGGAGGTCGACTCCACATCCCCTGATGTGGCTGTCGCATATCAAGGGCCTGCTTCACCCGACGAACCTCATGTTTTGTTCACAGAGCTCATGTCCCGCTTGGTTCATTCGCTTGAAATTGAAGCCCATCAACAGCCAGGCCCTTCGACAGATCGCTTCTATGACGTCGTTCGGGGAGAGCAGTCCGCATCCATAGCTCTGCCGCTTATAACTACACTGCACCAGGCTATGGTCCAACCCTGGGACCAACCGGCCCAACCACAAGCGACCTCCCGCAGATATGAGGCTATGTATAGAGTTCGGGACGATGACATTCCCTTCCTGCTCCATCACCCAAAACCGAACTCTCTTGTGGTTGAATCCTCCCAGGGCAGGGAGTCCAGGGGACATACCGCTCCTCGGGACAAGGAAGGGAGGAAAATCGATATGCTTGCGCGCCGAGTCTATGCGGCCTCTGGACTCGGCGTGCACATATCGAACTACGAAGCGACACTGGCACGTTACCAGTACTTTATCATGCAGAAACTGGATAACGTCGCTTCCTCCCTTCCAGACCACCAAGTGGACCTTGCCAGGGTTTTTATTAAGGAGGCAATGCAGGTGGCGGTACAACAGCTGTCTACCGCTCGTCACCATGTAGACACCGATTCAAGGGCCCTCGTCAACGCCATCTCGCTACGCCGACATGCGTGGCTGCGCAATTGTAATTTCCCCGATGAGATGAAGTGCAGAATCGAGGAAATGCCTTTTGATGGTACCGGTCTGTTCCACCAGAAGACTGACTGAAAATTAAAGGCGATTCATGAATCACGCCTAACCGCACGCCGCATGGAGCTCCCGCAAAAACGTAAGTGGCAGTGGCCCTGGTCGTCCTACCGGAATCGCCCATATTATCCACGCCAGCAAAACTACCCTCGAACCCAACAATACCAACAACGGCAGCGTCAGAGGCAGCAAGCACAACAGCGTTTTTCCCAAGGCCGTAGGCGATTCGATACCGATAAACGCCCACGTTGATGGCTTGCGTGAACCATCCTCTCTATTCCAGCACCACCTTCCCTTCTACCTTTTGGGGACCGGCTCCAGGGCCGACTCCCCATTTGGGAGTCCATCACATCTGATAGGTGGGTGGTATCTATCATCTCGTTCGGATATAGGATAGAATTCGATGTTATCCCTCCTTCGAGCCCGATTTGCTTCACACCTTCTTCATCGGTGCTACGTGATGAAGTCTCACAGCTACTTCTCAAGGGAGCGATTCGAAAATTGTCCTGCTCGGAAGGATTGCATGAATTCTATTCCAGATATTTTACGGTGCCGAAAAGGGACGGTGGTCTCTGTCTGATCCTGGACTTACAAACTCTTAACAAGTACATCAAACCAAGGAAGTTCCGGATGACCACTTTACAGAACATTCTTCCATTATTGAAAAGAGAGGATTGGTTCGCCTCACTGGATTTGAAGGATGCTTATTTTCATATTTCCATCCATCCTTCACACAGACGCTTTCTACGTTTTACTGTCGGATCCGACCTGTTCGAGGTTAACGTCCTACCCTTTGGCTTGGCCACAGCCCCTCGAGTCTTTACAAAGTGTATGGCACCGGTATGCGCACACTTGTGGACTCGCGGAGTACAGGTTTACCCATACTTGGACGACTGGCTGATCGTCTCGCAATCCGAACAAGCTCTCTTGTCTGATATACAAATGACCTGCGCTTTGTTCGATGCTCTCGGCCTCTGCATTAACCGCGACAAATCGACCCTTATTCCCACGCAGGTCATCGATTTCATCGGGGCACGACTCGACTCGACTCGACCCAGGAAAAAGCTTTCCTCCCACCGGAATGTCAGAATGCTTTATGCAGCCATATTCATCGGATTCGACTACACGGAACGGTTCCAGCCTTGTCTGTTCAGAGACTACTAGGACATATGGCTGCTGCTATTGCCATTGTCCCGTATGCCAGGCTACGTATGCGACCCATTCAACTGTTCTTCAACGCTGCCTTTCAACCGCAACAAGATCCTGCCACCAAGCAGATTTGGATCCCGCCTGCAGTCCTTCACACTTTAACGTGGTGGACCATCACAGACAACCTGTCGATCGGCACCCCGTTTCGGGCACCCCGTTTCGGGCACCCCGTTTCGACCACCTCGGCCAACGGTGACTCTGTACACCGACGCATCCCTCCTGGGATGGGGTGCGGCATGTTCGGGACTTCGGGTCCAAGGTACTTGGAACCGATGAGAGGCGAGGAAACACATCAACTTCCTGGAACTTCTGGCAATTTTCAACACCCTCAAGGCTTTCAAGACTGTGTTACGCCGTCAAATTGTCCAAATTGCATCAGACAATATAGCGGCAGTTTTCTACATCAACAAGCAGGGGGGCACAAAATCTCCAGCCTTAGCACACCTATTGATGGACATTTGGGACTGGTGCATACCGAGGAACATCACGCTTATGGTGGTTCACCTGGCTGGAACCGACAATGTCGAAGCAGATACATTAAGCAGACAGGTGTCGACAACACACGAATGGGAGTTGGACAAACAACTTTGTGAGGGACTCTTCCGCCTGTGGGGTTATCCGGATGTGGACCTGTTCGCCACGCAACAGAACAGCCTGTGTGCCCTTTACTGTTCCAGAGCGGGTGTCGGGCCGGGATCGATGGGAGATGCTCTCATGGTCCCTTGGAGCAACATGACTTTTTATGCGTTTCCTCCAATCCCACTTCTGACGAGAGTGGTAACAAAAATAGCCCAGGACAGGGCCACGGGGATACAACTGACTCCGTGGTGGCCGAGACAACCATGGTTTACCACTCTCTTGCTGCTGTCCAGAAGAACGTTCCTTCATCTACCAACTCTCCCGCACTTGTTAACACAACAAGGAGGAGCGATCTGCCATCCAGATAAATTCTCTCTGAAGCTGACGGCATGGCAAATCACCTGATTCACGTCACCGAGTCGGTACCGGGGACACCTCACGCTACGGGTGACCTCACTCAACACACGGTATATGCAGCCCCGACTTCGAATTCGACAGCGAATATCACGATACCGATGCCTCCCGACAGAGAAATTCAGGCGATTATCGAATCTGCATTAAGACCGTCCACTCGTCGTTCCTATACGGCTAAATGGAGAAGATTCTCCTCTTTTGCGGAGTGCCATTCGTTCTCCCCTGCAACGGCTTCAGTCACCAGTATCTTACAATTTCTTTTACATTTGCATCAGGAGGGACTTAAACCGTCATCCATCAAAGTTTATGCAGCCGCTATATCCCATTATCGTGGCACTATACACGGGTTATCAGTCTTCTCACAACCGCTCGTTCGGCGTTTCATTAAGGGACTACAAAATTTGCATCCGTCTATTCGCCCTGCCGTGCTGACGTGGAGTCTTTCTGTAGTACTCCAAGCGCTTACCAAACCACCGTTCGAGCCTTTAGCAACTGCGGACTTACACCTGGTGTCATGGAAAACTGCCTTTCTAGTAGCGGTTACATCAGTACGAAGAGCTAGCGAGCTTTGTGCTCTCCTCATAGACCCACCATTTCTGAACTTCCATAAGGAAAAAGTTGTCCTTCGGATGGATTTCTCCTTTTTATCCAAGGTGGCCACATCGTTCCCCACATCAGGATATCGTTCTACCGGCTTTCTTTCCATCATCGTTGACCCCGATAGAATGTGCTTTACACACACTTGATGTTTGCCGCTGCTTGGCTTTTTACAGATCCCGCACTGAATCTTTTCGTACTACTAATAGACTTTTTGTTAAATACTCCAAGCAAAAAAAGGGATCACCAATATCATCTCAGAGACTCTCTAATTGGATCACCCAGACTATTGTCCTGGCTTATCAGCTATCGAAAATAGATTTACCTGTCTCTCCAACTGGCCATTCTACACGAGCGGTAGCGACCTCGTCCGCTTTTGCCGCAGGGGTTCCGTTGCAAGACATCTGCAGAGCTGCGATCTGGGCTGGTCCATGTACTTTTGCCAAGCATTATCGGCTTGATGTACGTGCCAGACGGGACTGCTCTTTTGGTAAAGCTGTTCTCTCATCCATTCTTTGATGATGACACCTCCCTCCACCGAGTCTGGTAAGCTTGCGAATCACCCATATGTGTGATGCACAGAGGCCACGATGAAGAAAAGCAGGTTGCTTACCTGTAACTGATGTTCTTCGAGTGGCCGTCTGTGCATTCACACAACCCACCTGCCGGCCCCACTCGGTGTTGGTGAGTGGATATCATGTTTTTTCTCGGTACCATACTATAATTTGCATCAGTACCATTTGGATTATGTCGCTGGGTGGTTATTTTTTTTCGGTACCGAAATATTAACGGCATCGGTACCGGGAGGTTATATCGCTGACTAGAGATTGTTCTTGGTACTGTACTATAATTCACATCGGTACCGTGGGAATATAATGGTGTCTTATCATTACTTTATTTTTAACCTTTAGAGGGCAAACGTGCGGTCTTCAAGACTGAGCAAAATGGCGGACACTCCACTCTATTTATACCACAAAGGGGAAGGGGAGCGGAGTTTTCCCACCAAAAACCGTTAGCTTTCTAATCTTCCGGCCGAGGCACTGCGCAGGCGCAGCAACCCATATGTGTGAATGCACAGATGGCCACTTGAAGAACATCAGTTACAGGTAAGCAACCTGCTTTTCCCAGGTTTCCTGGGTGGTTGGGAAATTGGCGTTAATTATGACTTCTTAGGCATACAGTGCTCATTGCTCATGCTCTGGATTTTACAGTGGACCCGGAGTACTGTACTGTGGACGGCTACAGCTTGATACATCATCACTAGCCTGGAAAGAGTAAGTCTGTGGATTGCAGAAGAGACTTGTGTGTGGGTGGGAAGGGATGCTGAGGGTTTGCCGCTGTGCTGAGCCGCATTTCCTGCCATTGGCAAATGTTCGAGGCTGGGGGCTGGGAGAAGGTTTCCACTCTGTTCTGTGTCTTGAGCAAACTGCGAGGCTGTGAGAAATAGGAGGAAATACCCTTCAGTCTTGCAATATCCAGAAAGTGAACCTGGGTGCTCAGAAATGCTGAGGTTGAAAAGTGAATCTCAGGAGCTGAGCGTGTGACGAAATTTCTCCACTGAAGCGGAATATTCTGGGACACTTGTTCCCATGGCCTGATCTTTGCTTGCCTGCCCTGGGCCTCGGAGCTTGTTATGCATTTAGTGATAGAATCTGGAGGGACCCCAGAGACCATCAAGTCCCACCTCCTGCTCAGTGCAGGCTCTGTAGGGCAGAATGAAGCATCAGGATTTCTGGCAGGTGGCTGTGGGGTATCTGTACTTGGCTTCTCCCCTCCTTGCTTCCTGAAATCCTCCCCTTCCCCCTTTCCTGTGGTTGCTTTCCCACCCTTGGAGTGCAGCTCTGCAGCTCTTTCCATGCCAGCTGTAAGGGAATGGGGGTGTGGTGCGGCCGTTCCCAGCCTGGGGAATTGTCCCCAGCCTCAGATCTGGGGATCTGATCTATCCTGCAGCCTCCCAGATGCGATTATGTGGTTATGTGGTCAATGGAATGCTGAATTGACCACACTCGGTGATGTGGTCAGTGGAATGCTGAAGTAGCTTCGTGAGAAAGTCATGCCGTGTACGTCCTCGGAAGTCCCCTTCATGCTTTGCTGACAACTTTGGTTTTTTCTCTAGATCTTAAAGGTTTCTTGCCATGCTGTACCTCCATGAGGAAAACAGATCAGAAAACAGCAAGCAAGCAGTGCCGGAGCTGTGCCTTTTCCGTCTCTCTTCACGATCGCGATTTCTTTTCGGCTGGATTCATTCTCCTTTTCAAAACCAAGACCATCTGGAGATACTATCCTTCTGCAACAGAGGATGTGCACAGAGCAGAAGAGTGGTAAAAACCTGGGACTTTTTGGTATCAAATTCTGCAGACAGATTCTTTTTGATTTCAGGGAAGGCAGATAGAAGTTTTATATCTTAGAGATTTAGGTTTGGATATGCAAATATATGTGCAGATTCTCATGTAGTTATGAAACCCAATGGATGTCCTTCTGGAACTTGCTATTTCCCTACCTGACCTACCTTACAGGGTTGTTGTAAGCGTACAATAAGGGAATCACATTATGTTGTCCTGAACTCTCTGAAGGAAGCATGGCATATCGTGGCAAAAGCTGGGGATGCAAGCAGGGGAGGCTGTTTTTTAAAGTGTAAGTCCAGAATCTTATGAAGTCGAGAGCAAAAGGACCAAAGGACTTTGTAATTATTTTAAATAAATATTAATAACAAGTTGAACACTTACTTGCCTGTGTATGGTTGGGTATCAACGTGCAGGAATCAAAAGATTCGTATTTAAGGCGATTCATCTTCTGTGCTGGTATAGGGAATCTGAACCCCAGAAGTACAGAGCCTAGCTTTTTGAAATTCTCTCCTTGCATTAAAGAGAAAGAAATATCGTCACTAGTCCTCATGGTTTTGAGGCTAGAAAGTGTGTGGGTGCAGTTTGCTGTGATCCAAAGAAAGCCACTGCGAAGTTCTGTGCTATGGACAGACCTCTGCTGTTCCCAGCATGGCTTTCAACCCTTCCCTTCACTCCATAGCTCTGACACACCCATTTCGCAGGCATCGATCCATGTTTGTAATGCTCAAAATATGTACAGAATATTAATTTGGAGTCTCTGCCCATGGGCATTTATTTTTGAAATTATGCTTACACATGATGCCTCGTTCCTGGAACATGCCTCATCACAGCAACACTTCCCAGTATGTTCCCACTTATTGAATTCAGTGGGGCCTCCTGCTGTGTGAAAAATGCATATGGATTTGCTGCCTGCACATTAACTTCCATATAGCCTGAAGTGCCTGATCCTGCCTAATCTTGGAAGCTAAGCAGGGTTGGGCCTGGTTGAAACCTGGATGGGAGACTTGAGTATATGATTCTGTGATTATTGTTGTAAAGTATCCAGAAAGGATAGGCTTAAAATTGAAAAATTTAGGCTTAAATTGAAGAAAGTAGGGAAAAGCACTAGTCCACTCAGGTATGACTTAAATCATATCCCTGATGAATATACAGTAGAGGTGACAAATAGATTTAAGGAATTAGATCTGATAGAGTGCCTGAAGAACTATGGACGGAGGTTTGCAACATTGTACAAGAGGTGGCAACTAAAACCATCCCAAAGAAATGCAAGAAAGCAAAATGGCTGTCTGAGGAAGCTTTACAAATAGCAGAGGAAAGAAGGGAAGCGAAAGGCAAGGGAGAAAGAGAAAGATACACCCAATTGAATGCAGAATTCCAGAGAATAGCTAGAAGAGATAAGAATGCCTTCTTAAATGAACAGTGCAAAGAAATAGAAAACAATAGAATAGGGAGGACCAGAGATTTCTTCAAGAAAATTGGATAGGAAGGGAACATTTCATGCAAAGATGGGCATGATAAAGGACCAAAATGGCAGGGACCTAACAGAGGCAGAAGAGATTAAGAAGAGGTGGCAAGATTACACAGAAGAACTATACAAGAAAGAGCTTAACGTCCCTGATAACCACGATGGGGTGGTCACTGACCTCAAGCCAGACATCCTGGAATGTGAAGTCAAATGAGCCTTAGGAAGTCTGAGCAACAACAAAGCTAGTGGAGGTGACAGTATTCCAGCTGAGCTATTCAAAATCCTAAAAGACGATGCAGTAAAAGTGCTACACTCAATATGCCAGCAAATTTGGAAAACTCAACAGTGGCCACAGGATTGGAAAAGGTCAGTTTACATTCCGATCCCAAAGAAGGGCAATGCCAAAGAATGTCCAAACTACCGCACCATTGCACCCATTTCACATGCTAGCAAAGTTATGCTCAAAATCCTACAAGTTAGGCTCCAGCAGTATGTGGACCAAGATGTACCAGAGGTACAGGCAGGATTTCGAAGAGGGAGAGGAACTAGAGATCAAATTGCCAACATACGCTGGATAATGGAGAAAGCTAGGGAGTTCCAGAAAAACATCTACTTCTGCTTCATTGACCATGCTAAAGCCTTTGATTGTGTGGATCACAACAAATTGTGGCAAGTTCTTAAAGAGATGGGAGCACAAGACCATCTTATTTGTCTCTTGAGAAACCTATATGCGGGTCAAGAAGCAACAGTGAGAACTGGACACGGAACCACTGATTGGTTCAAAATTGAGAAAGGAGTTCGGCAAGGCTGTATACGGTCTATTTAACTTATATGCAGAGCACATCATGAGAAAGGCGGGGCTAGATGAATCACCAGTTGGAATTAAGATTGCTGGGAGAAATTGACTTTTAGATTGTTAAAAAGGTTAAATATTTGGGAATTTATCTTACAGCTAAGTGTACCACTCTGAAAGAAGACAATTATGATAAACTATTTAAGGAAATTAAGAGTGACGTGGAAAAATGGGCTAATTTGCAATTATCCTTGCTGGGAAGACTAGCACTAGCTAAATTGAATATCTTACCCAAGCTTTTGTTCCTATTCCAAATGATTCCCATAAAAATTGATAGAAAATTTTTTGATGATTTAAATTTTCAAATCTCGAGATTTATATGGAGAAAGAAGAAACCAAGGATTAAACTAAAAATACTTCAGGAGGCTAAAGAGAATGGGGGCTTTGGTCTCCCTGATTGGATGCTGTATTATCAAGCTTCTGTTTTAACGTGGCTAAAAGAATGGATAACTTTAAGAATTAAGAGAATCTTGTATCTCGAAGGGCATGATTTGCAAATGGGTTGGCATGCTTATATGTGGTATGAAAAGGCTAAGGCACATGGCTCTTTTTTAAGTCATTATATTAGGAAATCATTAATGTCGGTGTGGGAAAAGTTAAAGACAAAATTGTATAATAAATTACCAAGATGGCTTTCACCAGTGGAAGCACTTGTATATCCAAATGCATTGAACTTTGAAGCGATCCTAAGATGACATATTGGATAATGATGGAGGATTGAAATTGAATTTAGAAATACAAGAACAGGGATCTAATATTTCTTGGTGGCATAAGGTGCAGATGCAATTGAGATATGCTAAAGACTATAGAATGTGGGGCTTTTATAAAGATTTAACAGCATTTGATCAGGTGATGCTTAAATCAGATGAGAAAAGGATTAAAAGACTATATAATTTCTTACTAGATAGGAGAATGGAAGATGAACAGGTTAAGGAAACTATGATAACGTGGGCACAAAACTTTGGATATAATATTGAATTAGATAAATGGCAAAAGCTGTGGAAGAGAAATATTAAGGTAACATTAGCAACTTCATATAAAGAAAACTTGTATAAAATGTTTTATAGATGGTATTTGTCGCCAAATAGGCTAGCCAATATGTTTCCAAATATGTCAAATGGATGTTGGAAATGTAAACATAAATTAGGTACTTTCTATCATATGTGGTGGACTTGCGATAATGCGAAAAAGTATTGGATTAAAATACATAAATGGCTTGAGGAAATTTTACAAAAATCCTTAGCTTTTAAATCTGATGTTTTCTTATTAGGCATTATACCTCTTGATATTAGTAAACAAGAAATGTACTTGATTTTACATGTAATTACTGCGGTGAGGCTTGCATTTGCCGAACACTGGAAAAGTGAAGAACCACCCACCGATGAACTGATCCTAAAAAAGACCTTGGACTGTGCAGAAATGGACAGATTGACTTTGTCATTGAAGGAGAAAGAAGATACTGATTTCTATCAAACTTGGGACTCTTTTTATTATTGGCTAGAGAAACGGGACTTCATATAGATTCAAATATGTTTTTAAGTTATCATAAATAGAAAAAATGTGGGGGCTGACCCAGCAGGTCTGATGTTTCTAATGACTGATGTTGTTTTTAGTTTTTTTTGTATTAGGGTTATTTTGAATAAAGCTTATTATTAAAAAAATTGCTGGGAGAAATATCAACGACCTCAGATATGCAGATGATACCACTCTAATGGCAGAATGTGAAGAGGAATTAAAGAGCCTCTTGATGTGGGTGAAGGAGGAGAGTGCAAAAGTTGGCGTGAAACTCAACATTAAGAAAACTAAGATCATGGCATCTGGTCCTCTCACTTCCTGGCAAATAGATGGGGAAGAAATGGAGGCAGTGACAGATTTTATTTTCCTGGGCTCCAAGATCACCGCAGATGGGGACTGCAGCCAAGAAATTAAAAGATGCTTGCTCCTGGGGAGGAAAGTTATGGCAAATCTAGACAACATACTAAAAAGCAGAGAAATCACCCAGCCAACAAAAGTGCGTATAGTCAAGGCTATGGTTTTCCCAGTTGCAATGTATGGCTGTGAAAGCTGGACCATAAGGAAGGCTGAGCGCCGAAGGATTGAGGCCTTTGAATTGTGGTGCTGGAGGAGACTCCTGCGAGTCCCTTGGATCGCAAGGCGATCAAACCGGTCAGTCCTAGAGGAGATCAACCCTGGCTGCTCTTTAGAAGGCCAGATACCGAAGATGAAACTCAAATACTTTGGCCACCTAATGAGAAGGAGGGACTCCCTGGAGAAGAGCCTAATGCTGGGAACAATAGATGGCAAAAGAAGAAGGGGACAGCAGAGGATGAGGTGGCTGGATGGAGTCACTGGGGCAGTCGGTGTGAGCTTGAGTGGACTCCAGGGGATGGTGGACAGGAAGGCCTGGAGGAATGTTGTCCATGGGGTCGTGATGGGTCGGACACGACTGCGCGACTAACAACAACATCCAGAAAGCTTCTGCTATGGGCAGTATAGAAATGTTAACAACAATAATATTTGCAGAGTTGACTTCCTGCCCTCCCTGCAAAGGCAAGAAGATTTTTAAAAATCAGAGAAGGGCCTTCTCTGTGATGGTGCTCCGATTATGGAATTCACTCTCCTGAGAGGTTTGCCTGGTGCTGTCACTTTATTCTTTTCGGCGCAAGGCCGAAACCGTTTTATTTTCCCAATGTTTTAAGACCTGACTGTTTCAATTGAGGTTTTATTATTAGTTGAATTTTAGGATGCTGTGTTTTAAATCTTTTACATTTTGTATTGTTAAACTGTACTGATACTTAGGTAATGAGTTGGTCTCCAAAAGTTTTAAATAAATAAATAAAAAGATGCTAGACAGTTATGAACTTCAGCACTTCTCACTCTAGAAAAGGGCAGTGACATGACCTGGGTCATTTTAAACCACTAGGGGTCGCTCCAGCAAACAGCCATCTTAACTCACCTGGACTATTTTCCTTTTCTGCTCCTCGCCACCTATTGCTCCCTTCTCACAGTCAATCGCTATTGGTGGAGAAGACGGGGACGATAGACTAAACAGAGGAAGGGTCCCTCTCTTATTCTGAAGATGCTACTTCCTCGTTAATATTGACACTTTTTAAAAAACTCGAGCTGGTTTTGTAAAACTGACAAAATTCAGAGCTTAACTATGGAGAAATTATATAGCTTTCATCATTGCATTTTTAATTTATGCTTATGTCGTGTTTTAATTAAGGTTTTACTTCCATTCAATCTGTATTTTATTGGTAGTCCTGAAGAATGCCATCATTTTGGCAGAAAGGCAGGCTATTAAATAACACATAAATAGAATTTTGGAGCAACAGCTCTTTCAGCCAGAGAGAAGGAAAATTTATCCCCTTTGAAAAACCATATTGCAAAAATTCTGTTGCTCATAACGGCATGGCAGAGTGCAGCTGAGCCTGGGTTACAACAGCCCACCAAGGTATACCACCTATTTTCCTCTCGTGTTGCAAGCTGGAGATAGGGATGAGCAACATAAGCGACTTTGGAAAACCTGCAGTGCATCCCTCTACATATCGGAACAGGGAATCCGACCCAGCAGTGGGTTTCCGCTTGACTGATGTTTCTGCAAACGTCACTCTACATCTCATGCAACAAAACTTCCGTCCAGTGGACACCAAGATGTCTTGTTTGTCCGACTTTGGCTGAGTCGACCCGCTGCTGGAGGAGGAATACCGCTAATGCTTCTTTGAATCATGTTTCAGCACTTGCTTCCTATGGGGTGGAAGCTATAATACAAATCCACTTCCTATTGGGTATTTTCTGATGTTGGCCTTCTGTTAAGGTCTCTGTTTCTTGGAGGTTAAACTTGGTCAATGCAAATGGACTGACAGCTAAAAGGCAGAAACGACAACGCTGGGAAAGGGAAAGCTTGCCTTCTATGCACAACAAAGATTTAACAATGCTTTCATTTTGAATGGATGACACGCAAGCCACTCTGAAGTGGACTTATGAGTAGATATTTGGCCTGCCTTTGCTGAGGCATGTGTATAACAGATATATCTGGATATGGGTTATTCAAGATGTGTGTGCACGCGGCACACAAATATTTGGATCCCCCCCCGCCACTGATACCTGCAGCTGTTAATTTCAGAGAGTTTATGTTTCTGCTTGCATGTGTGTGTGTGTGTGGGGGGGTGATTTTGTTTTGTTTTGGTGAAATTCACAATAAAAATAAATGAAAAAATTATCTTGATTTTTGGACTGAGGACTTGATAGATCCAAGTTCTCTCTCAGCCTAACCCACCTCACAGGGTGTTGTTGGAGTTCTGGAAGCTCCTTTGGGTTCTTCAAAAGAGGAAAAAATGTAGGCTGTAAATACCATGAAATACTGGCAATAATATTGCCAGGTTTGCACAAGCATTTTGCATTATAGTCCACAATCGCCCTTCTCCTATTGAAAGAATGGAGCTGAGGGTGAAAGGAGGAGTTTACAACACTGTGGAAAACGGAGGACCGAGAACCCTTGCAGGAAAAGCCATTAGCAAAGCAGCAGAGCCAAGGTGCATCTGAAAGCTTGCAAAGGAAACGTTGATCAAGATAAATTTCCGAACAAACTTTCAATTCTCTATTACAGCTAACCAAGGTAGATCCTTTGTTTGCAACCCTTCAGTGTAATGCAATGCAACACCTGCAAACTTGCCTCCACAGTATCATCTTAAGAGGATTGTTTTGTTTTGTTTTGTTTTGTTAACATCTTGCCCAATGTAGATAAATGGACATCTGGGAAACTTGCACCTTTTTTTTGGGGGGGGGGGAGATCATGAGTGAATTGGTCTAATGAAGGTATTACACTGCACACATCTTGCTTTTTTACTTATGGCCAATGTTTTTGGCCTTTGCTTTTTCATATGATTAAAAAAATTGGAGTTACACTATGTAAGTATGCGATTCTCCTGTGACTGCAACCTCCAGCTGGCCTTCCTCTGCCCACCTGCTTTTTATAGCAGTTTGCCCGATGAAGAGACCTGTGGATCTTGAAAGCTTACACATTTTCGGTGACCTCTGAGTTCTTCTAATGAGGGTGGCTCCCTGCTCCCTGCGGGGAGATGTCCCAAACCACCGGAGGGCAACGCTTTCAGCGAAGGGGGATGAACTCGTGACTTGCAGGGCCTTGCTGGTGGTGGCCACAGCACCTCTTCCAGAAGCTCTGCGGGCTGACGAAGAGAGCTGAAGGTCCCGAGGCTCGCCCGTTTGGGGCGGGAGGAGTTCCTGAGCTGACGCGAGGAAAGGTTTTCTGCACAACTCCCCCCACCCCCACCCGCCCCGGCGAAGGCCCCAGCGGAGGAGCCCTGGATCCCTGTGGGCGCGCGGCAAAGACGCCGCAGCTCTCGGAAGCTGGCGATCGCTGGGCAGGTCTACACGAAGGACCGCTCGTGCTCAGGTCTATGGCCGCGGGCGGGGCGGGGCCAAGGGCACGTGACCACCGCTCAGGCGGAAGCGCGCCGCGGCCACAACAACAGAGAGGCGCGGCGGGGATGGCGGAGGCCGTTAGGCCCCGGAGCCGGGCCAAGGCCGGCCGCGGCAGGACCAAGGTAGCCGGGCCGCGCGGGCCCCACCGCCGCCCTCCCCGCGGCCCCCGTGCTCCCCCGGCGGCCGGGCGGGATGGTGGGCGGAGGCGTCTGGCTGGCGGAGACGAGTGGCCCCCCGAGGCGGCTGGCGGGGGCAGCACGGGCTGAATGGGAATTGCAGTGGGGCTGGGAGGATGGGTGCTGTGGCTTGAGGCTCCTGAGTGGAGCGGGGAAGGGACCCTTGGCTGGGGAGAATGGGCGTCGCCGTTCAGGGCGGCCGGCTGGGCAGGGAATGGGAATAATGCTGGAGTGCTCGCCTGCCGGGGAGCATGGGCGCTGGGGCTCAGGGCACCTGGAGGGTGCCCGGCTGGGGAAGGCTGCTGTGGAGGCTCGCTGCTGCTCTATTGGCCTGCCATTGGTGCCGCTCCCTCCTCCTCCTCCTCCTCCTCTTCCTCCACCAGAAGAGCGTGTCTGCTGGATCAGGGCATGCCCAGTCCAGTCTGGCCCCCTCCCTCTCCTGGTGGCCCTCCAACTAGTTTTGTTCCTGTTGGGCTGCATCCAAGGTTGGCTCCTCTTAGGGCAGGCTCATGTGTAATGCAAGGCCCTCTCATTTCAGAGGGCCTGCTCTTACCTAGGACCAGCATCAGATGCCAGAGAGTGTTGTCAGGAGAGACTGTGCCTGGGATTGGGGGCCTCGTGTAACTGCTTTGCCTGAGAACTGGCGGTGGGTTTCTTCCCATTCTCTATCAGAAGAGCAAGGCGAAAGTTGCCCCAGTCCACAACCTCTTCCTCACAGCAGCCAGCCAGAGACCTCTTGGAAACCCCAGAAGCAGCACACAAAAAGCTTCCTCACGGTCAGAGCAATACAACAGTGGAACCAGCTGCTTGGGGAGGTGGTGGGCTCTCCCACACTAGAGACATTCAAAAAGAAACTGAAATACCATCTGAGTGGGATGGTGTGACTTGGTGTCCTACAACAGCAGGCAGTTGGACTGGATGGCCTTCTTGGCCCCTTCCAAGTCTATTATTCTATGAGGTGACAGCCCTTTGCTTTTGTGATTTCCCTGCTAGTGACCTTCAGTGTCATGTTCCCCTGAAATAAGGCTTGTGCATGGTCATAAGGACTTGCAGCTGCTGAGAGATCTCTTTTCTGTGCCTTTGTTCAAACTCCTATATCTTGTAGCACCAATTTCATAACTTTTCTATGTGCTAAAGTAATTTCTTGGTTCTACTCTAGATCTTCAGGCAATTATTTCTTTTTGATGACTTCAAATTTTAGTATTTTGAGAGAGGGGGAGAAAGTGTGTCTTCTTTGCTGTGTCATCTTACAAACACATCTGTCATGTTTGCTTTGAGATGCCTTTGCTCTCCTAATCTTGTTGTTGTTGTTGTTGTTAGTCGCGAAGTCATGTCCGACCCATCGCGACCCCATGGACAACATTCCTCCAGGTCTTCCTGTCCTCCACCATCCTCTGGAGTCCACGCAAGCTCACACCAACTGCTTCAGTGACTCCATCCAGCCACCTCATCCTCTGCCATCCCCTTCTCCTTTTTCTGACAATCGTTCCCAGCATTAGGCTCTTCTCCAGTGAGTCCTTCCTTTTCATTAGGTGGCCAAAGTATTTGAGTTTCATCTTCAGTATCTGGCCTTCTAAAGAGCAGTCAGGGTTGATCTCCTCTAGGACTGACCGGTTTGATTGCCTTGTGGTCCAAGGGACTCGCAGGAGTCTCCTCCAGCACCACAATTCAAAGGCCTCAATCCTTCGGCGCTCAGCCTTCCTTATGGTCCAGCTTTCATAGCCATACCTTGCAACTGGGAAAACCATAGCCTTGACTATACGCACTTTTGTTGGCAGGGTGATGTCCCTGCTTTTTAGTATTTGCCATAGCTTTCCTGCCCAGGAGCAAGCGTCTTTTAATTTCTTGGCTGCAGTCCCCATCTGCGGTGATCTTGGAGCCCAGGAAAATAAAATCTGTCACTACCTTCATTTCTTCCCCATCAATTTGCCAGGAAGTGAGAGGACCGGATGCCATGATCTTAGTTTTCTTAATGTTGAGTTTCATGCCAACTTTTGCTCTCTCCTCCTTCACCCGCATCAAGAGGCTCTTTAGTTCCTCTTCACTTTCTGCCATTAGAGTGGTCTCATCTGCATATTTGAGGTTGTTGATATTTCTCCCAGCAATCTTAATTCCAGCTGGTGATCCATCTAGCCCCGCCTTTCTCATGATGTGCTCTGCATATAAGTTAAATAGGCAGCGTCCCCTAAACTGAAAGCCCCCAAATGCTTTACTTTTTCCTTGATGCTCTTTCCTGCACTATACCAGTTCTGTGATTTCTGCATTGAAATGGGACAGCCAGCACTGTACCCGGCACACTACATGCAACTGCCCTATTGTTTGGGGATAGAGAACAGCAGCTGTGGCTGCTAGCATCAGCAGAAGCAGTTTCACTGTAAGAAGTGATTTGGGGAATGTGGCCATCACATTTTGGGGTTGTTGTGCTTGTGACTATTTCCCTTTCTCACTCCAGGCAGCAGTGAACCCAGTACAATGCACAAGTCTAAAGAATGAGGGCTCCAGCTTTTCTGTGAGGAATTTTCTTTCTCTTCGCTGCCCTTTCAATGTGGCAGGGTCTCGTCTTGCACCTTAAACCTTTAGGGCAGCTTTAGGAATAGAGCAGAACACATTCTCCACTTCACACTCTTGCTTGACAGTTGCCAAATGAGTTAGGAACTATTTCGGTTAGCAAAAAGCTTGCTTGGCCAGCGAGAAGCTTTTCTTCTGTTCTTAAGGTGCTCAAACTTGAGGTTATTCTGCCAATGATAGACAACCAAAGAAAGCACATTGTCACACAACACATGGCTGAACTATGGGATTTGCTACTGCAGGATGTAGCGATTCCACCAACATGGATGGTTTTAAAAGGAAATCGGGCAGATCTGTGAAGGATAAGGCTGTCAGTGGCCTCTGGGTTCGATGTCTCTGTTTTGGAGGCTGCATGCCTTTGTGTATCAGTTCATGGGGAACCAGAGCGGGAGAGTCCCGTCACATTCCTGCCCTGTGTGCAGGCCACTGTGTGAGCAGAATCCAGGCTTATACAGGGGCTGAGTTTGATCCGGCAGGGCTCTTTATGTTCTTCCCTGCTTCCATGCAGCCTTCCCATAGCAGTGCCAGAAAGGGGCTTTTGCAGTTGCTTGTGTGATGAGGAAAGTTTAGGAGCTGTGGCTCTTTTAGCTATATACACGCGGGACTTTTGGTATGGCTGACAATGCCATAACTGACTGAGGAAGGAAAGGCCAGAGAAGAGGGTCCGGGCGGGAAAAAGGAGCAAGACACCTGCCTCCCTTGCCTAGCAGCCTCCTATCCCTGTTACTATCTCTCTAGAGTTCACTTCCTGACACACAAGTGACCAGAGTGGAGGAGTAGGTTCAACCTGCCTCTCCAGGTATGTCTTTGAGCAGGACCTGGGTGTGCTCTCTGATGTGAGTGGGTAGCAAAGCACCGCACATCTCTGCCCAGGGCAAAATCCTCCCCTGCCCTGCCCTGCCCTGCCCTGCCCTGCCCTGCCCTGCCCTGCCCTGCCAGGGATCCTGCAGCAGGCCCTGTTCTGCTGAACTGATAAGCTGCAGCCTCTCCTGGGTCTTCGTAAAAGACGGGGCAGTGCTGGGCACTGCATGGGATGCTTGATCTATGTACAGGGGCTTTTCTTCAGAGCAGCCTTCCTCAGCCAGACACCTGCTGGATGCGCAGGGGTTAGGCATGCTGGGAATATCCATGGCAGATTCAGATGAGGTTGCCTTTGTATGAATTGGACCTGTCGATTCCTCCTCAGACAGATTTTCCCAAGTCTCGTGGAGTCCATGAACTTAGGAATCAATTTTGCATTGGGTGGAGGGGGTGAGTGAATGGGCATCAACTGCTTCACCGATGTACTCATGTGCATTGGTGTAAGTAGAATGCAATTCTGGTTTTAAAAGCCCTTTTTTGTTGGGGGGAAAATAAATCAATTTCGCCAGTGAGCAGACGATGGAAAGAAAGACACCTGATGTTCCAGAAAACACAAGTGGATGAATTCAACATCTTCCACAGAACCTTAGTTGGACTATACCTCCCAGCACAACAGGGGGTGTGGCATGGGGTGATGGGAAGGACAGTCTACAACCTCTGGAGAGTGTTGAGTTGGGAAAGGCTGGTTCAAGAAATGAAGGCTTGGTTTTTGTAAGAAATTGAGGGGCACCCTGGAATAGATGAAGAACACTGCTTTGTGGATCAGGGTGGTTTTTCTGCCTAGAAAGAGGTCAATTCTGTTCTTCTGTGCGTGTCCGAGTGGCATGCAGTACGCCTTCAGCCTGGAGTACTGTGACTCTCATGTGGATGTCCTTAGGCTCTTGCTTGCATTCATGTTTTGGGTCCTCATTTTTTTAAAGAAACATTTCTACAAACTGAGTAGGCATTTCATAATGAGGGAAGATTGTTTATAAGAAGTATTTCTTAACATGCTTGTTACAACAGTTTCAAAGTGGCTTACAGTAAAAACTCTACAAAATACAACAAAACATTTAAAAAGCCCCACACAGCATAAAATGGCAGATTAAAACACGCAGAATGGCAGTTGAAGCCTCCCCTCCATCAGACAGCAGATTTGGCAATTAAAAGGCTTAGGTCAAAATATGCTCTTGTTTGATGGGTAGAAAATTCAGTTCATATGTCCTGATTTTCTACCCATCTCACAGTGTCCTGATGGTTTCCTTGCCTTCTGAAGCAGCTTTTTGGTGGATATAAAGAAATACCAGCAGTGGGAAGGCAGAAAAGCAGGATCTGCTCATGGGGGTTAAGATTTAACCCATAATTTGTTGAGAATCAATGCATGTTGCAGTATTCTGCGCAGTCCCAAGTGGAGGGTGCCAACGCTACTGATTTTTTGGGCATTATGCTGCTCTTTTGTGTATTCCTCTTTAAAGGGCAGTCTGGAATAAGAGAAAAGGCAAGCAGCAACAAAACCCGGGAGGGGATATGGGTGACAGATGATGAAGAATCGAAGATTCCTCCTTAAAATCTAATGGATAAAACTTGGGAGATGGTGTGATAAAAACCTTGGTTGGGTCCAAGCGGAGCTGTCAGAAGTGGACTTTCCCCCTCTTTCTTTCCACGGCAGCCCCTCCAGGTCCCTAAATATGTTACACAAAGAGTTCGGAGACCTCGCTGAATGCTGTGAGCTGAGGTATCGGGTCAGGGGACCTCACCTCCCCATGTGGTTGGAGGGAGCTCTGTGAGCTGAGGGCTTCCATACCAAAGGAAGTTTGCCTTATACCTATTCTGTAATATTGTAGGCAACCTTTCTTTAATTCTCTCAGAACTAGTATATTTAATATACTTTTGTGAACATTGCATTATGCTCCTTTGTATTATGTCATTCTGTTATATTTACATCATTACATGTGATAGTTTTAGCATGTTGCCAACTACCCTTAGATCTAGTGATAAAAGCTAGTACAGGTGTACCTGAAGTAAGCAAATAAGTTAACATTGCACAGAGATGGGAAATTCAAAGTTTTTATATAAACTAAGCTGATGGAAAGTCTGGTATGAGCTATGCAGGACTCTTATTTGCCTGACTGACCCTGACCAATAAGTCTACATAAGTTAGGGGTCTGACACATGTTTGCTGGGATCCCTGAGTTAGCATGTGATCCTATACATGTTAGACAGAAGAATCCTATAGCTACAGCCGCAATCCTGCCTAGGGAACACTCACAGCTGCAGGGCGTTTTTTTGTTTCAATATGCATTGGATCACACCTTTTGTCCTTTAGGGCTTAAAGCGAGAAGTTCCCCTTTCCCATTGGATTTTTGATGTGTTTATTAGCTCCTGGCTGTTGTTTAGATCCCAGATACTTTAATGTTGCTCCTCTTCTTTCCACTAGGAAAAAAAGAAAAAGTATGAGGAGGAAGCAGTCCCCCCTCAGCTTTCCCTTCCTAGTACACTTAAAGATGAAGAAAGATTTCCACAATCCAGCGATACCCAAGTGGAGCATTGTCCACAGCCCAGGCTCTGTAGTGAAGTGGTGGAGAGAGAAAATATGAAGCAAGTCCCACTGGAAGAGCAAGCACTAGATGCAGAAGGATCCTCAGTTGCTACGCAGTCAAACCCTCCAACGCAGGTGGAAGAATCCAGAGCCAGGACCGTGCAGGAGGGAGATTTGCAGGGGAAAGCCTCCAGTCCTCAAAATGTCACGGAAGCAGATGCTGCCAAAACAGGGACTAGCGGCTTATCTGAAAAGAGCCCTTCTTGCACACCCCCACCAACAGCAAGTGCCCAGCACCGCGAAACTGAGAATGTGTGGCATATAAAGGATTTGCTGCCCTGTTCACCTGAAGAGGGTTTTGCCACTGACTCTGTCCCTGTCGAAGAGGTCAGAGAACATGTTGAGAATTCTGGTGTCCGAAAGCTTTATCCAGACCTGCCATCGGAGATCTTCCATGAACAGCTCTCTGGGCTTGCCATAGAACCACGGCTAGCAAAGGGAAAACTTTATCCTGAGATCCTGGTTGAACCAGAGCTGTTGCCTTTTAGCAAAGAGCAGCTGAAAGTCTTTGAGCCCTGTTCCTGGCTGGAGAATGTTGATTTCTACATGGAAGAGTTCCGGACTGTGGCACACCAAGACAGGCATGAGTTCTTGGAGCTGCTGCTGAACTACTGGCGCTGTCGGAAGCAGCTGCTTCTGGCAGAAGCAGAGCTGCAAACCCTGACCTCGGATTGCCAAAGCATTAAGGGTCGCCTCTGGACTTTTAAGGATGAACAGAAGTCCGTCCAGGTGGAGTAATGGAAGTTGGTTGTTAAGATTGGGTCACAAGTTCCTTAGAAGAGGCCTTTCTCAACCTGGTGCTTTCCAGATGTTTGGATCACAGCTCCCATAATTCCCCGCCAGTTTGGGCAGTGGCTGAAGATTTTGGGAGCTGTGATTCAACACATTTGAGGTGCACCAGGCTGTGAAAGGCTGCCTAATTTCGGCCCTTTCCAGGCTTGACCACTTCAGTATCAAGGTGTTGTTGGGGAATAACAGCAAGGGTGTCTTCTGCCAAGAGGACTGGTGAGGAATGAACAGAGTGATGGAGAAGGGACAGGCTTGCCTGCATGGAGCTCCTGGTCACGTGTGCTGACCAGGTGAGTTGTAAAATACAAGCATCTCTATGTAATGTTAGTTCTTTTCTTGTGGTGACACCACAACATGGGAAAATATTCCAGCACGCACACACAAAAGTGTACTGTGAACTTCTTGCTTTTAAATAGCATTTCAGTCAGTTCAAAGATGTTGACTGTGGACCATTTGAAACTAGCATCCTCACACTGAGACGTGGGATTTAGGAAATCAGAGGAAGCCCCTTTATAGACTGGTTTTCTTCTAGCGGCCTCTGATTTCTATAAGAGTGCAGACACATGAAAAGAGTGACCTTTAGCTCGATTTGACTGTGGTGTATTTAGTCAGAACTTTTTGGTTCTAGCAGCAAGACAGTTGGAGGAAATCACACAGACTTGGCCTGTTTGCCCCCTGCATGTGATAGAGAGGGACTGCACGGGTACATCAGACACAGGGGTGCTATTGGTATATTTCCGCACTGGGCAGGTGGTTGGGCTTGGTGGCCTGAAGGGCCCCTCCAGCTTCATGCCCCAGGTGACCCTCTTCATGTGTGTCCAGAGCTACCCACCAATATGTCCGATCGACATTTAAAGCTGTCTTAGTCGATAGCCTCCATCACATCTTAAGGAAGTGAATCCTGTATTGTAATTTATCTCGGGCCCTGAATTTACTGCCCAGCCTTGGCTTTTGCTAACTCAGAGCTCTTGTGTAAGAATTATCCTTACCGTATCCTATTTGCATATCCATGTGTACGAAACAAAATGGGCTGTTTTTAAGAGGTAAAAGTTTGTCGCTGCCAGCTTCATCAGCATGGTTAATTGATTAAAGGTACAGTCCTATGCACATTGAGACAGAAAAAAGGCCTTCAGTTCTCTGTAGTTGCCCAGCCGTTTTTTCCTGTCTAAATTTGCATAGCACTGTGCCCTGAAGGCACAATCCAAGCAGCATACTTTTTGGTCAGGGAAACTTGCAGCTGGGCTGCACAGATGCAATTCTTTTGTGCTCCAAAGCAAGCTCTTGAGTGAGCACAGGGGTATGCCATGTGGATGCAGTTCATTCTGTATCCCAGCTTCATGAAAAAGGTGCTCTGTGCGCCGATATTTTGAACAGTGTATGCATACTTAACTAATGCAATGAGCGCATTGGTTCACTGAAAGGCCATGACCAAAAAGCACTAGCCCTCTGGGAAAGGCAAATTTCAGTTATACTTTGTAATAAGCTTCCCCTACCCCACCTTTACGTATAATTTCAAATTAGGTTCTGATGCGTAAGAGCAGCGCAGTCCTGGGAGTGTCTGCTCAGAATTAAGTTCATTGGGCTTCCTCTCAAACACTTGGGTATAGGATTGCATTCTTAATTAATGATTGCGGTCAGCTAGCTTAAAGCTGACTTAGCACTTCTTGTACCCCATATCCTCAAAAAATATTCGGAGCTCTTAGCTGCATGCTTTCCACAGCCACCCTTTTTGTTTTTATCAAACAAAACCACCATTCCTAATGTTCCCAGGGCAGGAGCACACCAGGCGTGCTGTATTTGAAACCATATTTCGCATCGTGTCTTATTGTCCTTAGCAGGTAGTCCCCATCACGTTGTTCAGCCTGCAGATCTTAGAAATAGCGACACAGAGAAAACGAGGATTCCGCACACGGCAGCCAGCGTGGGCCCAGGCTCAGCGGCCTCGTTTGGGATGGCACAGCCGGAAACATTCACGCTCCCGCCACCGTCCTCCTCGCATGTTGAATGTGCGGCACCTTTGTCTCCCCTGCAGGGCGTCTGTGCCGACCAGTGCAAGGTGTCCGGCCACCATCGCTACCAGACGGTCGAGATGAGTGAAGGTGCCTTGGCAGAACTACGGAGGGCGTTTGAGGTCCAGGCAGGCCACGTGCATCAGACGCTGGCCTTGCATTTGTACACCGCCCTGTTGTCCCGCCTGCAGGTGGAATCCTACCTCTACGGACTGCTCAGCAGCTCTCCCTTGCTGGCGTCTGTGGGCCTTCGCCAGCAGGAGCCAGGTGTGTGCCCCAGGTTGGCCTTCTGTCCCCAGTGGGAGTCTGCAAGATCTCGCAATGCACGCGCGGGGCGTGGGATGCTGCCTGGGGCAGCAGCAGTGGTCTGTCGTAAGGAACCCCACGTTCTGTGGGCTGCCTAATTAATCAACAACTGGCAGGGCTTGGGGACTCCCTGACCCAGTGCTGAACTTGCATAATTGAATCAGGGCAGAAAATTTGGGAATAAAATAGATGCAATCCTTAACTGGTGTCTGGTCCGGGTATTGGACTGGATGAGGGCCAATAAATTGAGGCTTAATCCAGACAAGGTGGAGGTCCTGTTGGTAGGTGGTTCAGCCTTCCAGGTGAGTGATTTCTGCCCTGTTCTGGATGAGGTTGCACTCCCTAAAGGGCAGGGTAGGCTGCTCGGGAGTGCTCCTTGACCCTGACCTGCCCCTGGAGCATCAGGTACTGGCAGTGGCCAGGTGCGCTTTCCTTCAGCTTTGGCTACATCAGCTGCATCCCTGCCTGGATGAGCAGTGCCTGGCAACGGTGACCCACGCTCTGGTAACCTCCCGTTTGGACTATTGCAGTGCGTTCTACATGGGGCTACCCTTGAAGACGGTCTGGATACTTCAATTGGTCCAGAATAGAGCTGCTAGGTTATTAACAGAGACCGGCAGATATTCCCATATCATGCCAGTCATATATTGCTTACACTGGCTCCCCACTGAAGTTCGGGCCTGATTTAAGGTGTTGGTAATGACCTATAAGGTCCGAAACGGCTTGGGTCCTGGATGCCTGAAGGAGCGCCTTCTTCCCTATGTGCCGGCCCCCTTGAGACCTGAGGTGGAGGCCCTTATCCGGGAGCCCTCCTTGAAGGAAATCAGGAGGGTAGTTACTCAGAGAAAGGCCTTTTCAGCAGTGGTGCCCCGACTGTGGAACATGCTCCCCAGGGAGCGTATTTGCCTGGTGCCATCTCTCTTTTCAATGTTAGGTGAAGACCTTTCATCCTTGTTTTTATCACTGTTTTAGATGCAGTGTGCTGTGTGTTGTTGTGGTTATGGTTTTTGTTCTTTGTTGTTGTTGTTGAGCTTTCATGTGGGGTCCACAGATTTTGGCAGGCCTCTGGTAGTCAGCTGCAATGTAGGTCTTCCTGCCCATCTTACTCTTCTCCTAATGAGGTGGGATTTTGTTTGTGATGTGTCACAGCGTCCCTGTGAGGTAGGCTAAGTTGGCCTCATTAGGGCTTCACTAAGTGAGCTTCACGGCTGCCCAGGGCTCCCTGGCCCAAGCCTGGCACTCTGCATCAGAGCAGGCTGGGTCTGAGCTCTGCTAATTCTCCTCCTCTCTCTGCTCCCCTCGAAGGCCTTACACAGACAGAAAACATCTCATTGGACTTGGGGCCCTTGAAAGAATGCATCAGTGTTCTCTTCAGTTTCACCCGCCGCATGATTGAGGATCCTCAGTTTCAGGGTGACGTTCTCTCGTGGCTTCGGAGGCTGGTGAGTAGCTCAGGAGAGGCCATCCTTGCTGTTATTGCACTGCGCTTACGTCCTGCCTTTCCTCTTACAAGGAACCCCAAGGGACGTGCAGTCCATTTTATCCCAACAATGACGACAACCCTGTGAGGTGGGTTGGACTGAGAGTCTGGACTGGCCCAAGGTCACCCAGCTGGCTCCATGGCTGAGCGGGGACTCGAACCCCGGTCTCCTGAGTCCCAGTGCAGCATTCTACCCACTACACCACCCTGGCACACCAGATCACCCCTTTCATCTCTGCTGTCACTCGTTTCCCCCAGCAGGGTCAAGGGAGGCATGGGAGGGATATGGCAGCTTGAGAGAATCGATCATCAGGAATCATCAGTCCATGTTTGAGACTCCAACTTTAGCCCCCGTTTCAGAATTGTATTGGGGCAGGTCGAAGGCGTCTTTGCTTCTGCATGTGGCTGGAGTGAACTTTCCAGTTCGTTTGAGCGTGTGCTTTCACAAAATAAAGTTGGGCCGTTCCTGAGTATTACATGAAGACTTTGGTAGAAAGATGTGGCTTTGGCCAAGCACGATGCTGGAGGGAGGGCCGTTTTGTGATGGAGGCTCTGCCTTTCTCAGCCAGCACTTCTTTCCATGTGTGGCATTGCAGCTGGGTGCTGGGGGAAGCATTAGGGCATGTCCTCTCCAGGTCCTGCAGGTTCTGAGCTGAAAGATCCTTGGGACGAGGAGAGAGGGTCACTGCTTTGTGGCGGCCAGAGGGAAGCCTGGGCCACCCTTCGTTCCGGTCCTGGCTGGTGGTGTAGCAAAGCAGGGTCCCAGGCGCTTTCTTACTCAGAGAGGTGCTGAGATCACCTGCCACCCATCCTGCCAGGCTTCCCCTTCTGGTCTTGGATGGACAATTAAAAGTGCATTAGCTCCACAGAAGGTCCTGCTCCTGAAGGAGAGGAGAACTCTTGGAACAGGGTTGTTGCTAATGATCAGCGCAGCTGCCTGAATGTCTGGACTTCCCCTGGGGAATGGCGCTCGGGGCTGTGATGAAGGGCACCTGCGTTTCAGAGGTTGCCACTGTCCTGCTGTTCTTGGTCAGAGAATGAAGGGCCCCAAGGTTGCAAGAACGCCTCCAGCAGAGGCATGTGCCTGGCGACATCCCTTGGCTCGAGGCCCAGCCACCACAGGGTGCCTTCTGCAGCAGGGGTGCTGCTGGACTCCATCTTCCCTCCATCTCAGGAGAGCATAGCCACTGGTTGTAGTTGGTGTGACTTGTGGACACTTTGGGGTGTCTGTTCTACAGAGGTCTTTGTTCTGTGTTTAAACTACAATTTAAAGCCTCACCTTTTCTCCTGGGGTTCTCATGCCCTTCTCTGTCTTTCCCTCCCTCTCTGCTTTCACCTCTTAGATTGTAACCCTCTTGGTGCACAGCCTGTGTCCTTAGCTAGTTTTATCTATGCCCCCTTGGTTGTGTAGATGCCCTGGAAGTGAATAAATTAATAGTGTCAGTAGAAGGCAGAGCCTTTCAGAATGTGTGGCTGGTGTGGGGAGCATGATTTAGAGTTTAATTGTGGCTTTGTCTTTCTCCCCATCTTTAATTCCCTCTGGAATTGTCTCTCATCCGTCCCTGCAGGTGTCAGTCTTGCAAAGGGTCGGCTGCCCAGGGGACCATCTCTTCCTCCTGAACCACATCCTTCGATGCCCAGCTGGTGTCAGCAGATGGGCTGTTCCATTCATTCAGGTGTGAATGTTTACTCTTTCCTTTATGGTGGTGGGGCCAGAAGCCTGGTCCTCACATCCCATTTCTGTAGTGGGTGAGCAGCCTCTGGCCCTGGAGGTTGCTCCTCTGGCCACAGGGGCTTTTACTCCTTCCTTCTGCAGACCTGCATGCTCCCCATCCCTGTGATTCCCAACCTGGACTGAAAAGATGCCGTGTCTTTAATTCTATTCCCTTTTTACTTTCAGATTCGCGTTCTGGGTAATCCATCTGGGGTCTTTCATTTTATGCAATCCCTCGCTTTGCTTATGTCTCCTGCCAAGTAAGTACAAAGGAGAAAGAATGTGAGACCAGGTCGGGGTGCTGAGCCTTTCTCAGCCCCAGGACTGAATCTTGTTTGATTGAAACTCAGGGGCCACACACCTGTGGCAGACAGGTCTGCAGGCAGAAGGGCTGTGCCAGAAATGCTTACTAAATATTTTATACTTCCAGAATATTTAATATTTTAGTTTCAAGCTCTTACTGGCTGTAAATAAATCTTAGGAGAAGCATTTCATTCTTATAAAATGAGTGAGGAAAACTGTACAAAACCAAGGAAACAAAAATGGGGGGGGGCAGGACTGGGAAAAGGTGGTGGTCCCACTGGAGAACCCAAGAGGGGAAAGGTGTATGGGAAGATGGATTTGAAATATCCACCTTAGAATATTGGCCAAGGCAAAAAGAGCTTTCCCTCCCTCTTCTGTTCTGCCCTCCTAATTTTCACAACATGTCTTACCTTGTAACCTGCAGAAATCGAGCAGAGTTCATGTGCCATATGAAGCCAAGTGAGAGGATGACCTCCTTATCGGGCAATGAATCTGGAAACTGGACTTTAGTGGATGAAGCTGGAGAAGAGGTATTGTAACTAATTTAGGCCTCAGTTGTTCCTCTGTGTCTGATCTACACAGGACTAACATTGGATGCTACCCATTGGGTTCACACCAGAGGGGACAGGAACAAAGCAGGCAGCCATTTTCCTGTTTGACTTTTTTCTGCTGGTTGGACCCACTCCTGATCATGTAGTGGGCATTCCACATGGAATCCTCATGGTGGATCCTCGCCTTTGGCGAGTGGATACATGGACACCCTCGTGATAGGGTCTCACTCTTTTCTCAGAAGAGCACAATCTGGTTTAGAAGGTGGGGCAAAGGCTGGGGTGCAAAATGTGGCCTGCACCTAGTTCTGTGGAATCGAATTCATCTTTTAGAAAAATGCTGGATCCCCCACTGGAATTGAGTGAGTGAATGAACACTGGGCCAGGCTGGAGCAAAATGTAAAATGGCACTCCAAGAGGAGGACCAGGTTGAGTTACTGTGGCTCAGGGATGTTAGTGTGCAGCACTTAAAGCCACTCTGTAGAGTTGCATCAAAACCTGGATCAAGATGAACAATTTATTTGAATATTTTTATGGGTGTGGAACAGGTGAGCAGAGGGAAAAGCAAACAGCATGAGGTTCGCAAGGGCAGAGAAAGTTTGGATTTTCAACTTGGCCTGATGTTAAATGTTTGGATTTTAAAGCCAGCATTGATCTAATGAAACGTTGCTTGCTTATCCGTAGATCCCTATCATTTTCCTGCATCCTTGTGCTTCCTTATTGACACTGTGCTCTTCCTTAACAATAGAAAATGCAGCCACTTGATGTAATCCTTTTCCCTTCTAGGATGAAGATCCAGTTACGAGTTGGGTTCTTCTTCTTGAAGATGACTTGGTTGCGTTTTTGTCCCAGTTCCCCTTTCACGAACTCTTTCAGCATATTCTTGGATTTGATTCTAAAGGTGACCAAATTTCCAAAAGAATTTCTGTCTGTAGTCATCACCTGGAATGTCTTTGTAATAACATTTAATAATGTTTTTATTTTGCAAAAGGAAAAAAAAATGATGGGGATTATCAACAGAGGCAATTGATCTATACGTATGTTAAAAATCGTACACATGGTAGGTTTCTGTGGCATTTTAAGAGCACAGAACAACCAGCCAGAGATTTATTCCTTTAATTTCCAACTTTGAGTGCTACTGCTTATGATGTGGAATGTCAAGCAAGTTCCATGAGACCATAACACGGTGCCTTCACGGTTTGGGGGCTGGGGCAGTGAGTGTCGGAAAAGGCATTTCTACAAATGAGTGTTGCTCAAATGGATCATGTGCTTATGCTCGTCTTGGATGTTCCATTTCAGAGTGAAGCTCTGTGTGTGTGCGTGTGAGTGTGAGTGTGTGCCCTCACGAAGGGTGGCCTGCGCGACTTCTCTGCCATCAAAACATTCCCTTCGCTCAGTGTCCAGTTGACTTTATTGCGCGTGAGTGTCGGGCAGTTTGCCTTTGCCGCTTGTGGGAGAGTTTAAACTCGCAATCCACTGTTTGTTTACTGGACCTCAAGGTCTGAGCATACGTGGGTGACAGCTCTGAGAAGTCAGTTTTTACTGTTTGGATTTTCCTGCCCTCACCTTTTGTGCAGCAGCGGTTGGTGGTGTTTTGGGGTTGGGGTTCAGTACCACAGACAACTCCTTGAGAGTTAAGTTGAAAGCCCAGAGTGGCCACTCCACCCCCCACTGACACTGGAGCCATTCAGCCCCTCTTCCTACACATGAAGATTCATCCCTGTGAATGGAAATGAAAGTATGTTGACCTTGTTGGGTGAGGAACAGGAAGGGGAGTGTCTCACCCTTTCCCAGCCTGGTGCACTGTTTGCTTTGGAATGCAACTTCTAAAGGCAGTGTGACCATTAACTGCCCTACCTCAGTTTTCCCAGTAACTTAGGCATTATTTTAAACTGGAGTATATGACAACAAGTTTCCTTATTTTCTTTAACTAGGTCCAGATTTCTGCCATCCGTTTTTTGGATCTGCTTTAGCCAACTCTGAAATGCTTTCTGTTGCACAGGTGTTTATGCTCCCGAGAAAGCCACACCCCAAGAGATGATGAAAATCTTTGCATTTGCTGATTCTTTAGTGGAACTTCTGGCTGTGGGGCTGGAAACGTTCAACCGAGCCCGTTACCGGCAGTTTGTGAAACGGATCGGCCGCCTCATCAGGCAAGGAGCAGGGCTTGATTGTTTGGGGTGTGGGACCAGGCAGTTTCATGGTCAGAGGCCGTCACTGACCGATACTAGGTTTTGGGGCTGCAGAGCTGGTCCCCTACCTGCCTTGGCCCATCAGCCTGTTTCAGAAAGGCCGACTGCTTTGTTCTAAAGTGGGGTTGGGCAACTGCTGGCCCTCCAGACGTTTCGCTGTCAGCTCCTATTAGTGCCACCTAGCATAGCCAAGATAAGGCACAATGGGAGTTGTGCCCCTCCAGTTGTCTTGGGCTACAGGTCTCCCAGCCCTGCTTTAAGGGCAGCTGCATGCATTTGGCTTCAGGAGAAGCGCACCGTGCTTTGAACTAATGCAAGTGTTGGATTTATGACCCCAGCCCACAGATCATTTCCCACACAGCCGCAAACCAAAAGCATGCCTCCACCTGCAAGGGTATGATGCTGTTAAACAGGAAGATGTGCTGGCGGGAAGGGGCGAGACAACAGAACGAAGAATATGAAAGTGACTTGTCAGGCAGAATAAAATGGCTTGCGCCTGATAAAGAAAAGGGCGGCCTGTGAAAGCTTGTGCTGCAATAAGAAAGAACCAGCGTGGAGCAGTGGTTAAGAGCGCAGGATTGGGACCCAGGTGATCGGGGTTCTAGTCCCCGCTCAGCCATGGAGCCAGCTGGGTGACTCTGGGCTGGTCATATATTCTCAGCCCGACTTAGAATCATAGGATCATAGACCAGCAGAGTTGGAAGAGGCCACGAAGGCCATCGGTCCAACCCTGTGCTGTTGCAGGACACCACATTACACCATTCCTACCTCGCATGGTTGTTGTGGGGATAAGACTGCGAGCAGGAGGAGGAGAAGGATGTAAGCTGCTCTGAGTTCTTTAAAAGGAAAAAAGTCAGGATATAAATCTAATAAAGCCTATTGTTGTTAGTTTTCAAGGTGTTGCAAGAATAAGAATAAACTACCACAACTTGCTTTTCTAGATAAGACAAAATGGAGCTCTAGTTCTGCAGAACATTAGCCCCCAAATCCTTGATCTTGTTAGAAGTGTATGCAAAAGCAACATTGCTTCTGTGTTGCTTTTGTTTGGCATTGCACAAGTCCCTCCGACAAACAGGAGGGTGCTTCTGTAATTTCCCTATAGCTTCCCCATGTTCTCTTTATTTCTAGCATTTAAGTATTATGTTTCAGGAAAATCCTCAAGGTGGTTTACAGGAATATTAAAGGTTCTGCGCATGTATAAATCCAAATAAAAGAATATGCGTTAAGGTTTTTTAATGACGCTAAGGACATAAGGCTATGCATATGTTTAGACTGGAAAAAGAGCCGCGGTTCCCAGTTCCCCCGCACTTTGCTCAAGGTGTTGCAATGCAGCCATTCCTGACCCTTGGCTGTGCCATTGGGGACTGTTGGAGTGAGGGATTGGAATGAGACAAGCCAGATGCTGAGCTCCTCCTGGCTCAGAACTGCCTATGCGGACTCTCCAGGGTTTCCGACAGGAGCACTTCCTTGCCCTACCTGGAAATCCCAGGAATTGAATGTGGCACCTTCTGTGTGCCAACCTGGGGCTCTGCCACTGAGCTGCAGCCCTTCCCTCCCACCAAAAGGGGTCGATAGATAGCCCGGCCCACGGTGGCTCTTCAGAGTGTGCAGAAAATAATAAATTGTGCTCTGCCTGGTAGGCAGTCGGGATGATGACTGGACGGGAGTGGGCTAGTTTGCCTTTGTTAATGATTTGTAGCGCCCTGGGTTCTGCTTAATTCTTTTCTCCCACCTTCCGTATCCATCTGGGTCTGCAGGATGACGCTTTGCCACGTGAGCGATCACTGGGCCCAGTATATCAGCCGTGCTAAGGACTGTGGCTACACCATGCACCCTTACTCTGTCGAGAAACTGCAGATCGAATTCGATGAGCTCTTTCTCAGGGCTGTTCTGCATGTGCTGAAAGCAAAACGGTAGGAAGAGACGGGGGCAGGTTGGGTGGGGGCATTAGCTGCTGAGAGAGTTTTTGCTGACTCTCGCTGACATAAGGTGGGAGCTGTGAGGGCAGGTGGGACCACTGATGTGTATCCTCAAACGCTGGGGAAAGGTCCTCGTTGGCTCCTGTCAGCAGTACAGATAATGGCCAAGCAAGGAAATGGCTTTTAACACTTGCAGTAGGAAATTGCCTACATGTGAATACAGGGAAGTCAGCCTATGTCTAGGTCTGTCTGTTCTACCTATACATTTTACCATACAAGTGTGACACACTTATTTGATATGCTCATAGTTCACCATTCCCTCCAAGGAGTACACTTTCCGCTCTTTTTTTGTCCTCACAATACACCTGTTAGGCTGAGAGTCAGTGACTGGCTCAAAGTCTCCCACTGAGCTTCATGGAACCCAGATGGGTCTTTCCAGTCTGGTGCTCCACCCCGTACCAAACAGGCTCTTGACAGCCTGTGACTGTTTCAGATTTTGCAGTAGTTAAAAAGCAGCAGCAACCTCTGTATCTTCTTCAAAAAAACAAACCACGTGTGGGAGGTGTGTCTGCGCAGAAATAAGTGGAATGTAACTCCGAGACGAAGCTCCGACTGAGCTACTCAGCGGGATCATCAGAGCCAGTGTGGCGTAGTGCTTAAGAGCACGGGCCAGGGAATTGGGCGGTCTGGGTTCTAGTCCCCACTCGGCCATGGAGATCACAGGCTGACTTGGGGCCAGTCACAGACTCTCAGCCCATCCTATCTCACAGGGTTCATTCATTCTATTTTTTTGTAAGCCATCCTCCATGCAAGGCATCTTGGGACAGCTCACAGTCAAAACAGGATTGTTGTTGTGGGGATAAGACTTAGAGCTGGGGGAGGAGAATGATGTAAGCTGCTTTGAGGTTTTTTTTAAAAAAGCAGCAGGATATAAATCTAATAAATAAATCATCCTGTGGCCAAGACCATTTGCCGTGCTGAGGACAACTCTCCCGTCTGAGCAGCAGCTGATTGGAGCTGAGCACTTTCCTCAGAAAGAGAGCATTAAGGCACAGTTGTATGCAAGTTTCGGCATGCTGGGAGGTTTTCTTTCTAAACCCTTTTCTCTGCAAACCTGCATAGGTTTTTTGTATTTTTTGTATTTTTGTATTTAATGGTAATTTATTATGTGCTATTGTATTTCAATGTATTTTATTGTGTTGTAAGCCGCCCCGAGGCTTCGGCAAGGGGCAGCATAGAAATGTAATAATAATCATAATCATAATCATACTAAAAAATAGGGTCGTGCCCTTACTCAGTACTAAACTGAGGAAAGCATTTATGTCCAATCAGCTGCTGTGGCAAAGAGGGAGCCCATGTGGACCAGCGGTTCCATATCCCTTCCTTACCGTATTTTCCATCAGTGGGCCAGTTCTGCTGCTTATTCCATGAGCAGGGCTGCGAAAGCTCAATGTTGTTCTGTCCAGGGGCGTAGGACACCATTTCCTGCAAGGTTCTGGTCCTTGCTGTATTCCACCAAGTATTCCATGCTGCGCTGTTACGAGCTGTCGGCCTTTCCCACACCTTTCTTTTGATTGGCCGCCTAGATTGTGAAGGGAGTCAGAAAATCCCCTCTCTTCCTCTGTTTTGGCCCTCTTTCTCCTCCTCAGCCCTCTGCTCCAGACTTCTTACAAAGAATTCTGTATTCCTTGGAAAACTGTGAAAGTCTGTTTTCAGAGTTTTGTGGTGCAGCCCTGGAGATAGGCTTCATTGGCCTGATTTTATTCGCTAGAATGCAAAGAGGCCTTACGGGATCAAGCCAGAGGGCCACCGAGCCAGCATGGTTTATTCCCCCAGTAGTGCCTGCCAGGGGCTACCTGAGAAGGAGGGTGTGATGGAAACAGCCTTCCCTTGTCCTTTGTTGCCAGTGTTTAGTGATCAGACAGGGGGGAAGAAACCTTAGTCTGTGCAAACCGTGATGAGCCCCGGTGGCCAGAACAGACCAGCTTTTCTTGTGCTTGGGGATTCTGAGAGTGGTAGTTCTGGGGGGCAACAGACTGGGGAAGACTGGCGTCAGCGAGACTTCCCAGCTCTCCACTGTCGTTAACTTGGCTTTTGCGGTTCCTTTTCCTGACCTCTCACCTTCTTCCGTATTCAGTTTGTGGGTATTCTTTGGTTGCCAGCCTTCAGAAGAGGCCTTCTTTTCCCAATTTAGTACATACTGATGATAAAAAGAGCATTAAGCCAGAGGGAAATAGAAATGCGCCCATTCTCTTTTGGTGCCATGCCAGAGCTGTGTGTAAAAAAAGAGATTGCAGAAATCCTCCTTGTGGGGAGAGATGTGCAGCTGCAGAGACATGGGAAGGCACGGGCGAGATGCACACTCTCTGACCATGGGAAGTGTGGCAAAGCATTCCTTTCTGGCCTCTGGGTCCTGACAGGCTGGGGGTCTGGCTCTTCATGTCCGAGATGCCCTATGGGACTTTGTCCAGCAACATGCTGTGGAAGCTGTTCTTCATCATGCACTGTGCAGACGACGAGAACCTGGAGAGGACCTGTGCAGCTCTGCAGCCTGCAGATTGCAAGCGCAAACTCAAAGGTACTGCCTCTTTCTCTTTCCTAGGCAGGCAGGCAATGCAGCTAGTGCACCTGGCCCAGGCTGCCTCGCGGCAGGGGAATTCTGATAAGTGTTCCCTCCACCTCCCATGGGTGAATCATCCGCTAGGCAGCGGGACGACCCAGGGCCTCTGCAGGTCCACAGAGGGTCTTGCATGGCTTGCAGGCTGACCAGAAGCAGGAAGCAGAGTGAAAAGTGCAGAGAGCCAGCGTGGTGCAGTGGTTAAGAGCGCAGGTCTGGGAGCCAGGAGTTCTGGGTTCGAGTCCCCGCTCAGCCATGGAGCCAGCTGGGTGACCTTGGGACGATCTCAGACTCTCACCCCAGCCAGCCTCACAGGGCTGCTGTTGTGGGGATAAGACTGAGAGCCGCAGGAGGAGAATTGCATCACATAAGCCGCTTGGAGTTCTTTAGCAAAGGATGTGGGATGGGATGCGAATCTAAGTCAATACATAAGCAAGCAAAGTACCCATTCAAGCAGCACTTTCAGCATTTGAGTTATAAATAGATCCTTGTCTGCAGACCCAGCCCACCTGGAGCATTTTGAGAAGTATCTCCAGGCGATGAACGGCTCAGAGGAGATATGCCTGTTGACAACGTTTGCCCAGATGGCTCAGACAAAACGGAGGGATGTAGATGAAGACTTTGTCCGAATCATTGTGCTGGAAATTTACGAGGTGAGCAGAGGGCAGTGGGATAGGCAGGTGGTCTCCGTCAGGGTGGGCAGAATGCTCAGGCATGAGGGGGACTTCCGTGTTGGTGCGGGGAGGCTGACCTGTGAGCTGGGAATTCCCTGCTTTGAATTCGGGCGGCTGCTGCTGGCAATTTACTGGAGGGGCATTCCTAGGTAAGCTCAGACAGAGGGGAAAAGGCCTGCAGCTCCTCACCGAACTCCAGTCAGCTGTGCTGTGAGCTGTAGGCCTCCCCCCGCCCCTGTTTAAACGTAGCATCACACCCGAGGGGACTCTTTCATCTGCATTTATTTATGCATGCGTGTTTAACAAAGGCAGAGCCTTTGTTACCTGCCTAAAGCTGTCTAGTAGTGCATGGCAATTTACAATGTAAAGAAGGCAGGAAGAATAAACTATCGTGTTAAAATGGGGCGTCCATCACAACAGTGGCTGGTCAAATGAGGGCGGCTCCCTGAAATGAAGATTTTGTCAGGATGTACTGGGAACGGAGCGTTGCCTGGGCTCACTCGGCGCCCCAAGTAACCCACTGCTGCTTCTGTCCTGATTTGCTTTCAGAGCAGCATCTCCTCAGCCCTCCAGAAGTGCCGGGCGGCTGTTTTTGAATTACAGGCCGACACATCTGGAGGGCACCAGGTTGGAGAAAGCCTGTGGGAAAGTATGGGATTTAGTGAGGTGTGCCAGCGGCTTCAGAGAAAAGATGTTGTTGAACGGCTGTATGTAAACTAGGCCATGGAGTTTCTGGGTGAGCTTGGGAATGATCTCTCAGCCTTGGATCACCTTCCCCAAACTTCTCCAACATGGAGATGCCGAAACAGGCCTGCCTTAACAGGTGTTGTCACCAGGGTTGCTGGATGTGTGTACAGGAAGTATTGCTACTTCTGCTATGGGAGTTGGGAGGATAGCCACAGCCACACATAAGACACTTACTTATTTATTAGATTTATATGCTGCCTTTTTTCTTGCGACGAACTTCAGAGAAGCTGACATCATTCCCCTCCTGCTGCTCCCAGTCTTCTCCCCACAGCAGCAACCCTGTGAGATAGGTTGGGCCGAGAGTCTGTGACTGGCCCAGAGTCACCCCGTAGGCTCCATGGCTGAGCGGGGACTCGAACCCAGGTCGTCTGAGTGCCAGTCCTGCGCTCTTAACTGTTGTACCGCATGGGCTCTCATAGACTGATTGAGCTGTACCTGCCACTGAAGTGCAGATGGGCTTGAAAGCAACTGTTGCTTTGTGCAGTGCTTGGGGTCTCCTTTCCTGGGATTCCTGTGCATCAGGATGGCAGCACATTGGACTGGGAGCCTAGGAGACGGGGGTTCCAGTCTTCACCTGGCCATGGAGCCAGTGGGGTGACTTCGGGCCAGCCAAAGACACTCAGCCCAGCCTACCTCTCAGGGTTGTTGTTGTGGGGGTAAAACTGAGCAGTGGAGGAGAATTATGTAAAGGAAACAAAGGCAGGGTATAAAAATATAAGAATAAATAAGCAATCCTCTTCTCCCCCTACCGCACCCCAATTTTCCATTTTTCTGAATCTGCCTCTTAGCATTCTGTAGACCCCAGTCACACGTTGGACTGTTTGAGCTTTTCCGTTCTCTGTTCTGGGTTCTTATTCCCAAAGATGTTTTGGTGCTTCTGCAAACCTTGAGATCTCCCAGCCTGGTGGTTCCCCTCTTGTGTGTGTGTGTGGGTGTGTGTGTGCTGCTTTGGCTGCAGAAATAGGTACATTAGGAGCTTCATTTGTGCTTTGCACACTGAACAGTCTTCCTTGCCCAGTGCCCTCTCAGAGTCTGAGGCGTCCACTCCCATCAGCCCCAGCCAGCATGGCCAGTGGTTAGGACTGCTGGGGATTGCACTCCAGAACATCTGGAGGGTACTGGGTTGGCGGAGGGTGGGCCAGGCTGAGGCACACACAGGAGTTTAGCTGCTGCTTTGGCAGGAATTGTGCCCTTGAGTGGGCCAGCTCACCTGCTTGCTCCAGGTGGGCAAAGTAACACGGACCTGGAGGAGGAAGGGCTCCCTGGCTGCTGTTATCCTGCAGGCAAGACCCCAGTGCAGAGTCCTTTGAACAGCCGTCGAAAAAGAAATGATTTGCTCACTTGGACTATCCAGCTGCTTGCATTTCCTGGTGCTGAGAAAAATGTGGAGCCGCAGTAAGAGGGAGGGTGTTTCCACTTCCCTTCCTTTGTGTTTTCAGGTGTCCTATGTCAGCCTTTCCACCAGGGAAACTTTCTCTAAGGTTGGCCGGGAGCTCCTGGGAGCCATCACCGCCGTCCATACAAGCATGATTTCTGTCCTGCTGGACCGAGTCAGAGACACCATCCAAAGGGTCGGCATGGTAAGAAGCACGCTGGGTTTCGGGTCGTTCATTGGCCAAGGATGTTTGACCAAAGCCATAGCATGCAGAAGATGGAAAACTTCTAAACCCTGCTAAACGCCATTTTAATTGTTAACAATATTTGCTTATTTATCTGGCCAGGGCGACTTCTTTTATATTCTTTATTTATTTTATATTGTTAATTTTAATTGTATATTGTTATTTTTGTATTTTATTGTATTTTATTGTGTTGTAAGCCACCCCGAGGCTTTGGCAAGGGGCGGCATAGAAATGTTTTAATAAATAAATAAAACCATGTTGAGAAGCAGACTTTCACTGTGAAAGAAACATGATTTCTCACCTCCAAGACCTAGAAAAGTATGAACTTAAAAACATTCCCAAGTTCACAGGATTGTATCCAATGTTAGCCCTCCTTAGAATAGACTAAGAGTGGACAACTTGCAGTCTGCAAACCCTCACCTACTTTTACTTATTTAAAATATTTCTACCCTGTCCTACACGAAAATCATCCCAGGATGGCTTACAAGAATTAGAACAATAAATAGACAAAGCAATAAATAACAACAACAACATACATAATACCAACAAAAAACAAAATGTGACTGTAACAATTAAAACCTGGCAGGAATGACAAAATCTCTTTGCAGTCTTGCTGACGGCATTCCCTCTGCATTGCCCCGTAAAACCGCAGTGGCCAATACTGGGCCCCATTTCATAGCCTTCCTCGGCAATGCTATTCCCCCCCACCCCAGACTTTTGGGGAGATTGGCTCAAATGTTAAGGTGTTAAAAACAGACAGACAGACAGACAGACAGACAGACAGAGAGAGAGAGAGAGAGAGAGAGAGAGAGAGATTTGTACAATTCAATTAAAGCAAGATATCTATACCAAAGAACCAAGCCACAGTAGCTTATTTTCAGGGTGGGTTACTATGATGACCCAGTGGCTCCAACTCTTGTGTTTTTTCTGCTTGCAGGTTACCCTGTACCTGTTTAAAGAGCTGCCAATGTCTCTCTGGAAGCCATCGGCTTCGGAGGTTGCCCTGATCCGTGACTGGCTTCTGAATTACAACCTGACTGAAGTTGAAAACAAACTAGCTTGCGTTATCCTGGAGGGGCTGAACTGGGGACATTGTGAGAACGTGTGTATTGAAAAAGGGTCTATAACTTTTAATTGATTAATTGGGCAAAGCATTTTAAAAACGTGTGTGTGTGTGTGTATAGTACCAGTCCATCAAAACACTGTAGATGGGGAGGCCTTCCCCTTTCACTCGTGCTAAGGGCAGAGGCTTCCTTTTCCAAGACGATGCCTTCTGCAGCACAGACAGGGACTATCTGAAGTTGCGCTTGTGTTCATGCACATTTTTCTGTGGATTTGATGTACACTAGTTTATCAAGGTTTTGTTAACTGAGCAACAGTTGTCGTTAAATATGAAATTAGGTTCAAAGTGATCTTGAGCCAGCTAGCTATTCTGTTGCAGCCTCTTCTCTGAAACAGTTGACAGAAATAAGAAAAGGGATCCCCATGACACTTTGCTTCTCCCTTCCCCACAAGGCAGAAGATCCTCAAGATCATTATGTAGGACTGCAGCTCCCATCCCATATAGGACATGGAATAATCCATTCAAGCTGCAACAACCCAGATCCAGGCTGGACATCAGGAAAAGCTTCCTTACTGTCAGAGCAATGCGACAGTGGAACCAGCTGCCTGGACAGGTGGTGGGCTCTCCCACACTGGAGACATTCAGGAAGAAACTGGGCAGCCATCTGAGTGGGATGGTGTAACCTGATGTCCTGCAGCAGTGGGGGGTTGGACCTGATGGCCTTCATGGCCCCTTCCAATTCTATTCTATGATTCAATGATCATTCCCAGGTGGTTTGGCCATAGTTCTTGGCAGTAGGAGCTTTAAGCTAAAATAGGCGGTTATTTTGACTCTTCCCCTTCAGCCTTTAGTTGCCCCCATCCTAGAACTGCTATCCCCAAGAGCTTCCCTGATACGGAGTTTGACCTCTGGGCTCATACACCTCTGCATGATCAAACTCCATATTGCTTGTTTTCTCAGAAGTAGGACTGATCTCTCTTCGGATGGTGGCGGCCGCCTCCTCCTCCTCTTTCTTCAGCGTGTAGCAGGATCATGAGTTCCATGTGAGCTGCTGGATCAAAGTGGCCAGTCCGCTAGTTATCCCAGTGTGTGTGTGGGGTGGAGCGAGGCTGGCTTGCATTTGTGCTGTCTGACTGCTGGAGTGACTCAGACTGCACTTCTCTGCTAGTGCAGAGATAAAACTCCTACAGCTCCCAGTATCCCCAGCCAGCCTGGGAGTTGTAGGACTGAGGGACCACAAGCACCATATTGCAGTGGTGGCTGCCTGCAGCCCAAATGTTTCTCTTGGGGCCTCATTTGATTCCTTTCAATGAACTGCTCTAGGGCTGAGTGGAAATTCAGCATTGAAATGGTGCCACAAAAGAGAAGGCCTTGCCTTCAGGGATTGCTTATAGCACGTGCAGCTTAGGCCTGTTTCTCAAAAATAAGCACATTGTTTTTGAACAGGGCATCCTTCATCTGGATCCGGCGGTGCATGCCGAAGTGGCCCTCACCATCCTGGAGGCTTACCAGAAGTACCTCTCTCAGAAACTGTACAGCGGGCTAATCTCCGAAAGCCTCAGACAGGTACCGCGCTCCCTGTGGATGAGCCGGCTTCCAGCTGGGATTCTGCACATTCCTTAACCCTCACCCCACCCCAAACTCTCCTTGTCCATTTTTGGATAAGTGCATAAATGTTGCTTAGCCCTCTTTTCTGCAAAGGGGTCCCCTTTCCCTACACTGACAAGTTTATGACAAGGCCACATGGGCTGAAGTCACTGCTGGATTAGGAAGAAAATGGGGATCTGGTGAAAAACGTGGCCGGGCCATCTTTGTGCCTCTAGGCAGCACGCTCAGTAAGTTATTTTGGAGTTCTTCCTCTGTTAGGCTTTCCCTCTTTCTAATTTTTTTTACTTATCTAAACATTGGCATGTCCCAAGAATCTGACTGCGCACGGACTGCCCCATTTTTGTCATCAAAAGTTCAAGGCTTGGAAAATGAATTCACCTGGGGACATGAACCACTTCGAATGCCAGGAAGTGGTTGCTTTAGCCAAGGCGGGCTGTGAGGAGGCCAGAGACAATCTGGTGGCAACTTGGGGAGAGCTGAGGTGGCCCCCAGCTGGGAGGGGGGTCAATCCAAGGCACTTAGAAATTCCTGGCCAGGACTGGGGGAAGTGAGGGGGTGGAAAAGGCAGGGCATGGATCATTGGTAGAATGAGAAACGTTGTCTGTGGTCTGTGAGGGAAGAGACGAGGCAAGTCTCGCTCTGCCAATATCTCACACAAGCTGGAGATTCCTGATCGATGGAGAATGTCATCCAAGGACTCTGGAGGTGAGAGTTCAGAAGCAGCCGTCCAGGAGAGGATTAACTAGAGAGCCGAAGGAAGGATGGATAGATAAAAATGTCAAAAATGCAAATGACCGCTGTGTTGGCTAGATGAGAAGTTGCAATGCCTCCTTGTTGATAAAAGTGAAATAGAAGTCAGGAAATGTCAATATTCCTTGTGTTCCAAAACAAGGTTATAAGTATCCTTTGTCACCCGAAGAGAGCAAAAGGACCGATCAGTTGGGATAAAGAAGGGGTGTCAAAAGCGTCCAGCTGCTTGCATGCCAGAAAATTAAGCTTCCGGGGAAGTGTTTGGTGTGGCAAGTGCTCTGTTTTGCAAGGACCTCCGGATGCAAACCAGGGAGGAGGCTTCAGCCGCTCCTGGGACTGGGCTTGGAGTGCCGGGACGCGGCCTGAAGCTCCTCCCTCCCCCAGGGTTGCAACGTGCCATCAGGTCCTGTTTGACGCACGGGGGCCCTATGAATTGGAGGCCCTCTGAAACGCCCTTTCCATGGCAGCCCTGCTCAGCAGTTCGGAGCCCAAGGCCGTGGCTTCCTTTGTGGATAGAGTTTGCCCACCTGTCCCTTGGCCTTCCCCTTCTTCTTCTGCCTTTGCCTTCCCCAGCAAGTCTTGCCTTCTCGTGATGTGCCCAAAGCAGGACAGGCTCAGCCCCAGGTAGCCAACAGCTTTGTGCAGCTTCAGCACCTGCTTTCAACTAGGTAGTCCACTGCCAGGAGTGTTGCTGCTGCCGAAGGCAGCACAAGACAGACCAGCAGAGAGCCATGTGGTGTCTGTCTCCTCTAGGTCTCCTACCTGGCCAGCATCGTCCGTTACGGAAAGACTCCAGAAACCTCTTTCAACCAGTGGGCCTGGGGACTGGTTCTGAGATTAAAGCTCCACATGAACGATTACGGCATGCCAAAAGGCTGGCCTCCCATTCCCGGTTCCAGTGCGGTGCCCGAACTGACGGAGTCGCCCGCCTTCCACCCGCTGCTGAAGGCGGTGCGGTCTAACCTGCCCATCGGTTGCTACCTTGCGCTGGCCATGACAACGCTGGGGCACAGGTGTGTGATGGCGGGGCTCCTGGCCTCTGGGCTTGGGATAGGCCCCGCTCTGCCGGCTCACTCGAAGCACTGCCTTTCTGGCTTTCCTGGAAGGTGGAGCGGGCTGCACACTGAAGCAAGAGAGACCGTCCTTTGCCCCTTCCCCTGGCATCAGGGGAAAGGCTAGATGAGGGGGGTGTGTTCGGGTGTTTATTTATTCAAAACTTTTATACCCCGTCCACCCAATAAGAAGTGTTTGGTCTCTTCAAGCCCAAGGAGCCAGTTCTGTTTCAAAGAAGCTCCGGGGGCCGCCCAGCCGTTGCGGGTGGGGCCAAAGACAGGAGGGGTGGGGCCAGACCTAGGAAATGTCCATCGCAAGGCCAGAAGTGAAGACTTGAAGGCATCTCAGCTGTAACTGCCATTGTGGTTGTGTTGTTTGAAGTTAATTTTAGCTTTTGTGTGTGTGTGTGGAATGTTTCCGCTTGAGCTGAACCTGAAAGACCTCTTCCAAATGCTGCTCCCTTTTCCCATTACAACTTCTGGACCATCCTGAGTTGCTAGCGGGGCGGCTGCGATCAGCCCCGGGGCTTGTCACTACGGCTCTCTTGGAGCCCACGGGCTGCTTCCTGATTTCGGCAGGCAGGTCCGTGGTCTTTCCATTTTGTCTGATGTCCCTGAAATCTTGTTTTCTCTCTTCCTTCGGCAGCGTCGAGAAGTTCTGCACTGAAGGGATCCCTCTCCTGGCCCTTCTGGTGCAGACCCGGCACCTGAGAACCGTTGTCCACCTGCTAGATAAAGTCTTGCCTTTCTTCTACCCGTGCCAGTATTACCTCTTGAAGAACGAACAGTAAGCTCCAGACTTTCCCAGGTGTCTAGTGGGAAATTCCCAGACCCCCCTTTTGCAAAAGTGCCCAGGGTGGCTTGCGTAGTCCCAGCCGGCATGGCCCGTGATCAGAATGCTGGGGGATGTAGTCCAAAACACCTGATGGACACCAGGTTGGGGAAGGCTGGGCTACACTGGGAGGCCATAGCTCTCCAGGGCACGGTTGTCTTTCCCAGTTCTGCTGCCTTTAATTTGGAGAAACCTGGGGCTGAGCTTGCTTTTTCTGCAGGCTGCATGTGTTCTGTAGCATAAAGCCGCGGTCCCTCTCCTGACCCTTTGCTTTGGAGACATGAGGCTGGACCTGCGGGAGGGACAGAGGGAATGACGTAGGCCTGGGGAGGGAACCAGTGTCTTTTCAGTCCCAGACAGAAACTGGGATCCCCGGATAGAGATCTTGGCCTTGTCCAGGGCCAGCATAAAGACCAACCTTTTGGACTTGGCGGATCCACAGAAGAGGCATCTCTGTTGCAGCTTCCAATCTCCTATATTGAGGCTTTGCTGCCACCACACAGGCCAAAATTGAGTAGCCTGCCTGCCACATGGGCCCCAACTGCCCCCCATTCTGCCCCCATTGACTATGCTGAATTCAGTGGTGGCCAAAAGGCATTTTGGCCACCACCTGTGGCGCTTTTAGCACCACAGATGGTTAAATTGAGCCTGCACATGGGCAATTTGGTGATTTTTGTCCTCCAGCCACCCCAGAGGTCTGAAAGGGTCAAATCTAGCTCACAAAGAAGGTAAATTTGATCTTTTTAAGGCCATGGAGCAGTCTGCCACTAAAGCTCGGCAGCACACTGGCAACGTACAGAAAGAAACCAAAGATTCCACCTTCCGCCCGGTTGCTTTGCTCCAGGAATGAGATGGCAGTCTGTCTGTGCTTTTCCTAGGTTTCTCTCCTGCCTCCACCAGTTCCTTCAGCTGGACAGCGGTGTTCCCCAAGGGATGACGCAGCAGGTGACGCACAAGGTGGCTCAGCATCTGACAGGGACGAGTTTCGGTGAAAACCTCAGACTGCTCAACTGTATGATTCAGGTCAGGAGTTGGAATGGGAAGGAACAAGTGTCTGAAACTGGAATCCTCGATTCCGTATAGGTCAGCCCAGGCAGCGCAAAATGAGGTGCCCCATATCTCCAATGGGATGGGTGTGGTGTCTGTTCAGACATACCAAAAAGGTATTGGATGGGACCTTTCTTTGGTCAAGCATTCTACAGGTGTAGGATACAATCTCTGCTGATGAAGACGTACCTTCCGTGGAGAATCTTGGTGGCCACCAAGATGTGGTCATGGAACATCTGGGTCTTCCCTCCTGCTCCGGGTTCCCCTACTGAATGAGGCCTGGCAGGTGTCTAGCAGGGAACGCTTGACATAACGGGATGCTTGTCTAAGAGAAAGTAGATTCAGTTCTTGGAAGAAGCATGTAAATGTGATGCCGAAAAGGCATGTGGGGAGTCACTGGGCTGCGTAGCAGAAGAGCATGACCGTGGGTGCTGGACAGCCGCGGCAGGTCCCATGTGCTGAGCACATGGCCCAGGGCAAGGCTTTATGGAGTCACGTGCCCCTTCCACGCAACAGCCAGCTGATCGCCTCAGGAATATGGCTGCCACAATTGGATGTTGCGCTTAATGGATAGGAGAAAGGGGCGGGCCCTCCTCTCTTGATCACGAGCGATTTGACTGTTCTCCCTTTTATCCGAGCAGAGTCATATTTTCGTAAGCAGCCATCCCAGCGGCGTCGGGCCAGTGGCTGTCTTGGAGTTCTGGGTCCAGGCCCTCACCAGCCAGCCCCTCTGGCACAGGGAGAAAGCCGTCCTCTGCTTGATGGATGACTTGTGCCAAGCAGCGTTCCAGTTTAACCAAGAGGACTGCGTGCAGAAGCTGCTGTACCAGCAGCACAAGGTACGGGTGAAGCCCGCTTCCTCACTTCCTAGTATCGGAGCACAACAGAGGCACAGGGGTAGCTTTTAAAATTCCTCACTCCTTATGACAGCTCAACCTGCCTTGGAACATGGATAGTTTTTCTGTAGGGTCTCTCTTTCTTTGGCATTTTTAGGTTTGTCCTTGTTCCCTAGTGCAGGACTGGGCGCATACCTTGAAAAGCAGCCAAGATGCCCGTTTGTTTGGCATGTAGATGCTGTTTGGCATCCCATTACTCTGCCATGGGGAGAACTTGTCCATTTGTGGAATGCACCTGTCTGTCTGTGGCCATGCATGGAAAAGTCTCAGCTGGAGGAACTGCCATTCCAATGGCCTTCTGCATATAATGGCTAATGTCATTATGCCCAGTGCTCCCTGATCAGTAATAATGACAGGCTTCCAACAGGGATTAGACTAATCAATGGAAGAGAAGGCTATCAGTATACCTGTTGCTGAAGAACAAGGGCAGGAGGGAGCAGTGGAACACTTGTCTTGCTTGTGGGGTCCCACTGGGGCACTTGGCTGGCCACCACGCAAACACTGTGCTGGACCAGGTGAGCCGTCCACCTGTCCAGCGTAGCGCCTCTTACGACAGCTCAGCGAGGGACAAAATACGTTCCCAGAAGTTCCATCATGGGATGTCAGATTCCAGGAGAGGCCTGCAATCCTGCCAGGCTGCCGAAATCCCCATGGCTTTTCACCCCCTATAGTCTACAGCAGCACAGTGTCTTCTCACCAGCATGCTTTGTCTCGTCCACATCTCCCAGAATGCCTTGGGCTACCACTGCGACAAGGGGCTGCTCTCTTCCTTGGTGAGCTGGATTGTGGCAGGCAACGTCACGCCTTCCTTCATCGAGGGGAACGCCAATCCTGCGCAGGTAAGGAATGCCGTCCAGCTGGCTCGCTTGCGTGTTGTCGCTCCTTGACTTCTCGCTGTAGAAAACCATCGGCTGCTGGCACGGACATGGTTGGTGGCTCTGAAGGGCCATGCAAGGGGAAGAGGCACCATCCGTTCTGCTCTTTTCCACCCTGGCAGGCTTCTCCTCATTTACTTTGCAGGTTTGGTTTGCATGGACAGTCCTGAATATGGAGTCTATATTCGAAGAAGATTCCCAACTGCGCAGAGCTGTGGAAAGGGAGTTAGTCACCAACTCTTTGACTCCTGATCAGGCCCTGAAGGTAAAACCGAAAGGTTGTCTTGTGATTAATGACCCCTCTAACCCTCCCCTCCACCTTCTAAACCTCAGTGTGGAAATTGACTTGGTGGAACAAATTTTGGAGCCCGTGTAAGAAGCCTTCTACTTTCTTGCAGAAAGTTCAGGCTCAGCTGAAGCTGCCCATAGTACCTTCTCTGCAGCGGCTGCTGATCTACCGTTGGGCTCATCAGGCGCTGGTTACTCCAGCGGATCACCCCCTCCTTCCACTCATCTGGCAGAAATTCTTCCTCCTCTACCTTCATCGCCCAGGGCCGCAGTATGGGTGAGTTTAACCTCTGGGGATGTTTGGATTTAATGGAAAAAAATCGCATGTAGAAGGTCCCAGATTCAAGCCCCCAGTTAAGACAAAGAAAAAGGGATTAGGTAGCATTGGAAGACATCTCTGTGTTGGAATCCAGGTCAAATCTAGCCAGGGAGAACAAATGGTATTGTGTTAGAAAGACAAAATGTTTGACACAGGCTTCCCCAACCTGGGTCACCCTGGATGTGTCAGAACTGAAGTGCCCGTCATTTCCAGCCTCCATGGCCAAAGGCAGCTGGTGAAACTCCAGTTTATGCTGAGTTGCCAGTTCCCTTTGAGCTACTGATCTTTTTAGGGATATAGGCTAGACAGTGGCTTTGCCAAAGTCAGTTTCTTGGCCAAAGGGGGACTAGAACCTGGATCTCCCAAATCCCAGTCCAAAGCTGTAACAGCTACACCACCCTGGCTCTCCCTTTGAAGGGTTTTTCCTTGAGTACAGGGCTTGTGTTCTCTGTGAATTGGAACTCTAACAAAGAGGCCAAATAGAGATTTAAATAGAACTGATAGTCATCACAACCACAGTAGAATTTTGCTAAAATGCATTTCAGCATCTCTTTCTTTAATAATTTTTCCCATCCAGCAGTTGGATTCATATCTCTCTTGGCTTTGTTACTTTTTATTTTATGAAACTTCACATTGCTTCACATGATCGGAAACTAAATCTTAAAGAAATGTTACAGGAAAGGATAAAATATCAAGAAAGGAGACGAAACATATCCCTGTAGGACAGAGAAAAGTCCTGGAGCTCCAAACAGTCATTTTTTCTATCTAAATATGCATAGGATTGCATTCTTTATATATAATAGTAGTTCGTTAGATGATACAGTTATTCTAAAATGTCCATCCTCTTCCGCATCTGATACTAGAAACAAATAGCGAAAATTGCCCTCTAAAGTCAGTCACAAAAGGCTATCAAAATGCCCTGGAGAAGGGAAACACCTTTGCCTTGTGCCAAAAGGATTCCAGAGTCAGTACCAGGTGTGCTTTCCTGGGGAGGTTGCCACAGAAAAGACATGTTCTGTCTCTCCCACCTTTTGAACATCTCTCAGAAAGCGCTCCTGGCAAGTCCAGGTGATCACTTTTCGACATGCTGGAGCAAGAACTGTTCACATCCCTGGTCGGGTTTGTCTGATCCAATCACCCTTGGTGGCTTGCATGAAATGGCATCTGGGTAAGGGTGGGTTGTTGCTTTGGTTATCAAACCACTGAGATGCCACGGCTGGGGGAGGGGAAGCAGGCTGTTTACACATAAGCCATTGTGTAAATTGCCACATGGGGCTTAGCAGAGTTTACTGGATGCCCCTTTGGATATGTAAGTGGCTGTGTGCAAACCCAACATCATGGGTTGCTCGTTTATTAACCACATCAGCATCCCAGCCTCTTCAGGTTTGGACAGCAGGAGTCATCAGTTGAAGCTTGATCATGTGACAGGCAGCTGTGGGTGGGTGTCTGCAAACTCAGTGTCTCAGAAAGCCAGTGTGGTGTAGTGGTTAAGAGCATAGGACTGGGACTCAGGCGATCCAGGTTCGAATCCCCACTCAGCCATGGAGCCAACTGGGTGACTTTGGGCCAGTCACAGACTCTCAGCCCAACCTACCTCACAGGGTTGTGGGGTAAGATGGAGGAGGAGAATGATGTAAGCTGCCTTGAGCCCTTTGTAGGAAAAAGACAGGATATAAATCGCAATATAAATAAATAAATTTAAGCCACCCTGGGTGATCTTGATGCAAACCAGTCATTCTTTGCAAACTCCAGTACAAATGGACCTGCTTTGCAACCTCCTGGACTTGTGGGACCTTAGTTACCCACTGACTTTCACACTTTTGAATGCTCCAAGAATTTCCCAACTGAATCAAGTATCAAGATACATGTAAAAGCACATATGTTTGAGAGGAAAGCATATCTTAGGAATGCAACTTTTGGAGAAAAATGCATTTTGAAACATGTCCTCGATTGCACACTTTTGTCAATTTTTTAAAATTTCAGGTCAGTGTAAATAAAGGATGGTGTGAAGTTTTCAGTGAACATTTCTGAAAGCAAATAGTGCCGAAATAGACATAAGTTGTCTATCCTTCCTGCATATCCTTTCATATGCCTAATGAAATGCATTGCATATCAGCACCAGTATTTAAAAATACAGTTGGCAGCTTCTTCATGCGAGGTTGCTTGTGTTGGTTGTAAATGACAAAGATTCTGCTTTCAAGGTTACCTGTAGATGGCTGCATTGGAAAAAGGTTTTTCCAAAGTCCTGCTCAGCTGAGCCTGTTAAGCGACCTGAAACAGCGACTGATCGAGGTGGCGGATTTCCACCACTCAGCCAGCAAAGCCCTCCGACCGGACAGCCTGGCTGCCGGCAGTGAAAGCTCTGTGGGAAAGGGACCCGGCAGGTCGGACCACCTGACTTCCCCTGAACTGCACAAGGAGCTTGTCAGGTAATCCGTATATGTCTAGCTTCTGTATAAAAGGCTTTGCTCGTAGATGCCATTACTTCCAGCAAATCTGCAAACGTAGCTTGCCCGGGCTGGTGCAGAATCTGAGCTGGTGCCTTGCTGCGCCATGTCTGGTCTGCATTTGAACAAGGGGTTTGGCTGGGACCCCTTCCTGGAGCTCCCTGATCCTCCAGCCCTCCTTGCCACAGGGGACTCGGGGGCTGGCAAACAGGGATGCTTGCGGGACGGCAGCAGGGCTGGCAACTCAGTTCCCATTTGGTTCTCAAGGGTTGCATTCTGGTGGAGGGGGGAGTGGAGGGGGCCGGGGCCAGGAAACCCTTTGTATTTCAGCTTCAGGGTCTCTCTGCTGGTAGGTAAAGATTTAGGAGTGGCATAGCAACCTTTTTTGGAATTGGGGTGGGGATGGGGGACCTGCATGAACGCTAGCAGAGCACAGAGTGATGGCTGCTTGGGGGAAAAGGTAGGGGCAAAGGAAGGAGCGTCGCCACTTGGGCATCCCTTCAAGGACCGGATTTGGCCCGTCGGCCTTAAGTTCAACACTGCTGCCTTCTGTTTTGCAAATGTTTTGGGGAAATATTATGGGGTGTGCAGTTCAGGCCTCTTGGGGGCCTCACTGTTCCTCAGAATGAATATGGGGACCTCCCCCCACCCCAGTCAAGGACAAATTGGCAATTGTGGACAAGCCATCATCTGTGGAAGCTATTAATTAATACATTATCATTAATAATGTACTCATAGAGGAACTGATAATCAGTTTCTGCAGAAACATAGAAACAGAGCAAGTCAGAAGGGGTCTCCTGGGCCATCTAGTCTGACCCCCCGGCTGTAGGGTTCCCTGGAATGCAGTTTGAAGTCCGTCTGTTGTGATATTTCAGCAGCCCACCATGACTTAAACTGTCCCTGGGTTCTTCCACTGATCCTGCTTGTTATGGGTGCCATTTCTTCTTGGGGGCCCACAAGCATCCTGTTGCTTATTTTGCATCTTAAGCAGAACTTGGATTTAGCTTTTTGTTGGTGGAGTTATTTTGCTTTCATTTTTTAAAAAATATTCATATTGTAGCTTTTAAAATGTTTTAAAATTGGCTTTTGAATTTTATATCCTATTTATGGCATGTTATTGTTACTGTATTTTTATTTATTTAGGCATTTCTGTACCATTTGATTAGCACAGAGCTCTCAGAACAATGTATAAAATTCCTATGGTTATTTCTCTGTTGTTGTGAACTTCCCAGAGAGCTCCAGCTGTTGGGCAGTATGGAAATAATAGCAGCAACAGTAGTATAACAGGTGAGTTTGCCTTAAAGGCCCTAGTTTAGGCTCATGCTGTGGACTTCTTTTTGCTTTTAGGCTCTTCAACATTTATGTTTTGTGGCTGGAAGAGGAGAGCTTTCAAAAAGGGAACACGTATATTCCCTCCTTACCAAAGCAGTATGATTCCCACAGGCTTGCCAGAGTCATGCAGAACCAGCAGGTAAACAGGATGGCCCTGTGGGGTGAAGGACTGTGGGCTGACAGCTGTCGAGAAACATGGCGTTCTGCCCCCATCCAGAGTAGGAGGGGCCCTTCTGAGACCTAGCACTCAAGGGCCACCTCCTCCTCCTCTGATGAAGCTTCGTGTGTGTCAAAGCAGGGGACATCCAGAGCACTTGAGCGGAGCAGACTGCCCAATGTGCAGAGCCCCCCAGAGATGCTGGACTACAGCTTCCATCATTCCAGTTCCTTCGGTGCCCAAGCAAAGAATAGCAACTGCATCAGACACCGTCTCCTGCCTTCCCTTTGCTCACCTGTGCTTTGTCTGTCTCTTGTCACACCGTAGGATTTGTGGACGGAATTCGTCAATGTTGAACGCATTCAGCTTGAGCTCCAGGAAGCACTAGACTTCTGGCTCCAAGTCAGGGTAGAATCGCATGCGGCCTCAAGCACTTTGTCAGTGCAAACCGACTTCACTAACCCTTTGCTGGGTAAGCTGACATGTAATGGTGTTGGAAACAAACAGAAAAGGTGTTGCCGATGCCTTCCTTTCAGTCCACCTTCTCCTCCAGGTGCTTCAGGCTCAGGTCCCATTTTCCTAGCCAGCACAGCTGTTGGCTGCTTTAAAGGGTTATTTAAAGAAGCCTCTCCCAAGGTAAAGCCCTCACCTGGTGCTGTTAGAGTTCAGGTGAACTAGCAAGTAGGTAGGCAGGGCTGCTGGGAGGGTGCACTGGAGTCAGCCTGAAACTTGTGCTGCTCTGTGACCTAGGGCAGAGGGTGTCCTTTCTGCTGCTTTGCCTTTGGGGAGGGCTGTGCCGGGCAGAGGGTGTCCTTTCTGCTGCTGTGTCTTTGGGGAGGGCTGTGCCGGGCAGAGGGTGTCCTTTCTGCTTCTTTGTCTTTGGAGGGCTGTGCAGCCTCATTCACATCAACCTCTGTGAACTGGAACCACATCTGTAACTTTCCATGAATGTGGAAGTAGCTGTAAAAAAGTAGATCACCATTCTAATTTGCCATGTTTTAAAAGTGGGTATTTGTGCATTTGACGGACGTTCTAAATGCATCATTATATTACTATTTCTTCTATATGAGACAATTGCCAAAGCTGCCAGGCTGCTTTAAACATGGGAGGGTTGTTTTTCTTAGGTGTGCAACGTTTTCCAGGTGCAAATGTTTTACAAACAGCATTGATGGTTCAGGAGGCCAGAGTCGATGATGCGCGTTTTGTGTCTCTCCTCTTCCAGCCAAAGAAAGAATTACCAGCAGTTTAAAGAAGTACGAGGCTCCCCAGCCTTCTCTTCCTCTTCAGCCAATGAAGGCTCCAGTCCCTGTTGTTCCTGCGGCTAGTTTGGTAAATCAAGCGGAAGCCAAAGAACTAATCCGTGCCAGCCTGAGCATCCTGCAGCACCACGCCAAGTGAGAGGGGGGGTTGTTGCTGTGTTTGGGCTCCTCTCCCCTCAGCTCCACTTTGTATGTGATTACTGCCCCCACCCCCACTGCTCCCCACCCTTCTGACGTACTTTTTTTCCTTTGGACTGGGAGAATTGCTCCCACAGTCCTGTATGTAGCGCCCAGCGCTTCATACAGCCTGGCACACTGGTCTCCCCGTGCATCCCTCTGTGCTTTCCTGGATGCACCACCCCAGCTGAAAAAATTCCAGATGCCCCGTAGCCTAAAAGCTTGACAAAATTGCGAGTCAGTGCTTTGTGGTAAATGCCTGGGTCGTTGCTTTTTCAGATCCGCAGCCCTCCGAGAGTCCCAGCACGTCGCTTTCAACAACGAGATCCTGGACACACTGCCAAAGCTTTACACCAACCGAGAAGAACAAATCACCCTCCAGCTGGAGTGTCGCGGCAGCTCCGGCAAAAGTTGCCAGGGAGCAGCTCTTGTAGCAGTCCAGGTTGGAACAGAAATCCCTCTTCCGTTCCCTTTGAGGTCCTCTGCACCCCCCTACTTCCTCCACACTATAGGGAGGGGCTGCAGCTTAGTGATAGATATACAGACTTATACTCCGAGAATGTTTCTCAATGGCACCTTCTCAGATGGGAGAGGAAATAGGTGAGGTGCCACAGGACTCAGTCCTGGGCACAGGGCTGTTCAACAGTTTTATTAATGACTTGGATGAAGAAATGCAGGGAATGATGATCAGATTTGCAGAGGATGCAAAATTGGGTTTGACAGCTGATTGGGTGGGAAGACAGCAACGGAATGCAAAGTGGACGGAATAGGCTGGAGGGCTCAGCTGAAAGCAGCAGAATGAAATTCAGCAGGGACAGATGCCAAGCCCTACCCATGGGGAAAGAGGACCAAATGCACAGGTACAAGATGGGAGATACTTGGCTCAACGATGCTGCAAGTGAGAAGGATCGTGGGACTGTTGTAGAGCACAGGGCGAATACGAGTCAAAATGGGATGTGGCTGCGAAAGGGGCAGATGCTATTTTAGGCGGCTTTAATGGAGGTACCACTTCCAAATCACGTGAAGTGCTAGCTCCCCTTTGCTCAGCACCGGTTGGTTGGATGGTTGGTTATTTATTTATTTAAAACATTTTTATGCCGCCCCCATCGCAACGAAGCCTCAGGGCGGCTCACAACAGGATGCAAAGTACATAAATACATAAATAATAACAATATGACAGTTAAAAAAGTTTTTAAAAAGCCCCCGGTGCATCTCGGCTAAAAATTTAAAATCCTATTATGCGGTTAGGCCTCATCTGGAGTCCTGTGTCCCGTTCTGGGCACCACAGTTGAAGAAAGATGCAGGGAAGCTGGGAAGGGTTCAGAGGAGGGTGACAGGGGTGATGCGAGGACCCTTGCATCACGAGGAGAGGTGGAAAGAGCTGGGCATGTTTAGCCTTGAGAAGAGAAAACTGAGGGGAGATATGATAATTCCCTACAAATACCTGAAAGACTGTTACAAAGAGGAAGGACAGGATCTCCTCTCAGTCATCTCAGAGCATGGAGTAATGGACTCAAGTTATAGGAAACCAGGTTACGGCTAGAGACCTTACTGTGAGAACAGCATGACAATGGAACCCATGACCTGGGGGGCTTTTGGGCTCTCCCACACTGGAGGCATTCAAGAGGCAGCTGGACAGCCCTCTGCCAGGGATGCTTGAACTTGCAGTCCTGCATTGAGCAGGAAGTTGGACTCGAAGGCCTTATAAAGATAAAAGTTTTCCCTTGACGTTAAGTCCAGTCATGTCTGACTCTAGGAGGCGGTGCTCATCTCCGTTTCCCAGCCGAGGGAGCCAGCGTTTAAACCACTGTGCTACCTGCATCCCTGCCGATGGCCTTATAGGCCCCTTTTAACTCTGTATTCTAGGATTCTCTGATCCTGGCAAGCAGGTGGTCCCAGGTTCACTCTGGTCTGGGCATCCACAGGGGAGTCAGATCATGGGAAGAAACCTGTCTTGGCCTCAGAACCTGGATGGCTGCTGCCGTGCCGAGTAGATCAAGCTCTCTCCAAGTAGAACCCATGGGTAGCTGCCAAGGTGCCTTGTCCCTCCCACTTTTTAAAAATCAACACATTTTCTTATCAGCAACTGGGATTGCTGTGAAATAGATCTCTGTTTGTGTTTAGAAGTGTAGGTGTGTTCAGAGGAGCAGTTTAGTGTGTTGAGGCTTGGATCTCATCTCTGCCCCATGCTCAAGATTTTGGGCAGATTACCTGTTCTTTGCCTCACTTCCTATAGAAGCCATTTTGTGATAGTGCCCAAGGCAAGCTCTCTAATTGCCAGGTGTGCCCACAGCTTCAAAGGATTTGCTAGACCTGGAGTAGAAAATACCAGAATAGATGAACCAATATGTTATACTTGAACCAATAGATAATTGTGTGTGAGAGAGAAAGCAGCATTTTTATATTTTCGTTGTCATTTGCTTATGTGTAGCCATGAGGACTTAGACACGGACTCCTATTCCTTTTAAAAAGGAAATTCAGTTTCTCAAAATTGTAGAGGGGGGATCCTGTATCGTTTGATCCACATTTGGGCCGCTGTGATTAAAAGAAAGGTGCTACAGTTAGCTAGTTACTTTAGGGCCTGTGGATAATTTAAGTTACCTCCTGTTTAAGTTTGAAGGAAAGCACAAAAATGACACAATCGATCAGCAGCTTCACGCTCTGAAGAAAGAAGTGAGACACCTACAAGCGGAAGCCACAAAACCTCCTCCTTTGAGAGTTGTGGAAGCTGCCGTTCACACAGAAAACTTTATCACGTGAGTCGCTTGGGTCTTGTTTTGCTTCTGCCATGGGGCCTTGGTGCGCCTGTCTTTCTGACGTTGTGGTATTTATTTATTTATTAAAAACTTTTGTATGCCATCCTATTATACAAGATCTCAGGACGGCTTACAATATTTAAAAGAACAATTAAAACAACAATTTCAATAAATAACAGAACAGAACAATAAATCACAGAACAAACAAGAGCGACTGAACTTAAAAGCTTTTAAAATACTGTTTAAATAAAAATGTTTTGGCCTGGCGCCGAAAAGAGTATAAACTTGGTGCCAGGCATACCTCTCTGGGGAGGACATTCCAGAGTCTGGGCGCCACAGCAGAGAAGGCCCTACTCCGAGTTGATGGCCTTTTTACCTCTCTTAGGGTTCCCTGAGTAGGGCTTCTCCCATAGATCTTAAGGGGCGTGCCTTCAGGTATGCAGGTGGATCGAGCCCACTGCCTCTGCCCAGCACCATTCTTGGTCTGCCTTTCTAAGGAGTGACTGTCCCAAGATTTAAGATCAGTTGGGCATGCTTTGCTTGCATTTCTCTTGAAACTGGCCCATTGGGAGTATCATCATCTTCATCACCACCACCGCCACCAGCACCACCACCACATTTCTGTGCTGCCCATAGCTGAAGCTCTCTGAGCAGGTCACAACATTAAGTCACCCATCCAGATTTCAACCTGGCCTGACCCTGTTTAGCTTCCAAAATCAGGCAGTATCAGGCTCTTCAGGCTAAGTTGCACAGTTCCTACCACATGGGGCAGGGCCCTTTCTGTGGCAGCACCCTGCTTGTGGAACTCACATCCAGCAGACAGTTCTTTCATGCCACTGTCATTTATTGGTCTGTTGCGTTTCTGAAGCACCCAATGGCCAAAGCTCACTGTGACGTTTACAGTAATTAAAACCATAAATTAATGAAAGGTGCTAACAGAACTCTGAAATGACAGTATAACATCAGAACAGGAGCCAAAACTAAACCCAAGCCTGCAGAGGCAAAAGGCATCCTAGGCAGGAAAACCATCCCCTCGGAAATTGCTTTCAGGATGTTCATGGGTCTCTCGGGACCCACTGAGAGAACTGTAGTCGTTCAGTAGTTTGCCTGTTAGGTGCTGAGCACGTGCAGAGTTGCCCTGCTGGCATATGCAGCCCTGAACGGGTTGGGACTGGGCCTTTGGCAGATCGCCTTCCCCAAAGCGGACTGGTACACTCATTGCGATCGTTGAAGAAGGCACGGTGGGTTGCACCGTAAGCTCCAGGCTGCCATCTTGCAATCTGCCACTAGGTAGTGGACCTTCTCAGTGGTGGCACCCACCTTATGTAATAACCTCACAACTGGCATTCAAGAGGTGCCACCTCTAGCATGCTTGAAGTGCCACCGAAGGACCGTTTGTTTACCTAGATCTTCCCTGAGTGAGTTTGCTGCTCTGTTTATTTGTGTTAACATTGTCATTAAGGTTTACATAACATTTTAGCAATCGTGCTTTAATTGTAGAGTAATGTAAATCATAATGTATTTCAGTGTATTTAATTTTCTTGTAAACACCTTTAAGAGGGTCAGAGATATATGTGTCTATTAAATAAAATGATTAAAATATTCTACCAGCCTTGTAAATTTGTCCGCAAATGTTGCCATTGGCATGATGTTTAAATTAATCAGCCAAGGGGACCGTGCCCCATGTTTTTGTGCTTGTCTGTGCTGGGGCAGAAGTCCTTCACCCTGTAGCTACCTGGAAACCAACCCTGCAGTCCAAGGATCGGTAAGGTGATTTTGCCACTTGCCAAGCACATGGAATTCTCTGTAGCTTATGGGATCAGGTGACTTCTGAATGAATGCTTGAACTTCTTAGTGAATAAATGACCATCACCTTGTTAAAAAAATTGTGATGACTGGTACCCTTCACTTAAATATTCTTCAATCTCCCTCCGCCTCCACACAGAGCTTTAATCAACAGCTACAGGCTTCAGTCTGTGCCTGGGATTCACCGAGTTGGGATCAAGCTGTTTTTCACAGTGGTGGAATTTGTGTGTGATGAAACCCAGCGCCACCCACCTACCCGGCAGTTCTTCACCTCTTGCGTCGAGGTCCTGGGCCAGGTACGCTGCTTTGGGACGCATCTCGTTTGCTGTTCAGCCACTGCAGTTTTGACTCCGACTTCTACTGAGAAGTGTTTTTCAAAAATTATTCTAAAACATGAGTTCAGTAATAGAGGGTTCATGGATGTATTTCGGAGAATGAGATAGGGAGAGCTCTCTCTCAGAGCACATGGGAATCTGTATCAGTGTCGGGGGACATTTGATTTGCTGGTTGGTTGTGGCTTAGTTGAAGAAAACACAAAAAGGTTCATTAAGAAACCTTTAATTGGTGAAACTTCCAGCTTTGGAATGCATGGTTTTTAGGTGCAATTTATGAATGTGTAGACACCTGTATGTTTGGACTGCCTTTGCTGAAGCCTACGGCATAGTTATCTTTTCATGCCTTGGTACATATAAAACTATATCAGATAGGGTATCCAGTATATGTGTATTGCAATAGATTTACTTAAGTTTTTGGTAACAACGTTGCAACTGTGTATTTTATTCCCCCACCATTTTTTTCTTCATCCTGGTTAAGGGCTTTTGTGCAAAGTCATCCTGACTAGCCCATCCCTTGTTGGGGGAACTGAAGCAGACGCTCTGCAGTTGAAACATGGGAGAGCTTTCCGCATGAAATGAAAGCGTATAGGTCCTCTAGGCTGTGTCTCTTCTGAATGAGCTCCTGTATCCCAAAATCTCTCCAGGTGTTCATAGCAGGAAGCCCATCTGAGTGCAAGCCAGTGCTCCAGGCCATTCTGAAGAACCGACGGCTCTGCACCCTCGTGGCACCTTATTTTACCCCCGCCGCCTCCCCAGCAGAGTTTGTCAACTTGTACGAGAAGGTTGTGTCTTTCCTTGGCGCTGATGACAGCAGTGATGTCATTTTCATGCTGCTCACAAAGGCAAGACTCTCACAGGCTCCGTTTATGCACAGCTGCTACTTCCTGGGGCTCTCTCTCTTTTTAAATGAGGGCAGAGATGGGGAAGGGCTGCAGCCAATTTGAGCTGTAGCAGAGCATTCGTGTTTCCCTCCACCCACCACTGAATGCCTGTGTGCTCCCCCACACTGAGAACAACCACCAAGATTTCAGTGTGTGTGAACAGTGAATCAGGTCTCCCAAGAAAAGAGCTCCACCCAGAGGTGTTGACCCTCTTTCAGCCAGAGGAGTTCAGGGAAGCTCTTGTGGGCTGTCGTCCAGCAACAAGCAAGGCTGATGGCAAAAGGGTGGGACCACAGGCAAAGAAAATCAGCAGGATTGAGAGTAAAAATCTTCCATCCCGTAAACTAAGCTGTAGGACAGGCATGCCAGCCTATCAGAATGAAAGGACAACGTGCAAACTGGAGAAAAGAAGTGGGGCCGGAGAAGAGGCACGGTCCTCAGCTCTGCTTTATCCTCCTGTAGCTTGAGCTTTGTTTGGTCGGAATGCCCTCCCTTTCTCTTCTGTCTGGTCCGCCGTCCTCGGGGCAACTCTTGTCCTTCCTTCCTTGTTCTAGTTTGACCTCCTGCAGTGGCTGAACAGCTCCAAGCCGCTGCTGTCCGAGCGCACCAGACTTCTGGAGTCCATCCATTTGGCTCTCAAGGCCTGTGGCTTTCAGCCCGAGAAAGACGTTCTGATGCCCTTCTCTGTCTTCTGTGCGCACTGGACGTGCCTCCTCTGCTACCAGTTCCCTGACCATTACAGCAGCGTCCTCAGGTTGCTCGTGGAAAGTAAGTACCACCTGATGGACACCACCGTAAATCTGGCCCTTGGCTGCACCCAGCACCCTGTTCCCCATGGGGGCAGCCAGACACCCGCAGGGAGGCCCAGGAGCAAGGCTGGCAAACGGCATCCTTTTCCCGTGGTTGCCTCCAGCAATATGGAAACGTTTCTGATTCTACAGAGAGGATTTTTTGGGCTTGTGTAAATTATGCAAATCAAGAGACGCAATAGAGCTTTTTTTTTATGACTTATTCTGCAGAGTCTTTTTACGACTTACTCTGCTTCTCCTCATCTTGGTGAGCAGAAGTTGCTGCCGAGAGCTGACCATCGCCTTGAGCTACTCCTCTGGCTTTTGAGAGTTTAGCATGCGTTGGTCCCACACACTTTCAAGCGTCTTCATAAGGGCTAGAAACTTGCTGCATTGTTTTATGGCAGGAGTGAGGCGCCTGTGGCCTGCCAGGAGTTGAACTACAAGTCCCGTCAGCCTGAAGCAGCATGGCTACTGGGCAGGAATGATGGGTGTTGTATTCAAACCCTTGGGGGGTGGGTCCCTGATTTCTGCCTCCTCCCCCAGTTCAAAATAACTAATTCTAGACTGTAATTCAACTTTTCCCAAGCCTGGTGCCTCCCACCTGTGTATAACTACACCATTATGCTGCATGATAGGAATGGTAGTCCAGAATACCTTGTGGAGGGCACTGGGTTGTGTAAGACTGTGGCAATGGAATTCTAATGAATGAGACGCGTTACTGAATGAGCTGGAATTGACCCCTCAGGTTCCTTGGACCAGCTGCTGAGTCCAGACTGTTGGAAGGTTTCCCTTAAGGCCTTGGGTTGTACTTCCACGGCAGATAAAAAGGATGCTGGGAAGGAGGAGACCAGCGAGAGCATCACCTCACACATTTTTGTAGAAACTTTTCTGTCTGCAGAACAGGTGGGTGACCGGTGGGCGGTGCAGCGTCTCTGGGAAGGGTCTTGGGCCGCATCCCTGTCGCTGAGCTCGGCAGGCAGCCCGAGCACGCCTGGCTTGTTTCGCTCACTGAGCCGTGTTTGGCCGCTGTGAGTGGAAGGTGAGGCCTGTCCCTGACCCTGGGTCTCCGGAGGATGCTAAGGGCAATTGTGACAAGTCCTGGACTGGTGCTAACGGCGGGGCATTCTGGGAAGCAGCAGCAGCGGCAGTGTCTGAACCACAAGGCAGGCATTTCCGCGGCCCAGGGGGCATCCCCATTTTACGAGATCGGTGGGTAGCTGGGGTGGGAAAGACCCTGTGCCCAAGCGTTGCTTGTCCCGAAATTTCCTAGAGTGCAAGGCCTTAGGAAAGTGGTATCTAAGGCAGAATGTGTAGACTGAGATGTACTGGTGGCATCTCTGGGTGCTTGGCAGAAGATTGGCAAAAAGCTTGACTCCCAACAGCTGAAAAAGAGGTCAATTACAAGCCAAACGGCACATTGTGTAATATATCTGCCAGGCAGCCAGAAAATCTCTCCCCGTTTTGCAGGTCCATTGATTAAATAACATTTGATTTATTAAATAAATTAAATGACTCTGTCATCCAAAAAAGTGTGTGTGTGAGAGAGGCAGGCATTTTTGTCTTTTGAGGGGGTGTGGAAGGAATTCTCAGCTTTTCCTCTGGAGTGCAAGTGGTACTCCAGGAGAGCTGGGATGTGAAAGAGCAGCACCATGTTTCTTTCACTGGGAGAAGAAAGCTTTGCTTCCACTCGCTGTAGGAGCAGCCGTCTTTTCCCCAAAACAAAAACCTACCTTAGAATACTCCTGGGAACAGCACTGTACTGTGATGTAGCTCGGTTCCTTGTGGGCACTCCTAAGATGAAGAACACTGGTATTGTTGCCTGCCGCTCTGCCGTTGCTTGATGTGTTGGTGGCAAACTGTTTTCCCTCAGTTAAATGAAAACTGCGTCCTTCTGCCGCCCTGCATCTGTCCTTCCCCATGAATAATACAAGAATTTTGCTTGATCAGAGCATCACAAAAGCGTTTGGAAGCCATCTCTCCCTTGCCATCCTCTGAAATGCCAGGAAAAATAAATCTGGGTTGCATATTCAGCCATGAAGTTCACTGGATGACTTTGTGAAAGTGCTTAAGGTGGCTCTCCCTGAGCTCCACAAGCAAAGGATTGGATGAACACATTATAGCCACGTTTATGGTAAAAACTACCAGCTCACGGCACTTACTTTTAGAGAGGGGACTGCCAGGGCCTGAAAGCGGCTTTGAGCTTTAAACTTTAAGTTCTGAAATGGTTCACACAGCCCAACCGTTGCCAACTTGGTGCCCTCTATACGTGTTGGTTGTGCTGGAAGGAATGATGGGCATTGCAGTCCAACAGATCTGTACTGCTGGGGTCAGAAGAGGCTGATGTACCCTGTGGCAGAGGAAGGTCACTAGTGGTCTTAGAAGTGGGATGGTGAACCGCACTCCACCACATCTTCCCAAATTCGCCCATCCTTTTCTCCTCTTCCTCCCCCTCCCCCACCCCACAGGTCATGGAGACAATAGACTGGCTTTCAGACTACTTCTTAAAGCTGCGCTTGTCTTCGCGAGACGTCCAGAGCTTTGGGCTGTTCTCAAAGTGGACTCCGTACATCGCTGAAGTGCAGTGCTTCATGGAGCATCTTGTCAACCGCCTGGTTGATGCGGAATCTTCCGGCTTATCGCAGGAGCCCGTAGGCAGCAGCAGAGTTCTGGCAGGTAAGTCACAGGACCCGGGTGATGGTGGCGTGGGGCAGTGTTGCAGGCTCAAAGAGCTCTCAAGACTGATACCAGGAGAAAGCTCCAGGTGGGGAGTCCACCCAAACCTTGGGTCCGGGTAGAGTCCAGCAACATCTGTTTGTTTGGCGATCTCTTTTGCCCTGCTGCTCAATGACGAAGGTTCCTCAAGAGGCTTCTTGAACTGAGTGAAAAAAACAGTCTCTTCCAAAGTCTTGCAGTCGAAAAGATGGGTCATGAGAGGAAAAATGGATGAGCACAGAGGAGGAAAAAAGCAAACATGGGGATTGGTTCTTGAAGTAAAGATAATAAACCAGCTGGAATGGAAACAGATCAGGGGAGGAAGGAGCCAGATGTGTCTTAGCAGAGCAGGTGGAATGGCCCTGCTTCCCATCTCCCTTCCTGCTTCTCCTGCTTGACTTCAGATTGTGTTCCTCCTGAGCTAATAGAAAGGGGGACAATATATTTGTTGCAATTATATCCCAGTGCTCCTCTGGGCAGCTCAAGACAGCCTCCACAGCATTCATTTAGAGGCCTCCATCCAGGGACTGACTTGATCAGAGCTGCTTAGCATCACTGCAGTATCATGTGGGAGCACAAGACCTCTGAAGGCCCTGAGGCTGGGAAACCTGCCTTTCCAGGGGCCTTCAGCCACCGCTCCAGACACCAAACTGGACCCGTTTCCTGGGCGAAGAAAAGCCAGACGAGTGCAGATCATCGAAACAATGGTTGCTCAGAGGCCGAGTGCATGCTCCATCCCATATATCCCCAGTTGAATGGATCTTCTTTTGCCTTTGATCTCAGTCGTTCTGGACTGTGGGCTGGGGGATGGATGCAGCCCTAAAGCAGCTATGCCTGTTTAAATGGCAGCCCCGTCCTGTTCATGTGTGCTCAGAGGCCTACTGAGTTCCCACTGGGACTTCTACCCTGTTTCAGAGGGCCTAGGGCTGCAGCTGCTGGTGCGTGTTTATTTTGTGTACTGTTTTCTGTTCCTGCAAGTTGCAGGACATCACAAAGACACCTGTGGGGTGGCCAAAGGTACTCCTAAGGTTCCACTGGCATTTCCCATGCCCCTTTGAACATGTCTTTACTCTCCTGAAGGGCTAGAAGCTGACTTTCAAAATAAAAACCAAACCACCGCTGAAGACTGTGGCTGTCAGTAAGCCGAATACAATCTGTGCTTGCACAGCGCAGTTGCTGACAGCACAGCCCTGTGCCTCCCTCTTTCATACAATGTGGCGGATATTTGAATTTGGGAAAACCTCATTTTGCAGAAGTGATGGTTGCTCCTGCTTTTTTCTCCCCAGGATTGCATTCCTTGCATTTAGTCATTACCAAACTCTTCAAGCCTTGGATTGAGGTTTTCGAGAGAGAAGATGCAGGGTAAGCAGATACCTATTTAGTTTGGTCTTTTGCAGAATATAAATAGCATGCACTCCTTGAAAGAACAAACATGGAATTAGTCTGTAAAATAATTTAAATGGATGACACAATCTTGGTTTTTGCGTTCGCGCTTATGGTAACCTGTAACATCCTTACTGGTGTAAATTCATTTTAAAAATCTACAGTGTAGCTCTGTAAATATTGCATATTTATTTAATAGAACATGGAATGTATCTCTTGCAGTATTGCCAGATTGCTTTCATTTTCTTCTTTTAGTACAGCTAAATCAGTTTTTTTTAAAATGTAGTAATTTCTAGACTGATTTGCCCTGAAGCCTAGGAACTATGGTCAGTTTAGGAACAGATAATGAAATACATAACCACTTCTGGTTGAGAGCGGGAATTAGAAAGCTCTGCAGCGGCCACCAAAAGTGCCTTTGCTGCTTGCACTTTGCATATGCCCCATGTTGCTTGCCCCATAAATAGTGCAACCAGAGGGCTGTTCTTGGTCCACCCAGCCCAGTCCTGGCTGCCTTAAGAGAGAGCAGCGCTCTGGCCCCATCCTGCCCTTCCCTGGGTTGGGAAGGGCCTCTTCCTGAGCCCCTGGAGTACCCTTGCCCACCCGAGGAGACAGTTCTGGGCTGCATGGACCAGTGGCGTTCTTGGGTACACGCAGTTCGCTTCCCCTGTTGCTCTGGCTGGCCTCTGTCATTGCAGTCGAGCACCACGCAGCCGGTGGAGCAAGGCTGTGCTTGACAAGAGCAGTCTCTGATAGTCTGCTGGGGGTGTGCAATCAAAGGGACCCTGGCAGCGCATTCCGACATGCAGGGAATCCATGCGGCGTGTAGGCTGCCCCTGAAGGGACTACCAAGAGGGAGCCTGTACAAGGCACTTTTATAACCTGTCCGTTACACTTCGGGGAGGGTAGGGATCACAGGCACTGGAGGGTAAAATAAAGGGGTGGAATAGGATTAAGACAACACAATATGACAAGACCCTTCAGGGCAGGTAAACAGCACATCTAAGGGGGCATCTCCAAAGGAAGGCCTTTCAGGACAAGGGACATTAGCATTAGCATTTCTAAGGTGTACATGATCTGATCGGGAATCCTGTCTTAAGTTTAAAGCTCTTCTTACAATATTCGGCTTTTAACAGCCGCGTTATGACTGAGTTTTCATTTATGTTGTCCTGACATTGGCTAAAATCTGTTCTTCTGAAAGCAAACAGCCCTGCTACCCGTGGTTGGAGAGTGACGCGCCTGTCGCTTCGAAGATGGTGCAGTTATATGTTTACAGCATAGGTATTTTACACGAAAGTTTTAAAGGTAAGCCAAAGTCTTCGTTAATATATGCAGTCTCCTATCGGCAGTGCTCTTTCCTAGGTGAAATCTGGATTGCACCCTATTGCTTGGTTTTGCTTTGAGGTTTGTGCTGCTCATGACCTCTGGGGCCCTCCTCTGAGTGCCGACCCCTCGAGAGGCTTGGAGGGTGGCAACTAGGGGCAGGCCTTTGCTGTGGTGGCCCCCCATCTCTGGAATAACTTCCTTGCTGAGGCCCTCCTGGCGCCAAATTTGCCATCTTTTTAGTGCAAGGCTAAGACAGCCCTCCTTGCGGAGGCCTTTAAAGACCCCCTGGTCATTCAGGAGCCTGGTCTGATTTCCAGGTGCTTTTATTCTTGCCCTTTTATTATCCTTTAATTCTTTGTATGCTGTTTTCAGTTACGTTTAGATTCTTGTTATTATCTTTATCTATTGTATTTTACTGTTTTCATATTTTGTTGTAAACTGCCCAGAGAGTGTTGGCTAAGGATGCTATAACAATGAATTAAATAATAGTAAAATAATAATGCTGCTGTCAGTGGTAGATGGCAATCCTAAAATGATTGCTCCTCCCACTTGCTGCAGCAGGCGGGGCTTATGTAATTAAGTTCAGAATCTTTGCCCATGGCCGTTGGAGAGAGAACCACCCTCTCCCACTTGCTTACCCATCAGAGTCTGGTGCCCTTGGCTCTGTCTTCAGCATGAATGAAATATTTTGCGTAAGAAGCATCAGGCATTTTTCCTGAGTCTGGATTAGGTAATTGGGGTGGGGGGAGCTACTGCTCTCTCTTCAAGATAAGCTGTTCCCTCCCCCAGAACCGCTTTGTCTCAGCTTCTGGTTTTAAAATGAATTGCTGTGCCTAAATGTGGACTTTTCTCCAAGCTGCTCCATCCTGAGGAAAAGCTACAATGGGAACGGGAGGGGCAGAGCCCCCAGTGCAGACATGGAGCAAATGCGGGCAACTTGCAGGGGTCGTGGGGCTGCATCACCGCCTCCCCCCGCAACGCTGCTGGTGGCTGCACCCCGTTTCGCGCTGCTGAGCTTGCCGCCAAAATTCGGCAGCCTAGCAAAAAATGGCACTGTGGTGGTAAATCCATTGGCAGCCGTGGGAAGGGGGCGCTCAGTAGGCACACCACAGAATGCTGGGGGCACGTGGCACATGGGCCATGTGTTGCCCCTTCCCCGCCTCACAGCTTGGTATTCTGACTGAGGAACGCCCAGCCTCCCCTCCGAGGGGGCCGGCTCTCCTTAACAGTGGTGTTGAGTCTAAGAGAATGGCTGTTTTAGGGGCTCTCCAGGTTGATGAAAACCAGTTCAAACTGGAGAAAAGGGGTGTGCATGTGGGAGATGGGCTGCTGGGCAACGGCCTGGGCAAAGAACGCACTTAGGCAAGCCATTCTCACAACCCCTGTGATGTCAGGAGGGGAGGCATAATGATCCACAGGGGCTTCATGGGCAGATGGCTGGGAGGGTCCTGGCTGATGTCCCAGAAATGCAGTGATAGTTCCTCAGAGGTGATGCGCCCCTACAGGTGTCCTGAGGGGACGAGGCCTGCTGGGAGGGGGGCATTCTCCTAGGCGTCAGGCCTGTTTCCCCAGACGCGTTGCTTTCCTCTCCCTCCCAGCTTCACACCTACTTGCATGGGTGAAACCGATTCTAGAATTGGAGATGAGTGAGCTTGATCACCCATATTCTTGTGAATTTCAGGAGTTGTTGTTAGAGATTGGAGGGACTGGATTCAGACTACATGGTAACCCACACTTTAGGGCTGGGTATGGGTTGAATGTCCTTTAGTGTTGAACTGTGGCTTGTTGAAACATGGTTTGCCATGTTGTCTGAACCCAGCTGCATTAACAAGCCATGGTTGTTTAACCGAGAACAACCTGTGAACGCATGATTTGTTGTTGGATTCTGAGCTGTGGGTTGTTTGTAGTTAGCCTTTCTACAAACAATGGTTGATTGAGATCAGGCAACATGATAACCCACTTTTTCGCCACAAACCATAGTTTAATACTCAGGGTTATCATGTCCGAACCTGGCCAGTGGGACCCTTGCTGGGCTATTGATATACTTGTCAATGTCTCAGTTCTCGTGGTCCTGTCTGGCCTTTGCTTACTAAACTTTACTTGGATGTTTCACTCACCTGATCTGCACCTTTGCTTCTACCTTAGATAAGCTGTTGCCAAGTCATCATGGGGCGCTTTGGCTGTACCTGATGTACTATTGCCAGTCGTGCACAGCCCCCAAAATGCCAGAGCACATACTTTATACGTTCCATACTGAATTTCGGCACCTCCCCTGGAAGGAAATGCACCCAGATCGGCAACTGATGGAAGAATTCTTTAAAGTAAGTGCAAACTGCTTGTAAAAACCATAAGAAAGGTTCATTTATTTATTTCTGAATTTAATTAGTGGCAGTATCGCTTGAATTCCTCAGGAGGACATCCAATAGAAGCACAAATAAACCTGCTTAATTCACATTAAAATCCAGCGGTCTGATAAAACAGTTAAAAGCAGCAATCAATTGCAAGCAGCAGAGGCTTATGTAAGTTTGTGGAAATACAGGGAATTTAGGGGCCTGGGAGAGAGAGGGAAGGGAGGAGAAATGAGGAGAAACGAGACGGGGAAGAATTACGCAAGGTGAGCGAGGTTGGGGTAACGATGTGATGCAGCCCAAGCTGCCAGCTGTCCTGCAGAGCCCTGGATGGCCTGGGCCCAGGGCCGGGTGCTCCGTGAGATGGGCACCGAAGGCTCCCTTTCGCAAGCCCACCCACACATCGCGCTGGATGAGCAAAGGCGGAAGGAGAAGCAATCTTGCTCCTCATTCATCCCCCCGGCCCAAGTTGCCAGGGCCCCTCCTGTTGCAGAACTGGCAGATCAGCTGCACACAGCGCATGCTTTTGGGAGCCGGTCCTTGGAGCTGTGTGTCGAACTGGCAGAGCTGGAAGAAATCTGTTTATGGATCGCTTTCCCCGCTTTCTGCTTTGCCCAGCCTGGGGTGTTGGGAGGTGTGGGAGGGTGGCTTGGATCCCCCCACCCCCACAATAATGATTGTCCTTAGGGATTTGAGCTCTTGGGTGTGCATCTGGCTCTCGGAGAGGCACCTTTGGAGAGAAGCTTGCTTAGGTGTGCTCACTCTGGTGCTTCTCCGAAGTGGCAGACCTCCGCTTGGGATACCTGTGTGCTCAGCGCACCGGCTGTTTCCTGCACATAGAAAGCTAGCCTGTCAGGGAAAGGGGTTTCCCTTAAACTTAATGTAGTACTTTTCTATGTGGGGAGGGGAAGCTGTGTATGGATGATCATGCTATCGAGTGAGCTTGCATCTCCCGTCTGATGTGGCGCAGCCCAGACCTCGGCTTCCCCTTTTCAGATCACAGTCGTGCTGCCAAAAGAGTATAATTCCTGCCACTTGAGGCTGTGAGCAGCACGGTTTTTGTAGTTGAAATGGTCTCAGCAATGCAGAAGAAGAAGACTTTGTTTGAACCCTGCAATTAGCAGAGCTACCAAAACTGATTGCTGGATGGGGCGAGGGAACCCAAAAGGGAGGGACACCCCCAAATCAGCCTCATGAGGCATGAAGATACCCAGTGGGGGTGTAAAGCAGGCTGACTGCAGCAAAAACGAAAATAAAATTGTGATGAGCATCTAGAAATGAAGCAGTTAGGCTGCTGAACAGAAGTGCTTCGTGCTGCAACATGTGGTGATTGTTCCCCCGTTGCTGTCTTACTTCTCTCTGCTCTCCTAGGTTGAACGAGGCAGTCCCAAAAGCTGCTTCCTGTTCTTGGGCTCGATCTTATGTGAGGTCAACTGGGTCAGCGTCCTCTCAAGTGCCTGGAGTCCAACCCCCCCTCCGGAAACTCACGACATGACTGTGTGTCTGCTTTACATGGTGGTCCTGCTGGCCAAGGAGGAGCAGCTTGTAACCAAAGAGGTATGTCCAAAGTGAGGCAGCCCTGCCCACCTTTTCCATACTTCCTTTTGTGTGGTGTTGCTGTCGTGAAGTCGTGTCCGACCCATCGCGACCCCATGGACAACATTCCTCCAGGCTCTCCTGTCCTCCACCACCCCTAGAGTCCACCCAACCCCACACCCACCGCCCCAGTGACCCCATCCAGCCCCCTCATCCTCTGCCACCCCCTTCTCCTTTTGCCATCAATCGTTCCCAGATCAGGGTCTTCTCCAGGGAGTCCTTCCTTCTCATTAGGTGGCCAAAGTATTTGAGTTTCATCTTCAGGATCTGCAAGTATATCATAATCTAGTGCAAAAGCCGAACACACTTGCTGCCATCATGCGGCATTTATTTAATTGCAGGGTGGAAGGCTGTAGTTCAAATTTGAGCTACTTAAAACTGGAAAGAAACCGGGACATTGGAAGCTGCCTTGTGCTGAGCATTTGGTCCAGTTTGGGTCCTACTAGCTACATTTTGTTTATTACCTCATGTCATTACATTATTTCCTTTTCTGTGTTATGTTTTGCCATTCTTTTGATTCATCCCTTATTCCAATTTATAAGCTGCTTCTCATCTGCAGACAACAGATCCAGTATTGAGGCCACATAGGAACACACTGACAAGCAAATTAAGTCACATCCATCCTTCAGCCAGCAAAACCCAATAACAGTCAGTTGCATTTGGCAGTAAATCCTAGCTTATTTTATTCTTCTTTGTTTACATTAACAGAGTTGTGAACTCTTCCAATGTTAAATGCCTAGGGAAAATTAAATGCTTCAACTCAGTAACAAACAGCCCAGCAAAATATTGTCCTCTTGGATTGGCAACAAGTCTACTGAGCTTTCCAGGACTGGAGGGATGGCAGCCTCAATCGTCTGGTCTTCTCCAGAAATCGCTGGATTATTAGGGCTCCTGTTACCCTAAGAACGTCAGACAAGCCCTGCTGGATTAGGCAGGGTCCATGTAATCCCTCTTTTTGCGGCTCGTGTGCTGCCCAGAGGGTTCCACAAGCAGCAACACTTGTGCTTGTGTTGACCTATAAAGCCTTAAACGGCTTAGGCCCCTATTATCTTAGGGAGCACCTGCACCCGTATGTGCCTACCTGGCCTTTGAGATCTACGCAGGGGGCCCTCCTGTGTGAGCCCTCCCTTAAGGAGGTGAGAGGGATGGGCGTGAGGAGCAGGGCCTTTTCTGCAGCTGCTCCCCATCTCCGGAATGCTCTCCCCAAGGAGATTCACCTGGCCCCTTCCTCACTTTCTTTTCAGTGCCAGGAGAAGACCTCCCTTTAAAAAAAAACAAAACTAATTGCCATAGACCTTTGTTTTGTATGTTTTACTGTATTCTACTGTTGTTTTTAGTATGTAATATGTTATGGTTTTCATTATGTTTCAATTGTGTTTTTATTTCGTGTTGTGAGCCGGCCAGAGGTGCTCTGCATACACATGTTTTAAACACACACTTTCCCACCTGTGCTGTCCAGCAACAGGTGTGCACAGGCATTGCCATGTGCCGTCAGGTCGTCTCTGACTTACAGGGACCCCAGGAAAGAAGGAAAGCCCCCTGGAATGTCCAACCCACGGCAGCCCTGCACAGCTCTTGTACTTTCCAGGCTGGAGGCTCCTCTGGTGCTGGAGTCGGACCTGGCCATGGGGACCAGTAGCCACTGATCGCCTCCTCCCTCATGAGATTATCCGATCCCTTTTAAAAGTCACCCAGATCTGTGGCCACCGCTACCTCTTGTGCAAGGGAATTCGGTGGTTTCACTGGGCTCTGTAAGGAAGTCCTCCCTTTCAGCAGCCCTGAACCTCCAGATGGCATTGATCCCATCAGGCGTTGGCATTAGGCGAGTGGAGGAAACATATCCCCCTGTCGGGCCTCGCTGGAGCATCCCCTTCCAGACCTCCCTGTTTATGCCACCAGCTGTAATCATAATCCAAAATCTTCAGGATGATGCTGGCTGAGAACAGTCCCTTTCATGGTGCTTCCCCTGCAGTCCACCCACTTTCCTTTTCTGCCCAGCCATCCCAGGCAGGTGTCGGCAGAGAGAACTGGGCTGCATTGACAAGTCATCTATAAACCATCTCCCTCTGTTCCTAGGGTAGAATCGTATGCATGTTTAGGAAGAAAATGTCCTACAACTTCCAGCATTCCCCAGCCAGCCTGGAAGTTGTGGGATCTTTGCTTTTCCCAGCATGCCTAGTAGGTTTCGGTGTAGGTTACGTGGTTGATGGCTGCAGGAATGGACTAATCTGTTTTTCAAACCACTCCAGGAGTCACCGCTGCTCAATCTCCTTGGCCAGACCAGTTCCCTGCCTTGGCAGTTCATCAGCATCTTGTCCTATCAGAGCATCATCAGCTACTTCAACAGTCACTACCCTCCGTCCATTATTCTTGCCAAGGAACCTGCAGCTGACCTGATTGTGAAACTCTTGAAGGCCTCGGCGGGCTTTGGGGCCTCTTCTGATAGCCACATGCATCTGGTGAGCGTGGGATTCTCGTCGGAAGGGGGCTTGTCCCGGTTTCCGCATGAGCATGGCTGGCTAATGAAAAGCGGGAGCCTCAGGACTTCCTTTCTCTAAATATGCATAGGGTTTGTGTCCTGAGAGTACCTTTTTTGATGAGAGTGGGGTACCCCTTTTGGCCTGACTCTGGAATTCAGCTTCAGAGAAGCACTTGGGCAAGCCAAAATGCCAAACTTCCCTGCATACGTGAGGTTTCCGTTTCTACGGCCACTCTCTCAGCCTTAGAAAAAGCATTTCAGCCTTTTAAAAATAGGAAAAAGAGCTATGTAAGATCCCGGAATCTACTGAATGACTGGCAGGTGGGGAAAGGGAGAGGCATCAGCGTGGACAATTGTGGAAGGCCAGATCTAGAACTCCGGCAGGCCAGATTTGGCCCAGGGGCCTGAAATTCAGCGTCCTTGTCCTAGGAGAATCTGGTGGCTGAACTTCTCTTCTTCACTCTTCCCAGGATGCAACTCCGAAGTGCCGAGCCTACATCCGCCAGGTCATCCATTTTCTCAGCATCCTGGAGCAAAGTGGGAAAATAAGCGTTTCTGCCCTGGAAGAGGAGATGTCCAAGCTGCTAGACGATATTGCCATCTTTAACCCTCCAGGTTGGATCTAAAGGGAAACCTGTTTTGTGTGGGGTGGGGTGGGGATGGGTTGGAGAGGAGGGCAGCGTTTCATAATCATACATTTCATCCCCCGCAACCAACACTCTTCTTTCTCAGCCCCAGAGATGTGCCTCACTGCATTGGGCCTGCAGCTGCCCCCCAGAAGGTGCAGGGGCCAAGATGCCCACAGAGCTGTTCTGTCCGTTTTCGGTGATTCCCCTCTGTCCGGGACCGGGCTGGCGGGTGTGCCTTGCCCGCGGAAGCTCTCAGATTCCATCTCTGGCCATCCCTCGTTCAAGGGCCTCGAGAAGAGCTGGAGGGCTGCTGAGTTTGCATTAGTGGGTGGGCTCAGCTTCAGATATTGTTGGAGAGCATGAGAGACTGGAGAACGAAAAGCATTCCTTTCTCCTCTCTGCTGATCTCAGAGACCGTTTCCCAGGGGCGCCTCCAAAGCAGCCAGGACTTCCTGCTGCACGGCAGCACTTCTCGTTCCCTCCTGTAGTTTTGAAGTGGACCCTTCTCACTCACGTTCTCTCTCTGCCCGTTGCCCTCCCAGAGAGGGACATGCAGAGTCGCCACCTGGCCCTGAGCAGCCTCTTTGCAGAGGCCCTGACGATGTTGAACAACGCCAGCGTGGCCACAGCGGAGTCGCTCCAGGTCAGCTTGCGTGGGTGGATCGATGCGACGGTGCATGGCTTAGGGGTGATGCCTCTCTTGACTGCTGCATGCCAGAGCCTGGCGTCCGTCCGACACATGGCCGAGACCACGGAAGCCTGTGTCACCGCCTATTTTAATGAAGGTGAGCTGGAGTCCTGTTGGCCTTTATCACCCTCAACATTATGATGTATTATTTGGTGTTGTTATTTTCTCCTTCCGTTCCTTGCAAGAGGAAGGATAGCAGCATATAAATATAATTAAATAATAATATGAACAGCAATAATAATTGATAAAATACTCATTTAATGCCTTTTATTTTCTGTTTTATTATGTATTGTTGATGCTATTCTTGCTTAATGTTCAGAATTCAGTATCCTGGGAAGTATTTTAAAATGTTAAAATATTTTTAAATCCAAGCTTCTGGTCCTTATGAGACTGGAGATAAACTTGCATAAGGGGGTATAGTAAGCAGGCTGCTGAGAAGGACTTTCACTAGCCAGGATGTAATGTCTCAATGTTTTGCATGATCCTTTACCCTCTCCCCACATGTGCCAAGCAGAATCACACCCAAATGCAAAACTGTATCCACTTTGTATGTTATGTACACACAAAGTGTGCCATTTTGAAGACACAATTTACTCAGGGTATACATTTGTCCATTCTTGGAGTAGCATCTGACTCTTGGGATATCCTTCACGTTTTGTCTTTGATTCTCGTGATGTCTTGACTTCTGTGCCTGAAATGGTTGGTTTAAAGGGATTTTAAGAAACGGCTTCCATTTGAAGGACTGTAGGGTGTGATCCTAGGTATGTTTGGGCACTTAAGAGTCCTGCAGCTCCCAGTGTGCTCCAGCCAGCATAGGAGTTACAACATTTTCTGTCTAAACACAGCTAGGACCGTCGTGTTTGTCAAGCAGCGTTGTGTTCAGGTTCGCTTAACCGTGCTTCCTCCCTCTCCCCCTCTGTCTTGCCTCCCACTCCCCTTACTCCCCTTCTCTGTGAAGACTCTCCACTGGGCCAGGATTTGGGCTGGGGTCCCATCGTGGCCTCCTTACAAGTCCCCGAACTCACTGCCGAAGATTTCCTGAAGGAGTGCCTGTCCCTGGGAGGCTACTTGACCCTTTACGTCTACACCCTGCAGCAGCTGAACGCCGAGCAGACGCAGGCCAATGAAATGCGGGTGCTGTTGATGCTCAGCAAGTGGCTGGAGCAGGTGCATCACAGGTAGGAGAGAACGAGTCGGTCCATTTTCCTTTCTCCCGCTGCTTCGATTTTGCATTCCTAAGTTCTTTTTCCTTAAACACGAAGAAATTTGCAACCCGCTAAATGCTTACTGAAATGAAAGCCTTGCCTGTTGGAGGGCCAGTGTGGCATCGTGTGGGCCTGGGAACCTGGAAGGTCAAGGGTGCAGCTTGTCTTGACTTAAAGTGCTTTGAGACTCTGTTCCTTTAAGGGGTAGTAAATTTCAGAAGAGCACTGGGGTGTAAAAGAGGGTGGTGAGTGGGTGAGGTGATGGAGCAGGCAGAGCTTGGAAGTGTGGGAGGAAGGAAAAAGAGATACCCTCCGTGTGGCCATTCGGCAAATCTGCAGAGTCCAAAGAGGCAGTCCTCTCAGTGGAACCCTGGATAGGGCCGTGAGAGGCAGCTAGGATCCATCAGGACAAAGAGAAGGGAGCAGAATCCCCTTGTATTGTCAAGTTATTCTAAGGGCGTGGGAGGGAGAAGCCGACAGGAATCTGTGTGCAGAGGGGAAAGACTGGACCAAGAAAGGTAAAGCAAGCGCTGGTCAAAGTAGGGTTTGAGAGTGAGGAGTGACTGTGAAGGGCGAGAGTAAGGGAGCTTCATCGGAAGTTGTTACCAAGCAATGTTTTCCTCCCTATGGAAATAAATTGCAGAGCATCTGGAAGCCGGTTCGGTGCTTGTGCAAATCAAGTTTTATTTTGCCCATGGTTAACTCAGCGTCATAGGCTCTCAACCACCGGAGGCTCATCCTCAGGACCACTGTCCAGCAAAGGGGCCTTACAGCCTGGACACAACATAGTGGGAGAGGTGAATTAATAAGGCTGGGGTTAAGGTCCCGGTGGCAGCGGTACATGCCCAGAGAAAGAGAGCGAAATATCAAGAAAGTGAAAGACACGCCATATCCAAACATATTGTGCTTCAATTCTTAGATGGCCTAGTCATGGATGTTTGAACAGAGATCTTTTTAACATTTATATTTCAAATGCATTTTAATTTGTTTAAATGCCAATATATATCACAAGCCCATGTATGATATGGCACACACTAATTAAAAATAAATCAAAACATGGGGAGTGCTCGTGACAAAGCTCTCTGGATGACTTTGGGCCAGTATTCACTCTCAGCCCAACCGACCTCGCAGGGTTGTTGTGGTGAGGACAAAATGGAGCTAAGCAAGCCACCCTGGGGTTCTCACAAGGGGAAAAAGGCAGGATATGCACATAAGTAATAATAATAAATGCACCAGTCACCATCAGTAGGTGCCCAACGGTATGGCGAGGATTGTGCGTGGCAACCCTGCCATGCACCTGTTAATGATGAAGAGCTTGGAATCCAGTTGTTCAGTCATGTGGCTGAACATACCAGGATGCAAAATCAGACTTCAAAGGAGTTAAGACTCTAGAATTTAGCATTTGTCCTGGGACTCGATATTGCTGCTTCACTCTGATTTTTAAAATGGTTTTGGCCCAGTTATGAAGAGCTTCACAAATTTTAGTAAATTCTTACCGAAACTCTCGTAAATTGAAACAAAATTCTCAGTCCTTCAGCCCAGTAATTGGGCATCCTGAGGCTTGTAGTAATGAGGAAAAGAGGATAATTTTTTAAATCCTGACAATGGATTCCTGGATTTCATTTTGTCCTCCTAAAATGCTTGCTTGCTGGTGCTCCACTGCAGTCACCCTTTGCCTTGAAGAAGGACTGTAAGGACTCCAGGAACAACAGAATACAACCCAACCGATGCTCCCCAGCATGCTGTGCCCCTCCCCTCCCCTCACGGCCCCTTTCTTCCAGCTCCCCCGTTGTTCAGTGGTGTCCAGGTGTTGTGCCACATTTCTCCCCTTTCTAAAAGGCTGAAACGGGCCCTTAAGGCTCAGTCGCTCAGTGCTTTAAACTGAGCTGTTTTGGCTCTGTGCCTCTTGACTTCATCCTCACCCACCTCTGGAATGTGGACCCTGCAGCAAACCTCTCTGAAGGAAATCAGACTGAAGGACATTCTGCGCTCCTTGGCAGACTAGCTCCACCATTTCCTACATTCACCGTTCCCGCATTTATTTGCGCTTCCCGCATTCTGGCTCGTAATGATCATCCACAGATCACCTGTGGATAATCTTCACTAAACAGGATGGGGGACGGTCCAAGCACATAAAGAGCGAATGCTTGACTACAGAAGCTTTAATTTCCCAGGAGTGGCTTCCCCCCGCTGGTTCCCATCACAGCATGGAAAAATGGCAGGCCACCTTTGTCCGGCGCTTGCACGCTGTTCCTTTGCCCACCAGTACCGCCTGTGCAGATGCTTTTTTGCCTTGTGGCTCGGACGGAGCTGGCTTTTTGGAAGCCCCTTAGAGGATAATTACCCAGGGAGGGTCGGGTGATATCTCCACGGCAGGCCTTCCCATCCTCTGAGGATCACTCCCTTGTGCAATCGGGGAGGCAGAAAAGGCGGCATGCTTCAAGCGCCTGCTGAAAATGCACCTGCTCGGTTTTCTGTGGCTCTTAATTAAATTAAACACGCCGCTCCGCATTACTTCTGCTTGTATTCCTCTGTACTATCATTTTGGTTGGACTTCTTTTTAATGCTGTATTTTGACTATGATATTAATATGTGTAGGAATTACGTTATACTTAGCAGTTTGCAAGCATCACAAATAATTAAATAATTTTTTAAAGCCGACACAAATATCAGGGAGGAGGGTGGGTTGTGGTTTTTTATGTAGATGGATTTTTTTTAGGGTTAATGAGTGAGGGGGCATGTTCCTCACCTGTCGTTTGATGTCCTGAGAAGAAGCCAGAATGCACCTTTGCCATAAAACCCGGATTTCATCAGCAAAGCGTGCCCCCTTTGGTTCCTTCCTTCGTCCCTGATGCTTGCATGTCCCAGGAGGGCTGGATCCGACCCTCAGTCCCTCACCCCTGCTGTAGCCAAACATTGTGGCTCAGTTGCCTTGCTGGAAATGTCCCGGCACTGGGAAGGTCCAGGCCTTTCTGCGATGGACCTTCAGCCCCATCAGGGAACCACGGGCCCTTCCCAGCCCGTGCTGAGGACCTCCACTGACCCACGTCCTTGCGTGGCACGTGGCAGATGCATATGGGGAGAAGCTCTGTGGATGATCCCGCCATGGGGTTGGCAGAGCCCAGGGAGTCTCCTTTTTGTGAGTCTCCTTCGATGGGGTTTTGCACGGACTTTCCAGGAGGGAGTGGCAGCAAAGGAGGCCAGGCGGGCACCAAGATGGTGGCCAGTGTTCTAACCGTGGCGCTCTCTGTGGCTTGCTTCCCATGCAAGTTCTGCGAAGGACGAAGCCAAGCTGTTCCTTTGGTGGCACAAAGTTCTGCAGCTGTGCCTTCTCCAGATGGTGCAGGAGGACGCGGTCCTGATGGAGTCGGTCATTCGGATCTTGATGTCTCTCCAAGGCAGGCAGAGCCTGCTGGCTGAAGAGAGACTCACGTCGGGGATCCTCGGCGTTCTCGGCCTGGGCAGGAAATCCGCATTATCGAACAGGTAAAAGCTTTGGAAGGAGGAATCCAGCAACAGAGGACGGTGCAGTCACTGGCCTTCTTGCCTTGGTGGGCACCTTTGGAATGTTGAGAGTGCACTGTGGGCACTCTCACAAAATGGCTGCCACGGTGGGATGGGGCTTGCCCATTTGCAGAATGGTGGGCAGGGTAGGCCTGGGTTGTCACAAAACACTCCTTTCCCAGAAACAAATTGGTAAAGCTAAGTAGCCCATCAACATGGGGCCCAGAGGCATTACTGGGAAAAGAGAGATGGAGCTAGAAGCCACCACTTTGCTTTCTAGTAGGCTGGCCTTCCTGTTAAAAGATTAGTCTTCAAACAACATCTAGACAAGGATCAAAGTCAGGGAGTCTGATGTGGGGTGTCCCTGGGCAGACCGGTGCGTGCAGGCGCTGCTTTGGGGACCCAGCTGTAATCTGAATTGGCTTCTAGTGTAGGATCTATTTTATTGCTCCTGTCAAATGACAATTCCCCACATGTACTTCTTACGAGAGCCATTTTCCAGCCCATGGTGTCCTTTCTTCTCCTTGTCATCAGGACCGAATGCTGAAGTGTTAAAGTTGCATTATTAAATTCATACATTGTGGTCTTCTGCCTCTTGGAGCAACATACGAAGTCCACTTCTCATCTTCCTTCTATTCCCCATTTTATCTTATTTTTCAGTCTGTAAGGTTGGCCAGGAATCATTCATTCATTCATTCCTTTGTTCATTCAACCATTACTTACAGGATTCATGCAAAATTAGTCAACAAAAGTGAGATGCAAGTCCACAGTAAAAGGGCTGCTGGGATCGTGTTCTCTTCTTAGAGAGCCAGTGTGGTGCAGTGGTTAAGAGCGTGGGACTGTGACGCAGGTGATCGGGGGTCCGGTCCCCACTTAGCCATGAAGCCAACTGGGTGACTTCGGGCCAGTCTGGACTCTCAGTCCGACCTACATCACAGGGTCGTCGTGAGGATAAGATTGAGAGCATGAGGAGGAGACTGATGCAAGCCACCTTGGGCTCCTTGAAAGGAAAAAGGCAGGATATAAAGTGCATGAATGAATGAATAAAACAGAAAAACAAATAGCGTTGGGCATTGACATGAAATAAGTTTGTTTTCAGCAGGCACTGAAGAACCATCAGGGATTGGCACCTTCAAACTAGACTAGGGAGAGAATTCGGGGTGGGGGTGCCACCCCCAAAAGCCCTTCCTGCAGTTGGCAGATAAAAAATTGGCCTAAGGATGCCCAGAGATGAAATGCACATCATGTAATGAAATGCAGCAGTACATCTGGATCATAACGGCACATTTTAGGCAAAACTAATGGGCAAAGAGGCGTGTGTATGTTTTTTTCTCCTTGATGGAGACTGCTTATCGCGATCGTTTCAATGCCGTCTCCTCTTCCTTTGTTTCTCACTGCAGATTCCGCGTGGTCGCCCGAAGCATGTCAGCCTTCCTTTTGGTGCAGATCCCTATGGAGAATCAGGTCCGGCTGAGGCCTGGCATGGAACTGCATCTCTCTGCCAAAGCCCAGCAGGTGAGGATATGTCATATCCCGCATTTACAGGTCTGCAAGTTCAGGGGAGATTATATACAAAAGTAAAATACAGTGCAAAACGGTCAACATCAAGATTTGCCAAATTCTCCCCACTCCTTTTTAGTGGTGCCATTCAATCCCTGCATAAAGTGATGGTGGGGGAGAGCTAAAAATCAGAAGTTTCAGTGAAAGAAAGAAACAAGGGGAAAAAAACCTGATCACCCGTTATTACAGAAAACGCAGCCCAAAAGCTCTTCAGTTTTCAAGGGTGGAGGGAGAAATTCTGCCTTAATGGAGAGGGGGATTCCGCCAACTCACAAGGATTGTCCCCAGTCTATTCGGCCAAGTACTCATGAAAATAGCAGTGCAGTTATTAAATAAGCAACAATTGCAGCTCAGCATTCACTTACTTTGACTTTGAATAAGAGTTGCGGACTTCCCGAAAGCCCGGTGACATGCGTACGACGAACGCCTTCCTGATGAAGGGAGCCATTCATTTTGCCTCCTGTCTTTGCAGGCGCTGAGCACTCTCGATTCCCTGGCATCAAACAAACAATACGCAGAATACCAAGAGCAGATCTCCCAGGCCTCCCAGTTCATCAAGGACTCGTGCCATTGCCTTCACGATGCATCGAGCCTTCTGGCTATCCTCCTCAATACTTTGTACCCGGAAGTGCATTATCTGGACACCATACGATAAGCCGGAGGCAAAGGCCCCTGGCTGCACTCACGGATTGTCTTCGGTTTGCACTTGCCCACGACCTTCTCCAAGGCGCTCACATGCCCGAGTTCCGCTTTCTCAAAGGGGCCGGGGCGGGGGAGTGGACTGGCTTTTCTTTTCTGCTCTAAAACCTGTGGGGGTCACTCGCGTGTCCACCGAGACATGGCACGTCTCTGGCTTTTGGCAGGGTGAAGTGGCACTCCGGTTCATTTCGATGGGCCGTCGATGGCCGAAGACCTTCACGCTGGATAAGGCTTTAAGGCAGGAGAGCAAGGACTCGGGGGCAGTCAACCCTGCCAGCTTGGTCAGCAGTCGGGGCTGCATGGGCTGGAATGCAGCTACCCTGAAAGGCACCAAGCTCCTGGCCCTGATGTACAAAGTGTCCTTGAGGGCTGATCGTTGCCATTTTGGAATAATGCAGTGTATCTTTAAGTGTGGCTTCTCAGCACTTTTTCAACTTGATTTTGCTCATGTGCCTTTTTTAAAAAAAAGCTGTGAAATTTTGGAGCTAATTTCCATAACTAATTAGAAGGTTGGAATTCCTGCTTTTATTTAAATTACTTCCATTTATCTGTGCTGGATGTTTACAACCCTTTACTGGTAAAATCAACTCCACTGAATTCTGCCAATGTTGTTAACTTTTTCTCCACCCGTTTAGGCAGAGGCTGGATTTATTTAAGGGGAGCGCTTCCCAAAATAACAGAACTTATTTCCTTATCATCTGCTTGGGAGTGAGTCACTTGGTAGCATGTGACTTTAGTAACAAGCAAGGAACACTTTTTTCTGGATTTCAGCATGATGATGGAGAAAATATCAGTTTCACAAGAGTTTAAGAAAATTATGGTTTTCTTGTAAAGGAACTTTATGGATCATGTATTCTGACAGAGAAGCAATCTTTTGGTGCCCACAGGGATCTTCTCTCCTGGAAAAGAGCTCTGTGTGACTCAAAAGCTTGCTTCCCTTCTCTTACGATGCATAATCATGTGACTAATTTTGGTTTCTGGCTGTCAATACCACAGGCAGAATACTGACCACGAAATAAGTTTCTGTTGGAAACCCCTCCCTTTTGTAAACAAAGACTGCTGAGTTGCAATCATACATGGAAGGTTAAATTCTATGGAAGTCAAGCTCACATTTCTAGGTAAATGTCTTGGAGAAAAGGGTATTAGTCAGTGAAGGAGAAGGCAGTGTGGTTCCTCCTGTCTGTCTTGAAAATGTTCGGATGCTGCTGCAGAGCTGACTTGCAGTGTGTGGAGTTAGAACGGCTGCATTGGACAGTTTTTATTTTTCAGAGTGTGTATTTCTAGGTTTACTGTTGACTCCTCTGTTGTCGCCTTATTTGAGTTCATTTTTCTCTTCCTTACCTCCCTGTTGGGGAAACAGAGACCAAAGTGTACCAGGTCCTTTGATCGTTCGTTGTTGGCACATCCTGGCCGAGAGTGGAATTTGGCAAACTGCTTGGGCACATTGCTTCCCTAGTGTGGGCGCCCTCCTTCTCACACCCTCCCAGTTTCAAACACTTTCCCTTTCAGAGCTGATCAGTAAAATGAGAGTGCATTTTCTTCTGCAAAGTAATCACATTTTTCCTGCCTTTCGCTCCACTTAGCAGGTGGGTTTTTCTGTCGTACCTGCCCCTTGATGGACTCATCAGCACCTTGCGCTGGCAAATAAGGTTGGACTGTTTTGTGACGATGTTCAGCCCATTATTGTGGAATTAGCTGGTTCTTGCCTTGCCAGATTATGCAAAGAAGGTCTTTATAGCGGAGTCTTTGGACCCAGTCCTGTGGATTAAGCTTCCAGATAAGCTGCCTCCTTTCCTGCAGTGTCAAAAACCATAGTGGGTGCATGTCAGAGCAGCCATCCCCTGCCTGGATGCTGGGACTGCAACCCCCATTATCCCCAGTCAGCATGTGACAATTGTAGTCTGATCCACCTGGGTGGTGCAAGCTTTGGGGAGACTGTTTAGAGGCGCTACAGACCTCATAACTGGAAAAAGAATGACTGCTCTGCCCTTCCTTCTAACACAGGAAATCAAGGAGTGTATTTTACTCCGCTCAGTGTTAATAATTTAAAAAAGAAACGTGAAAGTGTTGATAATATTGTGTGTGTGTCTGGCATGATCAGTTTTGTTACAGAAGCTTTTTACAGGATGTGTGTTTACACTGGTTTGTGTCTCTGTGAAATAAACAAGGACACTAAAAATATTCTGGGTGCCCCATAAATGGCGTTTTTGTCAATTGGGGTGCAGGTTGCTGGTCTGTGGGCGTGAGGAAGCGAAGGACAAGGCGGGCAGAGGGTGCCTCTCTCCGGGTAGGGAGGGGGGCAGCTTTGGAGGCAGCCCTGGCCCAATTTCCCTTCTGGACACAAGTGGGGGGGCCCGTCAGCAACAAGAAGCCACCCTGTACTGCGCAGCTGTGTCAAGCAACTGTTCTCATTTCCCACCATGCCCCAGAGCAGTGAGGTATTGTGGGAAATTAAATGGCAGCCACACCATCTGTTGGTGCTTTGGACCAGGAAGGAAACATTGAATGCAAGAATGGGCAAATTGTGGCCCTCCAGGCGTTTTGGCCTACTTTCTCATCATGTCTTGCCACTGGTGATGCCAGCTAGGGGTGGTAGAAGTTATGGGCTGAAACTTCTTGGGGGCCGCAGGCTGGATCCCCCAGGGCTGGACCTGGAGTTGTGAGGGGGCAGTGAAGGACTTCAGCAAGCAATTCCGTCTTTTGTGCAGCTGACTGGGGGAGGCACTCCCCGCTCCCTGGGCCCAGGCTCGCCCATCCTTGGCCGCACTGGTGGCCCAGAGCAGAAGCTGGTTATGGGCCCAGGCAGATGCTCAGGGAGGCGGGGGGCTGCGGCTCACTGTCCTCCACACCATGCCATGGCTTCCGCTTGAACCCAGTGAGATGCACCCTGCATCCGACCCGGCAGGCTTTTTCTTGATCACATCCGAGTGCAGAACTCTTCCGTCCCCTTGCTTTATTTGGTGGGGGACAGTAGGCACGTACTGGGAATTTCTTCCACTGAACTTGGTGGGATTTTAAAATGCTCTGGAATGAGCCTCTGGTTTTTAAAGGCCTACAAAACAGTGAAGGATCATCAAAGCTAGGCCTGAGATGCCACCGGTGTCAGCGAACTGGCGGAGTGGAGATGGCAAGAAATCAGGATGGGAATAGAAATTGACGAGAGCATCCATTAAAAGTTTCACTTGGACTAAAAGCTGCCCTTTTCTTTTGCTTTTTAGCCATTACCACCATGGCCACTATCATCTTAAAAAACACGCCTTGTAGTCATGGCAGATTTTTTTCTAATGGAAATAAAGCACCAAAGTAAGAACTTCCCCCAGCAAACAGAAATAGATCTTACTTTACACTTCTGTATGCATAGAACAAGTTACTATGCCATTTACTCCATGCAGGAAAAGGATTACTCATCCTAACTGAAATAGCCATTCCAAATGCAGAGTTAGCTTGCAAATGTGGTCTGGTCACAGCCTTCCTTAACATGCCGGGTGCGCATCACACCCAAGATCACACTCAGATCCGATGCCTTCAGATGCCTCCTTGAACTCCATGTCTTTTTGTTCTCATGCAGTCTGACCTTTAGTTTGCTGTCTGAGGTTGATGAAAGCTGCAATCCAGCGCCCAGCAGGGCACTGGGGTGGCAAGGGCTCTTCTAAAGCAGCATTTGCTAATCCTGCACCCACCAGATACTTTGGACCACAACTCCCAGCCAATGGACCCCCGAGAACTGAAGGCACGAGGTTGGAGAAGACGGTGCTAACATATTGCAACTAAATGCTAAAATGGAAATTCATCAGATCGTATAGAGGTCTCTTTCAAGGGGAGAGACAATTGTGGAAATTGAGGGCAGCAAAAATCATTGCAATGGCCTGAGGAAGAGATGAGCAGTTTAAAAACTGGATTTCACTGGAAGCGCTGGGGGGAAGGCCATGTTTCGGTAGCACAGTGCATGTCAAGGTTTCCATCCTTAACCTCTGGCAGTTTATCTAAGAGAGCTGTGAGAAACCTCTGCCTCAGACATGGTCTGCCAACGGAGGTGGTTCTCCAACAACTTTGAGCCTTCCAAGTGTGTGCTGAACTCCAATTCCCATCATCTCTAAGGGGCCCGGCTGAGTGTGGGTGATGGCAAGTTGCAATCCCTCGAAGGCGTCAATTACATGGACGCAAGACAGCACTGGACAAGTTGGTTCAAACTATTTCTTGGCAGAAAGCAGCTTTCTCTGTGTCTTCATTGTTCTGTGTTCGTATCACTGGTATTCCTTCCTGCTTTTTTCAAAGAATCCATAACCATCTAACCCGGTGTGTATCAAAAACAAAGCAAAAGGATTAACAAGTTCCCTCTGTTTCCATACCATATAATGGATAGCTTTCTTTATTTGACTATTTATTAAATTTAGACACTACCCGACTTGTAAATGCCCTCAGGGTGGTTTGCAGTCATAAAACAGCACAGTTTTTAATCATAAAACCAGAACAGTCAAGATAATATTTATTACATTTCTATGCTGCCCATTAGCCATGGGTTTACAAAGCAAATCCCCAAACCATAAATTAAAGTTAAAATGTAATATAAAACCACAAGCTTAAAGTAAAATAAAACCAAGGTAGTAACCAAGATAAAAGCAAGCAAGATGAAAGATCTGGAAACACACTAGCACTGTTCTGGGTTGTTTTTTCAAACGGGGGGGGGGGGGGGGCTAACATGCCTGGGAAAAGGAAATGGTGAGGTGCTAAGCAAGCCTCTGGTGAGGTCATCCCACTTTGGGGGTGCCACCACTGAAGAGGCCGTGTGCTTGGTAGCCACAGCCCTCAATTTAGCCTCACCCCTTATTTTGGACCAGCTGAAGTTTTCAAAGGCAGCCTCAAATCAAGCCTTTGCAACCCAAATAGGAGGTTGCAAAAGCAATTGTCTTGCTGGAATTAAAGTTGGCATATCAGTCTAAGCTTATAAAAGATGTTCCATGCCTTCAATGTCTGGGCCTGCTCCGAGGTCTCTCCCAATTATCACTCTAATCCTTTAGGGGAGGGTCAACCTCCTCCAGAGCAGGTTCAGTATCACACAAAAGGGTAGAAAAACCACCCACTAACACCACCATCTCAACAATGAATACAAGCACAAAAGTATCAAAAACATGGAAACGTTAAAAAAGTTTGACTCAGCAGTAAAATTAACAGATCAAAGATGAAATGCTTAAAACCTTAACCTTACATCTAAATGTATCGAGATGCAAGGGAGGGGTGCTGAGGGAAGGCCATTCGACAGAAGGGGCGGCCCCAAAGAAGGCCCCGTCCCTGCTTGCCGGCACTTGTGCCCCTGTGGGGGGCAGCGCACGGAAAGAGTCTCCAGAGATTACCTTAAGGCATTGGACAGGTCCATCGCCTGCTGTATCTGCAAGAAATAATTACGGATTATATCCACTTCATTTCCTTTCTATGAAAACACTTGTGGGATTCCATAAAAATGAAGAGAGCTGCATTGTCCCAGATCTTTCACTTGCACACGCTTCTTTAGATCGACTAGGGCACACTTTGACTTAAGGAGTTGATCCTGCAACTGAAGTTTTCATACGGAGACTGTTGCACCTGTTGCCTGCCAATGAAAGCATCGGTATGGTTATTCTCAATTTTGAGCAACAGAATTTAGTTTATTTCTTGCTCATGATGGAAAGAAGGCATGACAGGCCAAATGCGAAGGGTCCTCCGTGAGTCAGGCTCTTAAGGAACCTGAAAAACCCAAGCAGTTCCCTTTTTGACTTTTCTGAGCCTGCAGCATGCAAGTCTGATTCATTTGCTCCCCAGTGAGACAGCTCACTCATGCCGCCGCATCTCCCCTCGGAAGAACTGCATATTGCTAACTCTGCAGGAAGCCCCCAAGGCTTCAGGGTTCATTTTTAGGGAAAGGAAAATTCTCGGACTCTTTGCCCCCAGATGACGTCTCTCTGCCATCGCCGCTGCCGTCCCAGTCCAATTCTGCATCCTAGCTTTGCTGAGCGGTGCTGGTGGCCACCTTGAAGACAGTACCTTGGCAGGTGGGGCTAAAAGGCACCCTCTGAATGGAGGAGCAGGAGGGAAGCAGCCGCATTGCGGCGCTTGGCAGTCGCAGGAGAAAAATGTAGGCACTGGCAGGGCTGATCAGAAAGCAGAGGGGAATCTGGAGGTGCTGGTGGGCCGCTCTGGGCAGGTGGCTGCCCCGGGGAGGCCTCTGGCCTGGTTCTTCGGCTCAGGTCAAGGTGCTTCCTTCTGCTAGGCAGGCAAGATCCTTATTTGCCTCTCAAAGCAGGTGCACATCTTTCGGCCTGAGGGCTGCCTCTGGCATCGGGTGGGAAGCAGGTACAGGTGCCAGTGCATGTCCACCACACACACTCTTCCCCTGTTCTCCTGCGGACACGCATGGTGTTTTCTCCCCCAACACACACACAGAAACGCTTGTCTGTTTATTATATCAATACCTTGCCATTTTTTCCTTCCAAGGAAGGAACGCAAGGTGTCTCACGCAATTCTCCTTGTGCTCTTATCCCCACAACACCGGCCCTGTGAGGTAGGTTGGGCCGAGAGTCTGCGACTGGCCCAGCATCACCCAGTGAGCTCCATGGCCGAGTCGGACAAGAACCCTGATCCCGCTTCTAAATGCCCAGGGCTGGTGAGATCATAAGCCTGTTCTTCACGTATGTATGCATTCATTTGATTAACTGCCAGCCTGTCCTTTTGTGCAGCCAGCTCAGGGTGGAATAAGGAGTGACAAATAGATTTATTTTTGGCCCGTGTGGTTTGGTGACTGATGCTGCACTTCTGGCTTTGGCCAGATCCCAGATCTGCAGAGCACGTGGAACAGTTTGGCATGGCAGGCAAATAGCGCAGGCCGGTTGCGTGTTGCTGCCCTCCCCCGCTCCCTCTTTTTTAAAAAAATAAAGCCTGAATGTGGAAAGCTAGCTCATCAGAGATGCCAGGGGACTGCATCTGTTCCATCCTTTGGAAACCCGAGCAAGCCCCCAGCCCTCCTCGCTTTGGACATCCACCAAGGACACACACGATTCGCCACACATCCAAAAGGCGCAGGAGCGTGCAATGGAGAGGGAAGGGAAGGGTTTCTTACCGTGGCTGGCTATTTTGGGCCATGAGGCTATCTGTAATGCAAGGGACAAAGTTAGAAACCTAGAAACAGAGTGAGTCAGAAGGATCCCCCTGGGCCATCTAGACTGACCCCTGGCTCCAGCCGTCTCCGCTCATGACAGGCAATTCAATGTGTACATAAAAACAGAAAGGAAAAACTAGCATCAGTGTCCTCGGGGTGTCATTGCTTGATGCTCCTGCCCAGACCGGAACCTGCGGCACAGCTCTTCCCAGGGGCAGGTGGCGCTCTCAGCCTGCAAGTGCTTGTAGGGCAGGATCAGGCCAGGAGGAGTTTGCCAGGATGAGAGCCTGTCCGATCTTGCAGCACAGCTGGGAGGTTGGACGACTTCTCTGCCTTGTCCGGCTTGGCTGCGGCAACATGGGCTTCCATGGCGACAGCCTCGTGGCCCCAATCCTGTGCCCAGCCTTGCTTCGGGCTGCGCCACCTCTCCTGCTGCCTAGAGACTGCGGCGTGACCTTCCGGACCGCGCCTTGCCGGGGCCTGGCCTCAGCTGGCTCCAGGCTTGCCCTGCCCTCCGGTTCTTCCACGTCTTGTTGCTTCCTGGTCTTCCTGTTCCTGGCCTGGCCTTTGCAGGCAGCTGCCCCTTGCGGTCCCCCAGGCCCGACCTTTGCCTCTGCGCCTGCCACACCTTGTCCAGCTCTGATCCGAGCCTGTTCCTGGCCCCAGACCTGCCCTGCCCTGCCCTGCCCTGCTGGGGGTCTGCCCCCTGCCTGTTGCACAGCTTGGCTTGTCCCCTGGCCCTGAAGCATTCCACCCCATCCTGGAGCTCCAGCCACAGGTACCTGCAGTCGAGGCGCCGCACCTGGCAGCTCCCCCCAGACTTCAAGGCACAGCAAGGTGGGGCTTCGGGCAGTCCAATGCCTGCGTTTTGGGCTGGTTGCAGAAAGATGGCGCGGAGGAGGCGGGCCCAGGAGGAGGAAGCTCAGCACCTGCTGCGGCCTGGTGAGGCACCCTGGCGGGAGCAGCGTGGGGAAGCAAGGCAATGCCACAGCCCTACTGAAAATCCACCTCCATCTTCTACCCCTTTCCCCTTGTGTGTCTTGCCTGGTTTAGCCTGCAAGCGCTCAAGGAAGCCTGGTCTTGTTTGCGGCTGAATTGGAAGCCATTGCAGCCCATTTTCAACCTGATGCATGAGATTAAAATCCTGGAAATAGCTTCTGAGTGAGCGAAAGCTGAAGAAAGCCTTCCTCAGCCCTCTGGGTTGGGACTGCAATGCCCACCTTCCCTGACATTGGCTATGCTGGCTGGGCTGATGGGAGTTGGAGTCCAAAGCTTCTGGCAGGAGCTCAGTTGCAAAGTTAGGACTAGGGCAGGTCGACCTGGCTGAGGCTCCTCCATGCAAAAATTCCCCAGCAGGTAGCCAGAGAGCTGGCCCTCTTCATCTCTGAGGTTGCTGTATGAAAACTAACTGCACCATGGGGCCTAAAACTCCAGAGCTGGTCCAAGCTTTGCTGCTCGGGGTGATGGTCAAGATGGCGCCCCAGCGTTCTATCTACTGAAGCAAAGTGGCCCATCGATGAAGGAAGTCCGTTTCTGTAAGGCCCTCTTGGCCTCTCAAGGGAGCATACCAAACAGCAGCCTTAAAATACGGCCACCCCCAGAACTGAAACCCTGCAAAAAATACCTAGGTGGAGCCACACATTTCAGAACACCGAAAGCCAAGCCTCATAGCAATGGCTTCGCTGAAAGCCAAGCAGTGAGGGACCCAATCTAACCCCCCCCCCCCCAGGAAAAGGGCTCCACAGCTGGAGGGCCAACAAAAAAGGCCCTGTCTCAAGTTCTCAGCAGCCCAACTGCATTCGGGGGTGCGATCTAGAACAGGGTGTCTGAGCCTCAGGCCCACGGGTTAAGCCTGACCTGCTGGCATTCCAGTCTGGCCCTCCATGTTTTTCTGGTTGGCTGTCTCCCCTTCTCTGACTGCCAACATTTCCGGCACAGCCTTGGACCAAACTGTGCTGGCACTGTGGCCCTGCCTCTCTGCCTTGCCCTTCCCTCCATCCTGGAAGCACGTGCCTCTCCAGCATGGAATCTGGTCCTGAGGCGGGCGGAGTTCCAGCATCTCTGTTGGAAAGGATGAGCAGGCTCCCACAGAAGCAGCAAGTGCGTCCGCCACCGACCTGGGGCCGGTGGACTAGTTTAGGGGGACAGGCAGGCCCGGTGGTCCTCCTCTGCAGAGAATGCCTCGCTCTGCAGCCATGTCGAACCGCCCGAGCCCAAGGACCAGGTTCCACCCGGTGAAGGAAAGCCCCACGCTGGCTGTGGGCAGGGCAGAAGATGGCCCAGCATATAGCACCTGCATTAGAAGGTGATTGTGGCTCCGGCCCAAATGCAGGTGCTTACCTTGACGTGTACGGCTCTAAGCAGCTTAGGCCCCAGTTATCTAAAGGACTGTCTGCACCCGTATCGACACTCACCCAGCCTTGGAGATCGATGCAGGGAGCACTTTTGTGGAGCCGTCCCTCCAGGAAGTAAGAGAGGTGGCCGACAGAAAGAGGGCCTTTCCTGCCCATTCCCCATATTTGGAATGACGCGCCCAAAAACCGCACCGCGCACGCGCCCAAAGACCGCGCCGCGCACGCGCCCGAAGACCGCGCCGTGCACGCGCCCGAAGACCGCGCGAAGACTGCGCCGCGCCGCCGACTCCGCCGCTACCTGACTGCCCTGCCACGCCCCTGCACACGTGGCAGGTGTGCCCGGACGGGGTGGGGCGTCGGGTGGCCGGCGGCTACAAAGTGCTGCAGGGGGGAGTGCCGGCGGGAGGAACAACACCTGGCAGGAGACCGCGCCCGCGCCCGAGAACCGCACCGCGCCCAAAGACCGCACCGCGCACGCGCCCAAAGACCGCGCCGCGCACGCGCCCGAAGACCGCGCCGTGCACGCGCCCGAAGACCGCGCGAAGACTGCGCCGCGCCGCCGACTCCGCCGCTACCTGACTGCCCTGCCACGCCCCTGCACACGTGGCAGGTGTGCCCGGACGGGGTGGGGCGTCGGGTGGCCGGCGGCTACAAAGTGCTGCAGGGGGGAGTGCCGGCGGGAGGAACAACACCTGGCAGGAGACCGCGCCCGCGCCCGAGAACCGCACCGCGCCCAAAGACCGCGCCGCGCACGCGCCCAAAGACCGCGCCGCGCACGCGCCCGAAGACCGCGCCGCGCACGCGCCTGAAGACCGCGCGAAGACCGCGCCGCGCCGCCGACTCCGCCGCTACCTGACTGCCCTGCCACGCCCCTGCACACGTGGCAGGCGTGCCCGGACGGGGTGGGGCGTCGGGCGGCCCGCGGCTACAAAGCACCAGCAGCGGCCGGGGCCGGCGGCCAAAGGGCGTCGGCCAAAGGGCGGTTTGCCGCCGTTTGGGGGGGGCTGTTCGGGGGGGGGCTAGGCTGGCCAGGGGACTTGCTCTTTTGTTGTGGCAGTCCCTTCTGTTGAACGGCCAATTTTAAATGTTTTATAATTTTAAAGTGTTTTAACTTGTTTTTATGGAGTCGTCCCTGGCCATGTTGCCGCCTGAGTTTCCTGGGGAGCGCACTGGCGCCGCCATTGGTGTGGTGATGGGCAATGGACGTAATAGCGGTGGGGGCTTAACGTGTCTGCATAGAAGAAGGAGGGACAGATGGCTGACACCTGTCCCTACTTCTGGTTTTGCTCCCAGCCAGAAGGTGCCAGGGAGTCTTGTCAGTCGCCCCTCGGGCCTGACGGTGTTGTTGTTTAATGCCAGGTCGGCCAATAACAAATCTGCCCTCATCCATGACTTGATTGTGGATGAGGGGGCCGACCTGGCCTGTATAACGGAGACCTGGGCGGGAGAGGGGGGGGATGTTGCCCTCTCTCAATTGTGCCCGCCCGGGTATATGGTCCAGCACTGTTCACGGCCGGAGGGGAGGGGAGGGGGGTCGCTTTGGTTTACCGGGCTTCCATCACTCTCACGGGACTTCCTGTCCCTTCGAGACCAGGGCTGGAGTGTCTCTACTTGGTGTTGGGCGACCGAGACAGATTGGGGATTCTGTTGGTGTACCGTGCACCCTTCTGCCCAACAGTCTCCCTGCCTGAGATGACGGAAACGGTCTCGGACCTGGTGTTGAGGACCCCCAGGATGCTGGTCCTGGGGGACTTCAATATCCATGCCGAGGCTAGTTTGACCGGGGCGGCTCAGGACTTCATGGCTTCCATGACGGCCATGGGGCTGTCTCAACATGTCACCGGCCCGACCCATGAACGTGGACACACTCTGGACCTGGTTTTCTCGACGGGGCAGGAAGAGGGTGGTCTGAGGGTGAGGAATTTATGCTTGACTCCCCTGTCATGGTCAGATCACTTCCTAGTGAGGTTTGTGCTCGAGAGCGACATCTCCCTCTGCAAGGGTGCAGACCCGATTGTGTGGGTCCGCCCCCGGAGCCGGATGGATCCAGAAGGATTCCTGAAGGCTCTGGGGGAGTTTCCGGCTGACAAGACGGGTGCTCCTGTCGAGGCTCTGGTTGAACTGTGGAATGGGGAGATGACCAGGGCTGTAGACACGATCGCTCCTAAGCGTCCTCTCCCATCGGGCAGAGCCCGCTCTTCCCCTTGGTACACTCCAGAATTGAGGGCAATGAAGCAGGTTGGGAGACGGCTAGAGCGTAGGTGGAGGAAATCACGTGATGAATCTGACCGAACACACTTAAGAGCCCACTATCGGGCCTATGCTGTGGCGGTGAGGGCGGCGAAAAAGAGACACTTCTCCGCTTCCATTGCCTCCTCACAATGCCGTCCGGCGGAGCTCTTTCGAGTGGTGCAAGGCCTGGTTCACCCAGGGCCAAAGGAAGAGCTGATTCCACCCTCAAAGGCCCGCTGTGACGACTTTGCCGAGCATTTTAGGGAGAAAATCGCTCAGATTCGTCACGAGCTGGATTCCACTATTGATTCAGAGGTTTTAAGGGAGACACCAACGCTACCGTCTGGTCCAGAATTATTGGATGAATTTCAGTTATTGCGGCCCGATGATGTGGACAAGGTGCTTGGACGAGTACGTCCTACCACTTGCCTTCTGGACCCTTGCCCGTCTTGGTTAATAAAGGATTCCAAGCACGGGATTGGAACCTGGATCTTGGAAGTGGTTAACGCTTCTCTGAGGGAGGGTCGGGTGCCTGCTCCTTTAAAGGAGGCGGTAGTCCGACCGGTCCTGAAGAAGGCGTCACTGGATCCAGGGATGGCCGCTAACTATAGACCAGTGGCCAACATCCCGTTTCTGGGCAAGGTGTTAGAGCGAGTGGTGGCGGGACAACTCCAAGCACTCTTGGATGAAACTGATTATCTGGACCCATTTCAGTCCGGCTTCAGACCCGGGTACGGTACTGAATCTGCCTTGGTCGCCCTGTACGATGACCTGTGCAGGGAGAAGGACAGGGGGAGTGCGTCCCTGTTGGTTCTCCTGGACCTCTCAGCGGCTTTCGATACCATCGACCATGGTATCCTTCTGGATAGGCTGGCGGGATTGGGGGTCGGAGGCACCGCTTTGCGGTGGTTCCGCTCCTATCTCAACGACCGATTCCAGAAGGTGGTGTTGGGGGACTATGGCTCTGCGCCATGGCAGCTTTGCCATGGGGTACCGCAGGGTTCCATTTTGTCCCCTTTACTGTTCAATATCTACATGAAACCGCTGGGAGAGGTCATCAGGAGGTGTGGGCTGCGGACCCATCAGTATGCTGATGATACCCAGCTCTACCTCTCGTTTTCCACCAATCCAGGTGAGGCAGTGGCTGTACTGAACCGGTGCCTGGCCGAGGTAATGGGCTGGATGAGGGCCAATAAACTGAAGCTCAATCCAGACAAGACGGAGGTCCTGTTGGTTGGCGGTTCGGGCTTCGGAGAAGGTGACCTGAACCTTGTCCTGAATGGGGTTGCACTCCCTCCTAGGGACAAGGTCCGCAGCTTGGGAGTGCTCCTCGACCCGGAGCTTTCACTTGAAGCTCAGGTGACAACAGCGGCGAGGAGCGCTTTCCTCCAGCTTCGGCTGATTCATCAGCTGCGCCCCTACCTGGAGTACGACTGCCTTGCAACAGTGACTCATGCGCTGGTGACTTCCCGTCTTGACTTCTGTAACGCGCTCTATGTGGGGCTACCCTTGAAGACGGTCCGGATACTTCAATTGGTTCAGAATAGAGCTGCCAGGCTGCTGACGGGGACTGGACGTTATGTTCACATGACACCAGTTCTCCGTCAGCTTCACTGGCTCCCCATTGAAGTCCGGGCCCAATTCAAGGTGTTGGTAATGACCTATAAAGCCCTAAACGGCTTGGGTCCTGGTTACCTGAAGGAGCGCTTACATCCATATTTGCCCAGTCGCCCCCTGAGATCGGCGGGAGAGGCCCTTCTCCGGGAGCCCTCCGTGAGAGAAATTAGGAGGGTGGCTACTCGGAGAAGGGCTTTCTCAGCGGTGGCGCCTAAGTTATGGAATGCGCTCCCCAGAGAGGTCCGCCTGGCGCCGTCGTTATTTGTTTTTCGGCGCCAGGCTAAGACCTTTTTATTTAAGCAACATTTTAAATGCTAAATACAATTGAATTTTATCTGGCCAGGGCGGCTTATTTTATAATGTGAGTTTTAATTAAGATTATTTTATATGGATTTTAACTTGTTTTATCTATGTTGTAAGCCGCCCCGAGGCTTCGGCGAATGGGGCGGCATAAAAATGTTTTAATAAATAAATAAATAAATAAATAAAATGACCTCCCTAAAGAGATTCGCCTGGTACCCTCCTTGTATTCTTTTAATAGCTAATTCCTCCCATGGATGCTACTATGATCTGTTGAATAAACTATTTGATTGGAATTTCAGACTTGTAATAATCTATAGATTGGTCAGTTTATTAGAGTTTTTAGGTTTTATGATGAATTTTTAGTATCGTAGGCTGCAATGTTGTTGATTCTTTTAATATTGTGAGCTGCCTAGGGATGCTGTTAGTAAAACAGCTGGCAAATAAATATTTAAAGGAAGAAGACGAATGAGGAGCGGCTAATGGAAAGTGGGCAGGCCAGATCACTCCAAACATCGGCATATTTGAGCTCCGGGCTGTGGGGAGTCAGTAACTCAAAGCCTTGGGGAGGGCATTCCAGCTCTTCACGGTGGGGAAAAATGGCACAATAGGCACCAGTCCATGTTGGCTGGACAGAAGGTGGGGCTGGAGAAAGGGCATGGCTGCCTGGGGACCCCCAGCAGCTGGATTCGGGCCACAGGGGGCAGCCCTGGTCCTTGCAGCTGTCTAACCTAACGGTAGAGTCATGGAGCCGAAATGCATTGCCGTTTCCCCCCCTTGGAACTGAGGATGAAAAACTGGTGTGAGGAAGCCCAGACTTCCCCGCTTCCAGCCCCCTGGCTTCCACATGAGTGCAGCTCACCTCCCTTCCAGAAGAAGCCGACCCCGACGATCGCCACCAGCGCCAGTAGCTTGATCCCTAAGGCTACGAGCAAGAGGACCAGGATCCAGGAGCTGTTCTCAGCCTTGAATCTGTAAAAGTAGACAGCCCCCTCTGCTCTTCCATAGAGGTTGGCAGCCGTGCAGGTGTATTTTCCGTCCCGAGTGAGGCGGTGAAGTTCATTGGTTATCTGATGGGCTGTCCTGGAAACGGAGGTGACGTTGCCAGAGAGAGGACCGGTCCACGTCAAGGTGGGTAATGGCTCCCCTTCAGCGGTACACTTTGCGTGGACAGCATGATCCTGGCCGGTCTGGACAGAGATGTTTACAATCCTGGGAGGAGCTGCAGAAGGTGCCAAAAATGAACAACAGCAAAACTCACGGGAGGATCAAGGGCTGCCGGCTAAGTATGTGTGAGTTGCAGTCTGCTCCCATCTCCTGGTTTTTAGAAAATTAATCAGACTCTGAAGAAAGCGGAAAGGAGGGTTTTTCCCTGATGCCTACAAGGCAAGAACTTGGATCCAGCCAGTGCAACTAACTGTTAGGAGTTTCAAGATGCAAAAAAGGAAACCCCTTTTTCAATGCAAAACTAAACAGATGGGATTTTAGATTAGGCAAATGCATGGAGTTTTCCTCCATGGCATTTTCTAATCTAAGCTTCTGAACACAGGTAGTCCCCAAGTTATGAACATCCAGGTTACAAACAACCTGCACTTACGAACAAACTGCTATAAAGTCTATTAATTTTGTTAATTTCTGTGGAAAATTGTCATCACCACAGCGAGAGAAGAAGTGGAAGAGAAGAGCGGGAGGGCCCCTCAACCGTCACCAAAAAGAGGAAGTGACAGGGGGAGCCTCTAAAGCATGCCTTCCCGCCCGTCCCATCCAGAGAGGGAAATCTCTTTGGCATTTCCCTTGTGCAAAGAGGAGGCACTGATGAGTGGTGGGGGGGGGCAGGTAGAGATATTCGTAGTTTTCCCATTTTCATGGGGATCCTAAGATCCTAACACTCGTAAAAATGGAGGGCCGACTATGTGTGATCTCACATATGAATTTGGCTTTCTGTTTTTCTGTTTCCTCGGGGACGGAACTCGTTTGCAACCAGGGACTTCCTGTATATGCAGCCTCTAAATGGAATCCTACCCATGGAATCCCAGCAACCTGGGAGCCACTGTGGGGAAGGTGGTGGTCCTCCCATTGCAGTGTTTCGTTGCCTGCTCTTCACAAGACTGGATTTAGGGATGCGTGAGGAACCTGCTCTGGAGGTGGGAATCCTTCAGATTCCCTGGGCTTGGCTTCCTGGACTCCAGCTCACTCTCTCATGGCCATGAAGCTGTCTTCTTGGTGCTGAGCATCCACGCGGCTGTCCGTGGTGCAGACTTGGTTCATGCAACATGCTGTGAAAGAAGGTGGTTGTTGGTGCAACCGACTTTCCATGGTTTGTAGACTTCCTCCTGGCTCAGCTCGCTTCCTGAGCTGAGAAATCTGAGAAGTCCAATGGACAGAAGCCGTCTCGATTCCTGGGAAGATCATGGCCTCCCTAGCTGGACTAAATAGGCCTTTGTTCTGGCCACCTAGGACTCTTCTTAGCACCTTATGTTCCTTTCCTGGGGGGTGCGAGCCTTCCCCATCTGTCACTCTTCAGACATATGGATGACCCCCTGCCTCTGACAGAGACCCCCCTTGCCCCATGGCAGCTGACACCTGCATAATTTTCTCTAGCTTTATCTCACTTCTTTATCCCGCAGAATTGGAAACCCTTGACCTTGAATGAGCTGGCTGGTCCCAACTAGGTAATTTTCTACTGACTTGCCCAGTGACAGAAAAAATTGAGGCTATCATTGGACAGAGCAACCATCAGTCTCTACAAAGGGACTGCTTTTACTGAGCAGGGATATTCTCATGAAAAGCCCTTCTGAAGCTCTCCTGCATACCATCTAATTGGAAGGCAGATGCTCCCTATCTAAGAACATCTTGCAAAAAAGTCACTGTATGCTTTGGAATGCAAGACTGTATTCGAGGAGGTAACATGGCTAAGCTAGACTGACTTTTTGTTTTCTTTAGATTTCTGTGCGTGTGCGCAATTCTTTCCTTCCCTGCTTCTCCCCTCCTTGTTCCTCTTTTCTTCTTAAATAAATATTTACCTGGATTTCTGTAAAAGGAATTTCTCACTCAACTCGTTTTCATGTGAAAGCTGCAGGACTAGAAAGCTACTGCTGGTGTTTAAGGTTTTTAGAGGGGTTTTTGGAAAGTTCTTTGTTTCTGGGCTTTGGGAAGGAAAGCCCAAGACAGGTGTCTTTTTCCTTTTTCCTGGGCTGAAGGGAGGGGTCCTGGGAAAGAGGCTTCTGAAGCTCCCCAAGAAACCGGCGAGGTTAGAATATGGTGAGAGGTTCGCGCTGGCTGGGGGCAGGCCATCATTGTTTTCCTGGGGAAACCAGTAGAAGGGCAGAGTGGGGGGAACACTCGTGCTTCCTGGGCTCATAACAGACCTCCTTCATCCTCAGATGAACACAGCCAGGGGTTATGGGAGCTACAATCCAATGCCTCTGAAAGGTGCTATTTTGGGAAAGTCTTCAGGACTGTATGGCTTCAGAGTCTCACAAAATACAGATGAAATAACCCCCTGTAAAAACTGCTTCCTGAGGGAGATATTCCACAGCCAGTTGGCCTGGGCCAGGGGCCAGGGCCACCCCCTTTGTGTCGGATAAGTGCATGGGGGCTCTCCGTGAGGCGGAAGGAGTCCCCACTTTGAATTCCAGACATTAACACAGAAGGAAGGGGAGTGTGGAAGAAACCTTGGTCTTGCTCTCCTGAAACGTAGAGGGAGCAGCATTGTAGCTACAATAAAGTTTTCCCTAGAGAGGAGGTGGGCTCTCACTCTGGGGGCATCCAGGATGCGGCTGGGCAGCCCTCTGAGTGGGATGGTGTGACTTGGTGTCCTGTCACAGCAGGGGGTGGACCTGATGGCCTTCTTGGCCCCTCCTGGCTCTACTAAGCCACGGTTCCCCCAGGCCTCCTCCTCCTGCCTGGGATTAGCGGCTGTCCTCCCAGGAGCTGCTGTAGGGGGAGGGTTTTCCAGCATTCCGGAATTTATTGACTGCTGTTTCTGTTGCAGTGCAAACTATGGGCAATCAGGCCCAACAGATTTGCTAGAAGCTCTCCTGCTGAGAGCTTGCATGAGTGTGTAGACCTGGGTTAACACAACCGCCTGCATTTTGGACTTTCCCTGTGGGCGTGGCTGTGGGGATTGTCCTGAGAAGCACCTGCCTTCCTTTCATTTACCTCTATTTGTCAACTTAATTATTTGGATTTTTATATACCACAATTCCCATAAATTCTGGGTGGTTTGCAAGAGATTAAACCCAACAATAATTCAGATTCAAACTAAAAACAAGCATATGAAATAAAACTAATCTGGGGATGCCTGTCGGAAGAGAGACATCTTTAAACTCGTCTTGATGGTGCCGATTTGGGATACCTGCGGCACTCTCTGGCCAGGCCATTTAAAGGTTTGGGGGCAACCACTGAGAAAGTCCTCTGGGTAGTTGGCATTAACCTTGCAGAGGCAGATCTCAGAGGACCTTAGCTGGTGGGGCACAATGCAGGGCAGAGGAGCTCCTGCAGGTATCTTGGGCCTGAGTGATGAAGGGCATTAAAGGAGGTGCTGCCCCAGGCACTGCACTACCGGAAGGAGAGGCAGAGGCCCGTGGAGGGCTCCTTGGACCCACGGCTGGCCACCTGCTCTGCAAGAGCAGCTCAGCAGGCAGAGGCTGCAAGGAGGGCCTGGCGCAGGGCCGAGGGGCTCCAGCGCATGAGTCCCTGATGCAGGCCCTCCATTCCAACGCTCCGCTCCCTCCGCGCCGGGCGGCAGTTCTCTCACCTGTGAGGCGGAGACGGATGCCCGTGCGGCTCTCATACTTGTCGTGGAGGTCCCCGGAGAACTCCACACGGCAGAAGTACCTGTTGCTGTCGTTCCAGGTCAGGCGGTCAATCTGGAGTGAGAGGTTGTTCTGCCTCGGCTTCCCCAGGAGCGTGTACCTGTCCTTCGGGCCAATGGTGGTTCTGCAGAGGTCGCTGGAGCTGTGAGAGATGCACTTGAAGACGACGGTCCCGTTGTAAGGCGCCCTCACCCGCCAGATGGCCGTCAGGGTCTTGTCGTAGGTGTTGTGCGGGTGCGTGAAAGTGCAGGGCAAGGTCACCGTCCGGCCGAGTTCGCCCGTCACCTCTGAGGGCACATGCATGGACCAGCCTTTGCAAGACACGCCTGGAAGCAAAGCAACCGCACTGAGACTCCCCGGGCGGATATAGGTCCCCAGAATAGCTACTGCTTAAAGCAGCCTTCCTCAAGCTGGTGCCCATCAGAGGTGCTGGGCTGCAATTCCCATCATTCCCAGCCAGCATGGGCAACACTGGAGAGCAACAGCGTGGAAAAAGGTGACTTGAGGGTCGCCAAGTGTCTCACAGAGTCATTCTTTCTGTGAATCCTAATTATTCTCTGTTTTTACTCTCTGCTTTTAGCTTTTTAGAAACTTTCCATTTTTCTGATTTTGTGGCATTTTAATCTTTTTATCATGTTTTTATGGACTGTGTAACCCACCCAGAGAGCTTCAGCTGTGGGGCAGTGTAGAAATGAAGGAAATAAATAATCACATTCAAAGGTTCCCAAGGATCAGCTGGTACCTTAATACCTTTCCCAAAGGCAGAGTGAAGCAGCAGACCTCAGTGAGTTTCAAACGGAGACCGACAGTTATTCCCCACCTGGCTAAATTGGCGGGCACTTAGGCGATTCCAAACAGGCTGGAAGTGCGAAAGAAAAGCTGCTAATGCCAAACTCACCTTTCCTGATGAGGAAAAGCAGACATGTGAAAAACAAGCCCGTGGCTTCCATCTTCTGGGCTGCTCGCTCTGCTCCGTTGTACAGCTCTTTTCCTGACCAGATCAGATCCACACTTGGTCACTGTTTGGAGAAGGGCTGCACGAACATTTCCTCTCTGTATAGTGGAGGACGCTGGACTTCCCCGATCCTGAAAGAGCTGAATTCATTTGACCATGTGCCCATGAGTGGGGAAGCCACGGAAGCTGCTTCTTCTTTAACGAGGATGAGTAGTTTGGCCCTGGAGTAAACACTAACGCAATCTGGAAAAGCGATGCTCAGATTTTAGCATGTTTCTGCTCTCCACATGGAGGGTCGCCCACCCCAGTTATTGGGGCTCTTCAATGCTTAATGAATTGGCAACAAATTCAGAACAAAATTGTTTGGTCTAACACACACACCATTTTATCGGGTTGTCCTTGTCGGGAAAAGCCCAGTAGCTCTCACCTGGACGTTCGCCTCACCCAGCAAAGCAATCCCCTCGTTATGTCCTTTCCTGAGAGCACCCTTGGCCCCCACAAATAGGGCTGTGGATAGGACAGGTTCACTGCACCTGTCCCGTGGTACAAAGGTGTGGTTTTGGTCCTCTTTGTTGGTGCCCTTGTTACCGGGTGAAGGCAATTCAATTCTGTTGAGGGGCTGAGAAGCTCATCTTGGCCATGAGGGGGCAGTAGCGCTCAGAGGAGAAGTCATGAACCTGAACTTGAGCCAAATGGGTGCAAAAGTGACCAACAGCAGCGCTTATCATATCGAGCGTTACTGACCTGCTCTCACGTGAAGTAAAAGAAGCGGAGGAGGAAAAGGCTTGTCATAAAAAGTGTGAGCTGCAATTAAGTCCCTGGAGCACAGCTCATATCCACCAGCAATTTCGTGTGCCTAGGGATGATTTCTGAAACCTCAGTGTCGCAGAGGTGCCATGCCTGTGTTGGGTTGCTGCTGCATTCTTCCATACAGAAACCCCTGCATACAGAAAGCTAGCATGTCAGGATGAAAGCGAAGCTATTTTTCTGCATGCAAGGAATGTTGGTTATTTGCTTGCATTCAGTCAGATGCATTGGCAGTTTCAGCCCAGATGCCTCAGCTTCTCTTTATGTAATATGGCAGTAGATACTGACCAATTTCATGGAGCTGTTGCAGGAAATACCGACTGGGCATTTGTGATGTGCTCTGAACACTCGAAAAATACAGTATTATTGTAGCATTTCTCATTTTAGGAGATTATGCAGCAGCATGGATGTCTAGAACCAATTGTTGGGAATGTTCTTGTTTGATCTTGCCAATCATCCAGGTCTAATTGCCATTTTATAAGAAAGGTGTGTGTAAAATGTGCTATTCAGTGTTCCCTCACTCATAGGCTGTTCTCCTGCAACGTCATTCAGAAATAAGTCCCAGTTAGTTTCATGAGGATGACTCTTGTGTAAGTCTGCAGTTACAGCCTCTGCCTGCCTGCTTGATTCCCTGAGTTCAGACAATAAACCATGCTCAAGGGCTGAGCATGGCTCAAGTGAGGGTTGTCACGAAATTGTGGGTTGTTGTTCAAACACACCTTATCGTGTTGTCTGGACCCAGCTGTGCTAACAAACCATGGCTTGTTAATCACAAACAAGCTCTGAAGGGAACCCATGGCTTGTTGTTGGGTGGTGAACTGTGGGTTGTTCACCAGGGCTTGTTACCTTGGCTGGGTTCAGACAACACAAAGCCCACATTTCAATGACAATCCAAGCTCAATCCATATTCAGTCCCTGAGTGCGGCTTATTTTGATGTCAGAACCCAGTTTCTGTCTATTTTGACAGTCTCCACTTCTGCCCAGGGATGTATGAGGAATCTGCTTCGGGGGTGGGAATCCACTGGATTCCCCCGGCTCAGATCCGTGCACTTGGGTCTACTTCATTGCAGCGAGTCCGACCTGGCACGAAGCGGGCCGAACCTTTGGGCAGGCATCCGCCAGGAGCTGACGCCGCGAACTCTGTGCATGTGCGGTCGCTCTTCTGCACACAGGACTCGTGGGCTTTGTGTGTGCCCCTCATCCTGCAGAGGAGGGTTGCCGGTTGTGCAAGAGCCTGTGAGCATCCATGGACTTCCTCTTAGCCCACTCCCCAAGCCAGGGCTGAGCCTGAGAATGTCGTCTGGCAAGGGCCAGAATGCCTGCTTCTCGGAGTCTGCGGGATCATCGCACGAGGCCTCCTTCCACCCATGTGAATTCGTCCTCTGGCGTATGGCTGCATCCCCCGGCCTCACATGAATAGCACCGAGATGATGGGGAGACCAACCTGGCCCATCCATTGGCTGGAAAGGAGGCCTGGCTGCTGGCTGGGTTTCCTCTCCATTCCAGAAAGAGAACTTGGATCCGACTGGCAGCTGTCCCGAATTCTGTTCTCCCGGTGGACTACCAAGTCTACTGTTGGGAAGCCCACCAGCAGGACATGGCCACAGGGCTGCGATCAAGGGCAGCACTGCCAGGGGCCCCGATCTTGCGAGGTTCACGTAGGTTGCGATGACAGAGCAGGTCTTGCACCCACTCTTGAGCGATGCTCAGGTCGACTGATTTGGCGTGCTGGATCGGACATTTGCTCCCTTCGGTTCTTCTTGCGCTCCTCTTGGGATCCATCTCACCTCTGTGCGCCAGACTTCCTCTCGTGCTGAGTTTGCTGAGCTGAGAGGAAGGTTGCGGACACTCGCGGGATTCCAGTCGCAGAATCTGCAACCTTTTTCTGCAGCGTGTGCAGCACGAGCGGAGGCCACAAGACACACACGGGGAAGAGGGATGCCACTTGCACGGCGTTCATGCAGACTTGATTCCTGGCGAGTGCCCACTCGCTGGCCGCACTCAGCACCGGGTCAGAATAGGGCCACGAGAAAGCAGGCCAGACCCTGGGGAGCTGGGCCGAGGGGTCCGGATGCCTTCCCTCCCTGAAGGGGAGTCCTCAGATCCATGCCTCTCCTTCGCAGCACTGCAGCCTGCTTGTTCCCTCAAAGAGCTGGGATGGCGGGGGGGGGGGGGGGAAGAGGAGGAGGAGGAAGGCTCAGTGCCTGTCAGGCAAGCAAGTCCTAGCAATGATGAGAAGACCAGGAGGGGACTTGGCAGCAGGTAGCCATGGTGGTGAGACAGGAGAGCCCTGGCAGTTGGGCAGCTCGAGGGGGGCCTGCCCGAGGGACCTCAAAACCCAGGAGCCATGCTGCATGGGTGCAGTCCTGCCCATTATCCCCAGCAACCATTGCCGCCTCTGGGAATGGTGGTGCATAGAGACATCATGAGCAGCAGCTGTCAGTCTCCTGGGCTTAGATGTGGAATCTGTGGCCAGGAATCAGCCTGGGAACCCAGGACAGCAGCGACGGAGGAGAGCCAAAGGGGTGGTTCTGAGCACGTCTGGGGGGGGGGGCTGTCTCCGCACAGCTAGCCCACCCCTAGCTGGGACCAAGATGAAGCGCTTCCCAGTAGCAGAGATATGCCTCCTGCCCGGCCTTGGGACTGGGGGCCGGGGTGCACTTCAGGGGAGAGAGAAGCTTGAGGAAAGGGTAGATTTCCCTGGGACCCTGTAGGGGGATGAAGCCCCCCTTCCTGTGTGCTGTGGTGCCAATGAAGCTCCCCCCTCTGCCACACCGCCACTATTTTTTGAAGCCCTCAAGGCTGAGCAGCACATTTAGTTTGCTGCTGGCAATTAAGCAGTGCCACGCGGTTTCCCCCCCTTTGCTTCCTGTGGAGAGACTTCTTGTACATGCAGTGCCCATGCAGTAAAACCTGTATGGATCTACAACCCAAAGAGTCTCTGCTTAATCCACACGCCGTCTCAGGAGCACAGCTCCTCCAGACCTTGACCTGAGCAGCCATTCAGCCTCTCTAGATGGGGAGTCTGGATCACAGCACTGATTTCAGAATTGCGGGCTCTCCTGTTTATTCCACTCAGTGGGACCCGATTTGTCTGCCCCAAAGTCATACCTGGTGGCAACGCAACGCCACTTAAGGGGTAGCAAAGTTTCCCGTGCCATCCTCCTGGCATGGCAGTCACTGGGAGTGAATTCAGTTTCAGGCCCAGTTCCTTCAGCACAAGGCTACCAAGCCCCTTTTTGCTGGGTGCAGAGACCGAAACCGGGGCCTTCCCTGTGAGGTGAGCGCACAGAGCGTTCTGAGGCATCAGATCAAGGGAGTTCCTGCTGCAGCAATCTGTTCCCAGGACAGCCAACCCGAAGCCCGTGGGCCGACCACAAGCAGGACACGAGGGCAACGGCTTTCTCTCGCTCACGTCGCTCAGCACCTGATGTCCTTGGGCTTCCCCCCTTCGACCCTGGGAGTAACGTAGAACCATCAGGATGAGTAGGCATGGACGGTCTTTTCCTGCATGAGTCTGCCCATCTCCTTTTCAGGCTATCAAAACTGATGGACACTCCTGCATAGAAACACAGAAACAGAGTGAGTCAGAAGGGGCCTTCTGTCCATGCTCATGTCCAGTCTATCCTTGAACACCATGGTCATCGTCACTGGTGCATTTCTATTTCGCCTCTTTCCTCTTGCAAGTTGCCCAAAGCAGCTGACCGAGTTCCCTTCCTCTCCATTTCATCTTTGCGACAACCCTGTGAGGGAGTGAGGCCGAGAGTCAGTGGATGGCCCAAGTGGCCCAGAAGCTGAGTGGGGACTCGAACCCAAACCTCCTGAATCCCAGTCCAACCGCTACACCTCACTGGCGGTGGACTCAGTGCTGTGAGGAGAAGCCTTTCCTTTGATCTGTCCCAGCTCCGCCACCCATTGACTCCGTCAGACGACCTCTCTGGGGCCTTCTGAGAGTGGGAAAGCTGAGCCTCCCATCCCGTTCCCCAGGTCCCTCAACGGAGTGATGCACGGCTGCGGGTGTTCCCTGGCAGCTGCTCTCCCGTGCCTGGAGGCTGCCAGCCCTGGCTGGGTGAACTGCCTCTCACCCCTGTCCTCACTGACCCCAGGGCTCACACCAAAGGCTCGTGGTCTCCTTATTTGCTCTGTTTCTTGCTCAATCTTTGCAAGCATTTTATATTTGAATAATTGCAGGGCTGCTGATGGGACCCGCCCTGCCCTGTTTCGAAACGTGCCAGGCCATAAATTGCCGACGCGGGAGCTTTTTCCTATAAAATTTGTCTGTCCCCTTTTTGTGGTTGGAGCAGGAGGTGCATTGAAGAGGGCAGTGGAATTTTCCTTGCTGGGAAAATTCCAGCCAGCCGGTCGGAAGGCAGGCCTGAAGCGAGCGAGGCATCTTGCCCCGGAAGGTGGTACTGCCGGCAGGCCTTTTGGGGGTCACTGCTTCCCCCGCTGGTGGGAGGAAGGTGCACGCCAGACTCGGAGGGGAAAGCAGGCCTGCCCAGCCATGGGGGTCGGGGCCTGTCCAATCCTTGGAGCCTGGCAGAGATCTTAGTTTCCATGGTGACAGAATGGCAGGGGCCACAGTGCTGCTGGACTCTCTCTTTTTTCTGGGTTCCTCCATAAGAACCCGACTAACAATGATACTTTCTTTTCATTTGTATTAATTGATTCATTTACAATTTTTAAATAAATTCATCCATCATTAAACCATCCCAAGACAGTTTACAATAAAAAATCAAAACAATACCATCATAATACCACAATTAAAGATTCTTTTGTGCTCGTACTTGATATATAAATTCAAAAAACCAAGTAACAATTAAAAACTGGGAAAATAAAAAGGTTTTCGCCTGGTGCTGGAATGAATGAAGTGTTGGCACCTGCCATGCCTCTCTGGAGAGAGTTCCAGAATTGGAGCACAATGGCCCCAAAGGGTCTCGTCCCGTCCCCTGAACTTATTCTTCCTGGATTCTAAAATCCAATTTTTTATATCCAGTATGCAAGTAATGGCTGCTGAGATAATATTTAGCCTGCAGCGAAGGATATTTCGGTACCGAATCTTTAGGATTCCTCACTGCTTTGCAACTCTGGTCCGTCCTGGCGCTTTTTCTGCTTCCCTTCATGAGTTTGCCTACTTCAAAGATTCAGCCATTAACAACAGGCAGACTTCCACACGATGGTACCCACCAGGTGTTTTTGCTCATAAGTCCCACCACCCCAGAAATGGTCCGTGTGGGCTGGGGATGATGGGAGTTGTACTCCAAACCATTTGGAGGGTGCCAGTCTGTGAGGCCTTATATTCTCTTATATGGTGTTGCAGTACCTGATCACCGAGAGAACCTGGAGAAGGTGCGGAGGCTTTTCCATGGACACCAGCAAACCTGAAGATACAAAACCCAGGACAGCAAGTTCTGAGTTGTTCTGGTAGTGAAACACTGTGCTGAGTAACAGCCTGGGTTTTTTCAGCACTGGCAGAGCTTTTCATGCACCAAGTCCAAGCATGAAAACAGGATTAAATAAATTAAGTTTCACGAATAAAAGGGAGGAGAAGAAAGGCAGTAAGTAGCGAAAAACTGACAAGCTGCATGTTTCTTCCTGTAGGCTCTGCCCATAATGCAAACCTTTGTTGTAAACCATCCCGAGACATCTGTGACGGGGTGGTATAGAAAAGTTCTTAATTAAAATTAAAAGCTAGGTTTGTGCAGTATAGAAACATAGAAACAGAGTGAGTCAGAAGGGGCTTCCTGGGCCATCTAGTTTGACCCCCAGCTCCAGCTGGCTCCGCTCATGACATGCCTTGTATACCTTAAGAGTGGACCAGTCCAATTGATAACTGAGGCCTGAGCTCTCTGACCAGAAGGAAGCTTTTTATCAGAAGAAAAAGCAGGAAAGTTGGAGAATGAGGAGTTTCTGCGATGGCTCTGCTGTGTCTCAATCTGACCAAAGTTTTGTTGTCCTAAAGGAGAATGCAAGCAAGCTGCCCCACTCAGAAGTTTCATCCTTTGTTTATAGTTTATTTGGAAAAGGGTGGGGAAAACCCTTAAAATGCACTCAGTACCTTTCACTGTAATAACACAATGCGTGATAAACACCTTGGCTCACACCTTGGCATTTGGATAAGGAAGTGCGGGAAATGATGATGAGATTTGCAGATGATGCAAAACTGGGTGAATAGCTAAGACCCTGGAAAGGAGATGCAGAATGATCTTGGTAGGTCGGAGTGCTGGCTTAAAACAACAGAATGAAAGCCAGGAGGAGCAAATGACGAGCGCTGCACCCAGGAAAAATTCCAAATGCATCGTTGCAAAACGGGGGATACTTGGCTCAACAATCCTGCAAATGAGGAGGATCTTGGAAACGCGGTAGATCACAAGCCAAGTGTGAGTCAACCATGTGATGTGGCTGCAAAAAGGCCAGATGCTATTTTGGGCTGCATTAATGGAGGCATCCCTTCCAAATCACGTGAAGTGCCAGTTCCCCCATTGCTCAGCACTGGTTAGGCCTCATCTGGAGTCCTGTGTCCAGTTGTGAACACCACTGTTAAAAAAAGATGCAGGCAAGCTGGAAAGGGTTCAGACGAGGGCGACAAGGAAGATGCGAGGACCAGAAACAAAGCTCTGTGAGGAGAGAGAGAGAGAACTGGGCATGTTTCGCCTGGAGAAGAGAAGCCTGAGGGGAGATAGGCTAGCATTCTGCATGAACTTGAAAGGTTGGCGCAAAGAGGAGGGCCAGGATCTCCTCTCTTGGCATGCAGAACATGGAATAACACACTCAAGTTACACGAAGCCAGATTCTGGATAGATAACGGGGAAATTTCCTGCCTGTTAGAGCCATATGACAATGGAGCCAGTTGCCTAGGGAGGCGGTGGGCTCTCCTACACAGAGGCATTCAGGATGCAGCTGGGCAGCCCCCTGAGGGGGACGCTTCAACTGGGAGTCCTGCACTGAGCAGGGGGCTGGATCTGGTGGCCCTCTGGCCTCTACTCTTCCATGATTCTATGAAAGCGATTACTGGGTTGGGCTGGGACCCAGGAGATCAGGGTTCTAATCCCTGCCCAGCCATGAAACTCCCTGGTGACTGTGGGTGAGTTAATGGCTCTCAGCCTCACCTGCCTGACAGGGTAAAATGTTCTGGGTGTCCTGGATAAAGGTGCAGAGAAGCGCTCACCTTGCACCTGCCCAGAGAAATGGTGTGCGCTAGGATGTCTTTGGGTAAAATGGAGCACGGGCCAACGCAGCCATCCTGGCCCATGAGTCCTTGCAGCCTGCTTTATTTTGCCCAGGCCTCAGTGCCAGGATCTGGCCTTGGGGCAACGGCTCTCCCTTGGAATGTGCGAAGCTGTGAGCCATGGAGGAATGGTCAGGGCGCCTCTTCCTCGCCACCGAGTGTCTGTGACAAGGGCCGCTACCCCTGACGCATCAGGAGAAAGGCTTCCAGAAGGTTTGAGGTGCAGCACCCGTCTTTAAGAGCTGCCTCCTTTAAGACAAGACCGGCTCGCTGCAATGCTGGGTGTTGAAAAACCAGGAAGGGCAGAGTTTCTGGGGCAAGGTGCCGTTCCATCAAGAGGGAGTGATTCCACCTCCCCCGCCCCCCGTCCGCCCGTGTCCTCCCAGGGATGCTACAAGCAAGGCTAGAGCTGCAGTGAGGGAGCACAGCTCCAAGCGAGAAATGTCTGAGTTGCTCACCTTGTTTTCAATTTTGTATCGAAATCTTAAGCTGTTTTATTGCATTCTTTGTGTTTTATTGTATTGCACAAATCGTTGTTAACTGCCCAGAAAGCTGCAGGTCTTGGGTGCTATGGGAATGAAATTGAATGCAAGCAATTAAAGGCATTGCATATCTGTATGGACCAACAGCCAGAGCTCCCTGGGCAAGTTTAGAAGATCACAAGGGTGTATAGAATTCAAATTTCTCTGGGTTCAGTGTATTTTAGGAAATTCTCCTTTGGGGTCATGACAAGCAAGAATGATGGGCATGTTATGTTGTATTTGTGGAAGGAACCCTCTGCCTTCATTAGGATATCCCAGGGAAGAGGCGTGTGAGGAATCCGGTTTGGAGTCAGGATCTGTTAGATTCCCTCAGTCTCCTCAGCTCCCTGGACTCCAGTCCTATTTCTCTCTTCCCTAAGTCTGTTCCTATCGAGTGTTCATGTGGGCGTCCCACCGGTAGCAGGTTCAAGCAGAAACCTACTTCTGCGCATGTGATTTGCAGACTCTGAGTACTTTGCGCAAAGGAGTACATATTCTGTGCATTTTGCACAAAGAATTATGTACACTGTGTACTTTCTGCAAACAGATTCCTGAGTGTTTGAGGGACTGCTCTCAGTTCAGCTCACTTCCTAGCCAGGGCGGAGCGTGGGATGAAGTCTGGTGAGCACAAACGAGTCAGATTCTGACCTGATCTTCACATTCCTATCCTGAACGAATGTCAACCAACTCTAAAAACCACGTCGCTCTTTGATCATTATTCCTTTTGTTTGCTTGGTTTTTGGATACATGGAGACTTGGCTCTGGGAAATTCCTTGCCACAGGTCCATCCCAGTTATGAGACACCTTCCTGACTGAGCTGATGGTCCCTTGGCAGCATCTAGGGGGCCGGGAGATCCTTTGGGTTCCTGACTCTGGGGTCAGCAAAAGTGCTCTGGACCTCAGAGCTGGGGATGAGAACTCACCTTGCAGCTGGGTAGGAAGAACCAGGTTGGCTGCCTCTCCAAGGTAATAAAAACCACTTCAGAGAAGGGATAAAGAGGGCACTCTGTTGGGAGGGGTGGGGCCATCAGGGCACGTGGTATCCTGGCTGCACGCCAACCTCCTTTCCTCTCCTTCAAAGTGAGTTGGCCCAATGAGCTGCCTAGTCAGGAGGAGGAAGTAGGCAGAAACCATCTCCATGCTCCTCCCGTCTTGCACGGGATGCCCGCATTCCGCTGAGCTGGCGCCCTTCTCTGCACCCCCCCCCCCGGACTGCACCCTTGAGCAACCCACCAGCATGAATCCCATGTACGTCTGTCGCTTGGTAACGGCCGCACAGGCATTGGAGGATGCCAGCATTAGGGACAAGATGAGCACCGCTAAGAGGTTTATGAAGAGGTTTATTTACATAAGGGGATGGAGTGTCCTTCAGATCATAGGATGGGATGCTTAAACATGCTTAAATTAAATATCCTTAGTTACCGTATCTAATAAGAGAGCCTTCTCTGCTAATAAGCTGACAATCTGTTTCCTCCCAGATCCAATTCCCCTAAGCTCTACTAAAGCCAATCCCATATTACTAGGAATGGAAAGGACACGGCCTTCTTTGCCCTTTCTCCCCTTTCCCTGCTGGTAATTCCAGCTCCCTGTCATCCACTGTCGAGCTCAGGGGTGGACAGAAGGCAGTTCTGCAGATAGTTTGGACTTCCAATCCCAGAAGTGCCTGCTAGCAAGACCAATGGCCAGGAATGCTGGGAGTAGAAGGCCAGAAGATCAGAAGATCTACTTCTGGCCACCTGGGCTGGCTGTCTTGTGTAATTAGCCTCTCCTAGACCTTTTCCTAAATCTCTTGGCTGTTCATGCTTCTTATGGGACTTCTAAGTGCCAGTCCTCTTGGTTGCCCACTGACCAACCAAAACAAAGCTAATTTCTCCCACTGGACAGCCTTCATATGTCCACAAATGTCCAGACTCTACTACATCTCTGGTCTGCTCAGTTACATTATAGCCTCAAAGTATTTACATATAAGAAAGCATGAGCTAGACTGTGATTAAATCTCGAAGGCATCAGATAGTGATGCTTCAAGGGCCAGATTCAGCCAGTGAGCCTTCAGTTGGACACCTTGGATCTAAGCACCTGTTTGTTTCATAAATGTTATGCGCCACTCCACGTGAACTGGGGGGTGCATTCACTTCTGACTGAAGGGCATGCCAAAGTCCAAACCTTTCTGATCTGCGGAAAGTTATTTACAGCACAAAGTGAACCAGAGTGCCCTTTGAATATGGACTGGTTTGTGTCCATTTCGTCTACTTCTTTTTCTTCCTTGGGAAGTGCAGATGCTGCTTCTCTTGCAGCGATGAGAGAAAGCCCGTGATGCAGTTTCCAGCTACACATGGCAGCTGGATTTGGGACATTGCTCCTTTCTCGACAGGTAGTATTTCCGGTTGGCCTCTGGGTAGGTGACTTTGGAGAGGGGAAGTTTGTAGATGGCTTCATTGGTGGTGGTGAACAGCAGGAAGGTAAGTGAAGACAAACAGAACGGCCAGGTCCCGGATGGCATTCCAAACTGAAGGGGAACAGAAGAGGCACAATTTCAGCTTGGCTTGTGCAACCCTCTGGCTGCGCTCAATTGATAACTTTTTGGGGGTCATGGGAGAACAGAACCAGGGCTGGCAGAGACACCACAATGGCATTTCTTTCTTGGCAGAGCCAGGGAGGCTGCCATTAACTGCCCACCTCTCGGAATGTCCTGTTTGGTCTGAGCTTACCTGTACACTTCTCAGTAGTTGGGGAAGGATATGGATCCTTGTTGCAATGCATTTTGGGGTGGCTTGCTTGGAATGGGCCATCCAGACACCTTTGATTTGCAAGGGTGAGTGGGGCCTAGTGGCCTTATTCCAGTTGGAGATGCAGTCCTCTCGAACTGGCGTGCTGCTGTGGATTGATGCAGCTGCGTACAGTGTGGATGGTTGTGGGGAGTGAAGGCCGAGTGAATGATGTGGGGAGGGTCTCACCAGTCTCCTTCCATTTCGTTTCAAGGGTTTGCTGGGGGGGGGGTGGTGGTGGTGGTGGTGATAGGGAAGGACCTTCAAATGAAACAAAAGCAGATGGGGGGGGGGGCATGTGCCAATGTGGGTCCTTTCAAGGAGGAGGGAGGGACTTGCTGCCTTTTTCTGAGCTCTTCTGTGCCAAAGCTGCTGGTTCGAGTCACTGCTTTGGTCACCCCACCCTTGTGGGGCTTCTCCCTAAGAAATTTGCATCAGGACCTCTCAGTGTGGGCTCTTGAACAGGACTTGAAAATCCACCAGTTGATGGATGGTCTTTCTTTAAAGATGGAGAGGCTGCTGCTCTGAAACCCTTTGGAGTGGAGCTAAGGATCAAAGTGGATTGTGCAACCTGACCTGAGTTGCTTCTGCCAGCATCCTTCCTTCTCTGAATGCCTCTCTGGGAAGGATGCTACTGTGGATAAAGAGACACAGGAAGGAAGGAAGGAAGGAAGGAAGGAAGGAAGGAAGGAAGGAAGGGAAGCCAGCTGCTTAAGCAATGGGCTGCCAAAGATGAAGATGAAAGCTGATAGTAACAATAAATATGTCTGTCCCTTCCCTCTGTCCACTATTTTGGAATTAACCCCTGAACCATTTGAGTATTGCATTATGGCTCTTGAAATGCTGCCCAGACAGTCATCACGACCAATTTTACCCCCTGCAAATGGCGTGCTGACCTATCCCAGCAACGGCTCGGTTTGCCCTGAGCAGTCTTCCAGTCTTCCCCAGTTCAGGTTTGATTCTGAAATGCATTATTGTGTGGTTTGCCACAGCTTTTCATCCTTTAAATGTACACACAACTTTCTTCCTCTACATAATTGGTGTAAATATGGATAAAAACCTAAAGAAAACAGGAGCAACCAAACCAAAACCCCAACGACTTCAAACCCTAGTTGTTGTATACCGGTCAATGCACTGAGATTATTTCTGTGTGGTATTTAACTGGATCTCTGCAGATCCTCCATGCGGTGAACTTTACAACTGCATTTGGAAGCTGAAGCTATTCATGGGGTCATCCTGGCCCTTAGAAAGTGCTAAGACAACTTCTTGTTGCTGCTTTGCCTTGCTTGAGCAACGAGTTCTTCAAGAGGGCTGGTGTTTCCAGTAGCTTTGATTGTCCTTTGGCCCTGACTTCTGGCTGCTCCTTAATCTTTGTAGTTGCTAAGTGCTGTCATCTCTGACTTAGGATGACCCTGTGTATGACAGCCCTCCAAAATGCCTTCTCTGTGACATCCCTGCTCAGATGGTTTAAATTCAAGGTCGTGGCTTCCTCTGCAGATTCAATCCATCTCACATTTGGCCTTCCCCTTCCCCTTCTTCTGCCTTTGACCCTCCCTACAGTCTTCTCCAGGGAAGAGGGTCTTCTCCAGGGCGTTTGCCTTCTCAAGCTGAGGCCAAAGTAGGACAGCCTCAGCTTTGCCATCTTAATCTTGCTTCCTGGATTTTCCTTAGATCTTAACTTAATATGTGGTTGTTAGCACTGGCCAGTTCCACATCCCTGGACTTACTCCAGGCTGTGCACAGCTCAGCCATGACACCTTGCACAAGCACCACATGAATCTTGACGAGTCCGTCAAGAGTCCCCTTTTTGGGATTAGATCATGCGTGCTTCTGCCATACGGAGGAGGAGGAGGAGGAGGAGGAGGAGGAGGAGGAGGAGGAGGAGGAGACACACGTCGACTGGGATCTGGTGCAAGCAGCACATGCAGGGTGTTCTGAGCATGGTTTCAGGACACAAAACCATGGAGGATGCTTAGTGCATTGGAAGCCAAGCCCAAGCAGCATGACGCATCCACACCTACGAAGACATGGATGGGTGTGGTGGGGTGTGGCGACCCTCATGTTCTGTTTCTGGGCTTCCCACGGGCAACTTGCTGGGAATGCCGTGCTCGAACAGGCAGGCCTTCTGTTCTGGTCGAGAGCAGCGTTTCTTCAGTTCTTCTCCTAGGCAGAGCCTTCTCAGCTCAGGGCATAGTCACTCTTGTTTTCACAGCACCTCACATTCAAAGCTGCTTGGTCAGGGACCGTGGAAAGTGGAGACTCCCCCCAAATCCCCACAGACCTTGAGTCCCACAGGCAACAATGGGCCCATCATTCCAGCTGTAACAGGGACAACTTGTGCTCCTCCAGATGTTTTTGGACCTGGACTCCCACTCCTATCAACCCCAGCCAGCATGGCCAGTGGTGAGGGGTTATGGGAGTTGTAAGCCAGTGGTTGTGAGGGCCGGGCCGTGCAAGGCAGCAGGGAAGGGCAGAACCCCGGGTCCAGGGCGCGAGCTCAAGCTGAGCCTGGTGCTTACTATGGGCCCGAGGCTAGGGGCAAGTCAGCAGGTCGGGGTCAAAGGCAGGGAGGAGAGCAGAAGAGGGTGCAGGCTGGAGCACGGCGTAGAGCCGCAGGGACCAGAGGGCACGGCGCCACCAGGACAACTCGCATCGCTGTGGCCGGGAGCAGCAGCGCGGGGAGGCCTCTTGCGCGGGTCTTCGGGGCTGCCAGCTGCACCGTGTGATTTCTCCTGCAGTGTTCCTTGCAAGAGCCCACAAAGGGGCTCCTGGTTCTGCGAGCACTTGCAGGGTCACTCAGGCCCCGGTCCTGACAGCGGTGTCTGGAGGACCATGGACGTCCCACCCAGGGCCTGCAAGTGTGTAGCCCATACGCAACAGTTACGTACATTGGCTGGGAACTAGATTGGCCCTGAGTCCTGAATACCTGTCTGATGGCCAGCCGCCATTCTCTGGTCAGTATTTGCCCCCCAGGAGTGCTTCCCCAGGGTGGATCAGGCCCAGAGCTGCTGTGATGGCTGTTGTCCTCACCACTGCTGGAGGGGGATGGTGGCAGGAGCAGCTGCCAGTGGGGAAATGTTCTGGGTCCACTGCCATGAAGGAAGGAAGGGAGGGAGGGAGGGAGGGAGGGAGGAAGGAAGGACAGAAGAGCGAGCAGAGGAAGAGGATAGTCCCCGTGGGCCTGGGCCACTCCCCATGGGGCCAGCCAGAATGCAATGCCATCGACCGACCCAGGTGTCACCATCCTTGTTGCAAGGGGGTTCTCTGCCAGAAGGGCAAGAAAATCATGCCAGTCGCTGGGCCCTGTTGCTCAGAGAACACATACTACGAACTGGGCCAGCCTGGACTCCGAGAATTCAAATTGTTCTCTGACTTCAAAGCTGGCTTTGCAGGTGTGCCTGGAATCCATGAAAAGCCGATGCGCAGTGGCGTCCTGCAGAGTTCAATGGACCCAAGGCTGGCTCAGGCCTGCAATTTTAATTCCTGTTTGAATTCCCTTTCATCAAACCACCCTGGCTAAGGAGCCAAGATAAACAGGGTTCCTTTTGTGTGCTCCTGCTCTTTTGGCTGTGCCCATCTTCTCCTCACTTGCCCCTGTGCCACCCCTTGGGAGAAGACAACCTTCCCTTCAAGAAACAGCAGCAAATGCTCGATAAATCCCCCCCCACCCCCCACCACGCCTCTACCCTTAAAGTCAGTAAAACTTACCACAGAAAGCATATTAGCCAGTGTTTCTCCTGCATAAGCAGTAAACAGGGCTGCGAGAAGATCAGAACAGTTAAATTAGATAATTATACGCAGGGACAGACTCCAAAATGGAGCAGTGTACAGGTGAGGAGGGGATGGCTCCGTAGTTTTGTTTGTTTTTCAGAAGAAATATTTGGGGTTTGTCATGTGATCCTTTCACCCCCTGGTCCTCAGCCTTGAAGGATGTTAAAATCTGTGCCTGATTTGGCCAAGGATTAGCACTTTTAAAATCCCATTGATTTCAAGTTGGAAAGCTTTGACCGTGCACTGAAATCTTGAATGGGACTTGAAATTGTGAAATCAATGGGACTTAAGAAGAGCTTCACCAGGGTTGGATCATGTCCATATTGTATGAAAAGGCATTTCTCATACCTTCCTTCCCCATTGTGGTGCCTTCCAGATGTTCTGGATGACAACTCCCATCTGTTCCTCTGATAAGGAAACCTCCAAATATATGATGAAGAATTTCCAAAGTTTAAACAACTTGCTTAAAGAAGCCCCATAATTCAGACTGAATGCATAAACAACTTCCAGTAACAAGACAGCACAAAGAAAAACAAGCTGCTTGCTAGAGTGGGCTGGTGCAAGATAAGCAGTGTGTGCTGGAGAATTTGCTGTGCTTTGCTTAAGATAAGAAGGGTTCGTTTTAAACCAGACCATGCTGCTTTGCTTAAGATAAGAAAGCCACACCATGGTGGAAAACGCCACTCTGTGCCCAGCATCTTTCAAATATTTTGATGTTACTGGTCTATAGAACCATGTGATATATGACAGTTTGACCATGTGACACTTTGTTGACTGGGCATTATAAAAAGAGGACCCCAACAACCCACTGTGTGTGTGCCATCTATTTGCAAATAGTTTCTGAACTTCACACTTTTGTCATGTTTTCCTTGGGCAAGGTCATGAACTGGTCCACATTTGGACATCACCTTCTAGCACAGACATTACTCAGAGATGATGGGAGTTATAATCAAAGACATTTGGAAGATACCATCCTGGGGAAATCTGCTTGCTGTTAAGACCTGAGCTTTGGCATATGCGTGGAGGACAAGGCTTCTAGTCCTGACTACTGGCAATCATGTCAGATGAGCCCTGCTGGATTGGACCCAGGGTCCATCTAGTCCAGCATGCTGTCCTGTCCACCCAGTGGGGCACCACATACCATGGGGAACCCACAGGTAGGAGAGGAACACCACTGCGTCCTCCTACTCATGTTCCTCAGCCACTGGCACATGTAAGCACACTTCCTCAGACATGTCGCCACCAGGACTAGTGACCATGGATGGTCGTCTCCTCCATGAATTTCTGATCATGGCTCTGCACCACTGCCAGGATCAGACAGGAGTTCACCAAAAGCCCATCCTGGGGAACCAGAACAGGACACAGCTCCTGCCTCCGTGTTCTGGTCATGTGCCTCCCAGAGGACATGGGTGGGCATGCCGTGGGAAGCATAATGCTGGCTCAACAGAGCTTGGGTCTGATCTAGCATGGCTGTTCTGCCGTTCTCATATTTGCATTTATCTCTTTCCCAGCTGAACTCAGGGTGACTCCTCCCTGCGTTGTCTGGTGCTTCTCCCTGCCCGGGGTGATGTTGATGGGCCTGGGGAGAGGGAAGAAACTGGCTGGCCAGGAGGGAAACCTCCAGGAGCTGCAGGCTTCCATTTTTGCCTTAGCTGCTGGCCATCCTGCGCAGTAGCTTAAGTGCACGTAGGAAGACGGGCTTGGTGGTAAGGCATACGCTTTGCACGCGGAAAGCCTGGGTTTTATCCCTCAGCGTCTCCAGCTCCAAGGACCAGTCAGCAGGTGAGGGTGAAGGCTCTTCTCTGCCTTCGCCCCGCCCATCAGTGGAAACCCCACGGGAGCAGAGACATGATCTCGGGGTTTGGCAGTCACTCTTTGCTGGCTACTGGACTGGGTCACAGCTCTCTTTAAGGCTCAGGGGCAGAGTTACCTGCTCTTCGTGTCTCTACCTGCTTGGGAGGCCATTGGGCTGCCTGCGTACTGAAGGCTGGTCTTGGTGAAGGCTGCACTCTGTTGTGTGAAGCCTCACACAACCCTCCTCTTGTCAGGAGCCTGCACTTGGCCAGAACCCTCACATTGCTGTGATCTTGGTTCCGGACAGAACTGCTTGATCAGGGATGGTCCCACCTCCTGCAACCAGTCTCCCCTGATTCCATTCCCCTGTGCCAAACTCCCACCACTGATACTGTACAAAAGCTTAGCCAGAATTTTTGTGGCCAGAGACCCACAAAAAATCACACACAAAGCCATGCCACATTTCAGCATCAAATCACTACGAAGACCTTCGAGTGCTTTGTTGTGGCATTTTGGGAGAACGTCAGTTGTGTCTCGATTGTACTGGGGCTTTGCTGGAGGTGGGAGTATAAAGTCTGCATGTCTTGCCCACACTAATCTATACTCAAGAGTTGAGCATGGGTTGAGTGTACATTGTCTTTGAGCTGTGCGTTGCTGATGTTGTAGCATGGATTATTGTGTTGTCCAAACCTAGCCAAGGTAACAAACCATGGTGAACACCCCACAGTTCACACCCTGACAACAAACCATGTGTTCTATTGGAAGCAGAACTGGGTTTTGCAAAGGCATGAATAGTATAATGAAATATTGAATATGGTAATTAATGATAAACTGACAACAGAAATAAAAATTAAAAAAGGGTTAGTGAAAGCAAATTAACAGAATGAAATTTGGGAAGATTTTGTACAAGCAGTACTGATAGAAGGCAAAGGCTGTAAACCCAATCAAGATTATATGAATTTCTGGAGGGGATATGGGTATAATTGAAGTATATTATATATTATTAATTGTTATAGTATATGTATGATGGTAGTATTGGTCTCTGGGGTGGTGGGTGCGCTCTTTCATTTATTCTTTTTTAATTATTGTGTTCTTGTTATGTTATATTAAAACAAACAAGCAAACACACACACACACACAAACCATGTGTTCTTTTCATGAAGTGTTCATAGCTAATCAACCACAGCGATGGGTTCAACCTAGGGATGCAAAGATCCAGCTGGAATCCAGCTGTCCTGTCCTGGCTGGACTTTTCTCCTGTGCTTGCCCCTGGACAGGAAGCAAGCTGAGCTGAGATCAAGCATGCTCAAGCTTGGGAACACGAATAGCTTCTTCTTTGCACGAACAATACCAAGTATGAACAGCCTGCGAGTTGTGTGTGTGGAAGCAGTGCTCTGTTTGGAGAGCTGGCACATGGGCGGTGCGTGTACCAGCCAGCCTCGCAGACCAGCTTCCTGCTGGACCCCCATGGAAATGCTTGGTGCGAAGCAGCCCTGTGGCCAAGAGAACAGGTGGGCCAGTGCCCAGGGAGGCAAGCTGAGGAAATCCCATGGATTCCCACACCCAAACCCCCTTTCTCACACATCGCTAGTTCAGATAACACAGTGATCCTTATTTCAACCCACAGTTCAGTGACAACCCATGCTCAACCCGTGCACAACCCATGAAGGTGTTTTGAACCCAGCCATGTTCTGTCCTGAAATGTGGCAGCTTCTGATATTGTGGGTATTAGCAGCAACACTGGATACCTACCACAAGCTATGGCCAATAAAAACGCCTGCCAGGTGAAGGCGAAGAACATTCCCCCTATTGCGATGCAAGAGAGGCAGCTGTTGTAACTCCACAAGCCAGAGTAAATTTTGCTAAAAGGAGCGGCCAGGCTCAGTGCTGTAAGAAAGACAGATGCAAAGAGAAATCTTTGTGGGGCTTGCTGGGTAAGCCATGCGAGGAATTGCAGAGAAGGGCAGGACTAGCACAGATGTGCCTCTAATGCCCCAGGAGGGCCCTCAGCTCACCACCAGGCGAGCTCCTCCCTCCCGCAGGGCCCGGCGTGCGCCTCTGCCTGGCAGCTTGCCGGGCAACGCCAGGGCTCCCTGGCCTCACACGTACCTGCAGGCACTCCCACTGCTGAGCCAATCACAGCGTGCATGAAGATGAGAGGGGACGAGATGAACACAGCCAGCAGAATAATGCCTCCAGTCCAAGGGTTGTCGCAGCCGTACACCTGCCCAACCCCTACGGGGATAGACTGCAACAGCTGTGGAGAAGAGAGGTTTTACAGTTGCGTGGGAGGAGCCTCCGTCAGAGAACAGGGACCGCGATAACTGCCGGGCATGGAGCAATACCAACCATCTGTGGCCCAGAAACCTATTCCTGGCCACACCCCGGCCTTCAAAGCATCTAGGATGATATGAGATATTAATAAATATCGTGGGCCTTGGAATATGCTCCCCAGAGAGGTGTGCCAGGCATTGACACTGTATTCATTTTGGTGCCAGGCCAAAACCTTTTTATCTTATTTTCCCAATATTTTAAGTGCTGAGGTTGTTTTAAAATGGGTTTGTATTTGTAGTTTCATGCTGTGCTTTATTGTTGGATCACTGTTCTGGTGAAGGACAGGGTAGAAATACTTCTAATGGATGGATGGATGGAACTACTTCTGGCCTTCAGTAGTCTAAGACGTGGGTGATATGAACTCTTGGATTATGGGAGGACGACACTCCCCGCCCGCCATCCCCAAAATGAATTCCTACTTCCAGAAAGGACCAGTTCTAGATCCTGGAGGACCCTTGCTAAGATACCTTCAGTGGACCCTCTCCTACAGTGGGTTGATCTCCCCACCGCCAAGTCCCGTGGGTTCACACCAGTCCCCATTTCCCACCGAGCCCTGGCATTGACTGAGTCTGTGTGGCTGTGCAAATCCTCCCGAGGTGGCTGCTGCAGTTGCCCGCGGAGAGGGCAGTCTGGGGGAATCTCTCTTCTACGGTGCGGAATTGTGGCAGGCGTTCCACAAGGGAGTCCCATTCATGCAATCCTGCCCTTTCCGGAAAGGCATTTGGCCCTCGGCTGCAATCAGTCGATCCACACAGAGCTTCCAGAGCAAGGTGTGATGCTACCTGTGCAGTGGAGGTGAACCCTTGCTTCAAACGAAGCCTGTTTCTGTTCCAGGAAGGCCTGAATGGGGACCTTTGAATTCTAAACCCTGGAGCTGGTCTGCACCCCTCCATTCTTTTCAACAAGCAGCTAGAGTTGGGGAGCTGACGTTATGGAATCCGAACAGGGACGAGCGGACTGCTGGAACAAAGGTCTCCCATTTTAATTAAATTAAATGCTTGGGGCATGTGTCTATTTCAGCTTGACAGCCAAAAACTCATTACTGCTTCGGCTAAGTCACTGGGGAATGAAATCCTTAGTGATGCTGGCATTCACTTTTGAAGTCTCTTGCAGAGATAAGAATAAAAAATATTTCTAATAACCTGTTAATCTTGCATAAATACCTCTCCCTGTGGAAGCAAGAGGATGACTGGCCTGAATTCCAAAACCGACTTACAAACGAAGCCTGCGCTGTAATTTTCCACCGGGCTTGAGAAGAACGGCCTTGCTCACGTCAGCAGCATATGCCAGTTTTATGAGAGCTTGGCCCCAAAATGTGCATTCCTAAAATATCCCAAATATTTCACGGCTGCTAACCAGGTGAGCAGGGAGGAAAATAATGCGACTGTGAATTTAGTTCTCTGGGGAGCAAAAATATGAGGAGGTGGAATGTCAGGGCAGGAAGGACACTTTGTCCCTTAGTACCTGGAGTTTAACACCTCGGGGAAGGGAAGTCTCTTGCCAGGTGCATGCATGTGCAAGATAAGTTGTAAAACTGGCTTAAATCACAGTGAATCCCTCTCCGTGAGCGCTCCTGACCCTGCCTGTACTGACTGCACTATCTTTTTCATCCCTTCCATGCCTTAGAGGCCCCTCAGTGGCACGATCACTGAGCCCAGGGCAAGCTGGAGCCCAGAGAGTCCGGACACCCCCTGGGTCTGTTGCTAAAGCTGAAATTATACACAACTCAGAGAAATGCTTGGAGGCATGAGCCTGGTTCTCACATGAGATCGACCTGGGCTGCTTGTTTGTCCTGATGTAAGAGGAGGCCAGAGTCTCCAAAACACGGAGTTCTTGAGGGTGGAAAGATAGTTATAAGGTGCCAACGACAGCTGTTTAGGCATCTCAGCCTTTGGGCCACAAAAGAATGACCCCTTTTGTTCTACTGCCAATATGAGTGGAATGTCTAGCACAACTTGAACCTGAAGCGACCATTGCCCTCCCCAGGAGGTGACTGTCTGGATGGAGGCAAACACTTTCAATGCACGGCCAGATTCGCTACTTGTGTTGTGCTTTTCTTGTTTGCTGGAGCACTGAGAGGTTTCAAGTGCACTTCTCGGAGTGTGAAGCTGCCCCCTGGCAAGCCATCTTGTTCCCAGTGGCAAGTGGGACACGTTAGTAGGAGCAGCGATGCAGGGGGATGTAGTCATGATGTCCTAGAGGCCAAATTTTGGTTGCTGGCTAGGCGGTTGCAATCCCGGACCCACCAGGTTACTTCTTCTGAAATGCTACTGATTCTACACACAGGCCAAGTTAGGAAAATCAGAGGCGTTTCCATGGCGGTGTAGAGAGGAGGGCTAAGATTTGTAAGGTGCTGGAAAACATTTGGGGAAAAGCTGGTCCAGTCCGGGAGAGATGGGGCCACTTGAACCAGAATGGAACCAGACTGCTGACATTTAACTAAAAAGGGGGCAGAGCAGCTTTTCAGCTGACCCTCAGGGGAAAACCAAGGGGGTCAGGGAAGCAAACAGCTCAGGTTGAGTAATTCCTAGGAAATGAAGAGGCATGTGCTTCCAGCTGCCCAAATGCAGGCAGGAATAGGCTAGGAGGAGACAATGAAATGTGGTAGTCTATCAAAAAGCATGAAAACACACATGGCCTAGATCTCTGGGGAGGGACACCACGGCTAGGTGTTTCTGCCCCTCCAAGCCAAGGCGGGAGAATTGGACTTCTTGGATTTAAAGCAGGGCCGGAAAGAAAGTACTCAAAGAGGGGCCGCTCTCCTTGTCAGAGAGGGCTTTGTGTCAAATGGATGAGAAAAACCGAGACCTCCGCCACTGAAGTGGAGTGACCATATTCAGCCTGCAAAGTAATTTAGTATTAGGAGCACGCTATTGCTGCTCAGACCAAAATGCTCAGAGTGATCTTGAGTGGGGAAACAAAATCAGAGAGCCCCTCCCACCACAAAACCAGGAAGCATTGCAATAATGGGTGGCTTCAATTACTCTCGCATTGGCTAGATAAATGCATGTTCTGGTTCTGACAAAGAGGACTAAACGCCCTGAATGAATGTGCAGGGAGACAATCCTATATTTAATCTTAGGTGGTGCCACCAGGACTTAGCCTGATATATGAGCGTTGGTGACCCAACTGCAAACAGAAGCAACAATGCTGGTACTTTTGCTGTATTTGTAAAAGGAAAATGGCCAAGAAAATGTAGATTGATCTAAGCAAATGTAAACTTATGCACACTGGTGGGAAAAGTCCCAACTTCACATGCAAGTGAATGAAATTTGAGCTAGCAATGACGGACCAAAGGGACCTTGGGGTTGTGGTAACAGCTTGATGGAAATATTGAAGCAGGATGCAGCAACTGTGCAAAAAGTCGATTCCCATCGTTAGGAAAGCGATTGAAAATGAAATTGCCGCTGTCGTGGTTCCTTAACTCACATCTAGGGTGTGCTGCCCTCCACACCTAAGACGGACATTGCAGGGCAGGAAGAAGTGCAGAAAGGGACAATTAGCAGAATCAAGGGGCTGGAGGAAAGGTTGCAACATCTGGAATTGTTTAGTTTGGAGAAAAGCGCAAATCAAGGGAAGCACAATGGAGGTGTACAAAGTTATGTGGGAATTGTGGATGGGGGGACTCCTTCCTCTTAGTACTAGAACCAGGGTCATCCCAAGTGGTGGGAGGTTTAGGACAGGTAGAAGGAAGTGCTGAAAGCGTGGTGCTCATGTCCACAAGATGTAGTGAGGGACACCAATCTGGATGGCTTAAAGGGGATTGGACAAATTCAGGGAGGAGGAGGAGGCATCTGTGGCTGCTGGTCCTGATGGCTATATGTTGCCTGCAACGTCAGAGGTGGGATGCCTGTGTACATCAACGGCTGGGGCACATGGGCAGTGGGTGCCAGCGCACTCGCGTGGGCAGACTAGGGGAAGCTGTGGTCTGATCCAGCAGAGCTCCTCCCATGCTCCAAGTCTTAGAGCTGAGGTTATCACAGCCCATTTTTAGTAATCTACATTGCTCCAGTTTTGAAGATGGCTGTGCAGAAACCCCTTCCCCAGTTCCGTCTTTTTCAACAGCGTCCATATTCTTGACATAGTAGAGCAGAAAGGAAAAACCGTTTGCCGTGCCTAAATAACAGCAAGCGTTCTCTGAGCACGTGCAGTTTTGATGAGTGGACACATGGGCATCATGGGCCCATGGTGACAGCAGGAGCCTGTGCGGCTTGCTCCTTCCTCCCTGACGCCCATGCGGATTGACCCGGGAACCTGCCCTGGGAAAGGGCTCCATTTTGCTGTAGAAAAGCATCATTTATTTTGAAGGGGAAAGGAGTAATCGGGCGACTGTCCAACCACCCCTCCCCTAACTATACAATTTTTGAACAATATAAATGAAATGAAAAATGCTCTAGCAAGCAGCATTAGCCCCAGCGGGCACTGGGCGAGAGCCGAGGCCATGTTGCTTATCAGCACCCCATAGAGGCATTATAGGCCCCTTTCTGGGGGGCTTGGGGGGCTGGACTGCTGGGTCTTGGTCGCTGGCTCTATGTCAGCTCTGCGGGGGAGCAACAATTTCCCTGGCACAAGGCCATTTTGAATGTTACTGTCACAAACGCGCACCTTTTGTGTGCACTGCCCATAATGTCCGTATCTGGAAGACCCTTTTGATGGGAAGTCTCCATTGCAAAATTCTGGCATGTGGCTTTTGAGGGAGAACTGGGCTTTGGTTTGTATCTTGGTCTGGAAGTGCACAGATACAGCACGTTCTCATGAAAATGGGAACCAGACGAATATATCACATCCCTCCCGCTGGAAGAGAAAGACCCACAGTAGGAAATTGTCTCACCAAAGACACCTGGACCTCTGACCAGGTGGTGTTGGGTCCTGAGGCAATGGGCTGAATTCGTGCCGTGGGGAAGAAGGGGTTGTAGTGGCCGGTGGCGCCTATGAAGAGACTCAGAGCCAGGTTGAAGGGCAGCGTGAACACCGGCAGGTCCCACTTGCTGAGGAGTGACCCTAAAGCGCTTGTGAAAAGAGGGCTGGAAAAGAAGAACAAAAGCCATTGCTCAGTGAAGATGTGGACTCGCACCGCAGAGCTAAGCTGGCATAACAGCCATTCCCTGTGCCCTGCCCTGCCCTGCCCTGCCCTGCCCTGCCCTGTCCCAGAAACTCTAATTTTATAATAGGTGGACTGCAGAGCTCAGGAAGAGTTTTGTTATCCCCCCGCAATGACAATTCCTAGGAAGCCACAGGGGCAGAGGACTGGTATAGAGCCAGCATCAGAGTGGCTTGAAGACCTGCCCTTTAAACCAGGGATGGGGAAGCTATGGCCGCCCAACCATGGTCAGACAGTGACTCCCATCATTCCTCGCCATTGGCTATGTTGGTGAGGGCCGATGGAGGTTGTAGACCAACGGCATCTAAAGGGGCCACACATCCTCCCTCACTTGTTTAAGTAAATCTAGCTCTTGCATCCACGAGTTGCCCCAAGTTAAAAGCAATAGTATTCACCATGAAACCAGGAGGGATTGTAGCCCATTCTGTCTGCCTGCCTGCCTGCCTGTCTACCAACCAATAGCTAAGATTCTCTGGGCGATTGACAGTAAAAATCCATCAGAACATGATCCTACTGGGTTGATCATCAGCCTTCCAACTCAGAGGAGGAGCTCTGTCCCCAGTCAGTTGGCAGCTTCACGCACCGACCATCCCCTTGCGAGCAGCCGGTGTTGTCTCACTGGGAGGACAAAGGGGCAGCTCAGAATCGCTGCTGTTTGTAGAAGCCTTGAGGAGTGGAGCAGTGCATCTTGGCCGATGCGCACAGTGACTTAAGTATGGGAAAGTTCCGAATCGTAAATGCTTGTGTTGTTTATGAGTAAATGGCAGTGAAACTGAGGACAACAGCCTGTGTGAACTGATGTTGCTGTTTCCAAAAGGAGTAACAGGGAGCAGCTTTATGGTTCTGGTTCGAAAGTGTGCATGGATGTTTTGTTTTCAGCATGGCTGGCTACACCCCCCCCCCATTTATTGCAATGAACAGATGCATCATTGCCACTGGAGCATGACACTCTTTTCAGTTCAACATAAACTGATTTCAGTTCAACGTCCTTTTTATAGGTATCCTGCTGAGGAAATAGGCATCTATTAGGCTAGACATGCACATGGTGGGCATGTCGTGAATGGAGCTGGCTGGAGCCGGGGGTCAGACTAGATGACCCGGGAGGACCCTTCTGACTCACTCTGTTTCTCTAAAGTGAACGGACACCCTCCCAAACCCCCAACAACAGCCAAATTATGGAACTGCCAGTGAAAAATCTCTTACAAGAATGAATAAATCAATGCATAGAATGCTTAACTGAATATAGCTGTCTGGATCGGCCATTTTGAGCAGCCAAACCCCAACCCGTTGACCTCTAGATATGTTTGACCACAATTCCCATCACTCCCTGACAGCATGACTCATACTGGGAGGTGTAATCCAGCACAATTGAAGGGCAACAGGTCATGGTGAACTGGCTTGGAAAGTCTTGCTCGGAGTGGAGAGGCCCTGGTTCAAATCCAGTCTGAGGTCATGGCCTTGCTATTTAGTTTTACTTTTTGCAAGGTAAGAATCATCTCCTGGAAGGGGTGAGGCTCAGTGGCAGAGCACCTGGTCTGCATAGAGGAGAAACCCTGGAAAGCCCTTGCAGCGAACACTCAGCCTCAACAATCTGGGGTGGGTGTACCAAGGGCCTGGTTCTGCAGAAGGCAGCTTCTCACGTTAAAATCATCTCTTCTTTGTCCATTCCTCTGCTTTCTAGACTGCATTCGTGGTGCCATCAAGGGGAGTTCTGGAGAATCCCTGTGATTTAAGTCTTCCACAATCTAGCTAGACAGTAGCTGTTACCATAAGAGGAGGCACCATGGCAAGATCGTTATGAGAGCTATAGAGGGATCCTGTGCTCTCAAGGGGTGCAGAGCAGTCTTTGGATTCCCGGATCTGAAGTCAGAGGAGTGTCCTCACCTTGAAGCTGAGTATCCACACTGCATGCACCACACCTAGCAGCCAGTGTGGAGATAACCAGGTTGGCTGCTTGCCCAAGGTCAGGAAAGTGATTTTGAAGATGGGGATAAAGAGGGTGAGGAGACCAGGGCCACTGGGATTCAAGGGTTCCAGGCTCCTTCAAAACTCCAGATTTAATTTGCAAAGAGTGCGGGGGGGGGGGGCACAGAGGCAAAGATTTCCTCCGCCTCTTCTCCTATTCTTCAGAGAATACCTGTAAGCATCCAGGCTCCAGGGCTTATGAACATCAAAGGTGCAAAGGACCTTAAGGCCCTAAGCAGACTCCTGCTGGACCAGATGGAATTTCTGTCTAGTGGACTAGAATAGAATAGAATAGAATAGAATAGAATAGAATAGTGGCCTATTGTCCCCCCAGTGGCCAACCAGATGAGCACAGTGGGGCCCTGCCAGCCATGCTTCCCAGCCACTTACGCTGGAAGACAAGTTGTGCCCAGTACTCAAGACAACATATGACTGTCTTGACTAGTGTCCATTGACAGGCTGATCCTAAATGAATTTGTCTGCATTCTAGTTTGACAACATTTTGAAGTCTTCGCTTCCTTAAAAGAATCGGGGGACTCTGCTTGCATGCTGTGTCCAACGTTCTATGGGTAACTTTCCGAGTGCCTTCTGGGACTATAGTTCCCCATGGCTCAGCTGCAATGAACAGAGCCTAAACTTGCATGGTGGGGAGACGGCTCTATGTCTCATTTTGGTTCAGTTCAGTTCAGTTTTGGTCAGGTTTCTATCTAGTTTGCACTTTCCAGATTGGACACATATTTGGATGCAAAATGCAGTCGAGCTCCATCTGTTTCTGAGCTTGCAGTGTGACTTGTGGACAAGCATGCATGCATTGTGGAACTGTGTGCATTTCAAAGGGAGTGCATTCCAAAAACATGCAGAAATATGTTTAATCACGGGAGAAGAATATTTATATTTAGAAATGCTTTTCAAAAATGCATAGAATTGGTGCACGCGTCTGACTATATATGCATGGAAATAAGCACAGATTTTCAGGCAAGAAGAGGAGGAGGAGGAGGAAGGAGAAGACGAAGAAGCACCACCAGTAGCAGCAGCAGCAGCAGCAGCTTGGAAGCTGATATGGACTTGAGTTGGGATGCGTGTTGAGATGGAATTTAGAGAATTGAGGTGAGCCAACATTTCACTGATTTGCATATCCCTTAGGTGCAGAAACTCCTTGCATAATTCAGAACTCTGTGGACCCAAGGTTCTAGATAGGGCAGATTTCCTGCTGCCTGCAGAGCCATCAGGAAAGGACGAAGGGAGTGGAACTAATAAGCACATCTGCTCTGTCTCTCATCACACAAAGGGCAAGGCATGCTGGGGGGCAACTGAACAAAGGCTTGTTTGAAGAAACAGAGGGGAGATGGGGGAATGGCAGGAGCACCCAAAAGGTGCATCCCTACTGGACTCACCAGGTCATGGACATGAGACCAACGGGAAGCAGAAGCCACCAATAGTAGTCACCCTTGTCTGAGAACACGGCCATGAGCATCCCGACCAGGACCCCGTTGTAGCTGTGCAGTCCTGCTGTGATGGCTGACCTGTGGGAGAGGCAGTCAGGTGAGAGATGCCTGCTGCGGGGCTCACACACTGCTGGAGGACACCTTCCTGCACCTAAGCAAGTGAGGGGATGGTCAGTGCTTGGATGAGTGTCTTCCTGGAAGCCCCATGGGTATGGCCTTGAACTTGAGGACAGAAGCAAAGGAGAACTGAATGGTAGGAAACCAACCAACCAACCAACCAACCAACCAACCAACCAACCCACCAGTCAAGCACTCTTGAAGTTGTGCAGCTGAGAAACAAATTCTGCCATTGCAGGATCCCTTCATTCTGCCCCAAATGCTCTTGCTGAAACACAGTTGCTGACTTGCAAACTGCAAGGGTGGGGGGGCATGGGGGGAGCTTCTTATCATGGGCAGGGAACAGAAAGTCAAGATGGGAGACATCTGTTGTCTGAGTGCAAGAAAACATGCAGCCTTTAGAGCGGCAGATCTAAATCTTGTTTTGTTTTAATAGGTACATCTGTAAATCAATGAAAACAGGAATGGACAATATGCCCCTTAGCTACTTTGATCCAAGCATGGATGGAGGAGGAGGAGGTGGTGGAGGGGAAGGGGAATGGGGAGGGCGAGAGGGAAGAATAAGAAGAGAGGGCTGTAACAATTAATTAACAATGTGAGGGCCAACCTACCTCTCCTGGCGTAGGATAAGTGCTGTTACGGTTGAGACAACGACACCTACACAACATGTGAGTGTCAGCCAAGGGCTCTGGACCAGGAACCCAGCAAGCATGATCAGACCGCTGAGCGGATTGTTGACAAACATCACTTGAGAGATACCTCGCAAGATCCAGACAGGGAACTGGAACAGGAGAGGCTTATCTGAAAGACACCCCAATGGCAGACAAGACACGTGAATGGCACTCATGCAGAGACACAACATGCTGAGGCCGTGGTCTGAAGGCACATGTGGTGGCCAAGCAGGTGTGGGCTTCCTCCCAAAAGGGACTTCTCACTTTGCTGTGACCTCTGGAGGAAAGGCAACACGCACAGGAGATCAATAGGTGCACTGAACATTTCAGAACAATCTATACCTTGCCACACCACACAGCCCTCCTGACGTTTGGACTACAGCTCCCAGAATTCCTGGCTATTGGCCATGCTGACTGGACTTGAGGGAGTTGTAGCCCAAAGAAATGGGAGGACAACAGTTTGTCCACCCCCGACTGAACAAATGGACCCTTCCATCAAGCTCCAGCAGAAGGAAGGCTCTACTGGGAGAGGGCTTGGCTGGGGACCAGCTGCCATTGGGTTCCCATTCCATGAGAAGCCATTCCTCCTGCCTGTGCTGGAGAAGGAAGCGAGGCAACGGCCCCTCCACTGGCCAGGCGAGGGCACATGAACGCCCCCTCCCCTGCTTCCCAGAGCAAGCTCGCCACAGTGGCCAGCCTGAAATCTCTTCTGCTGCATGGACCAGCAGACATCCAGGCGGGGATGGAAGGCTCGGCCCAGGGGGGCCCAGGGGGGAGGCCGGCATCCCAGTGGCCAACCCAGGAACAGCATGGCAGCCTAAATCCCAGCTGCTTCTGATGGCTTCCCCTCCCTTGTCATCCTTTCCTACTCCGCCTGGTCTCTACTTTTAGGTTGCCAGGCAGAAATGGTCTTTTCCCCCCTACATTTCATACAGCACTTTGGGTGCAATCTAATGGCCAGTAGAGAGAATCTAGATGGCCACTGGATAATCAGAGTCCCAGTTCGGAAGTTGGAGCTGGGGCGCTGAACTTGGAGCATCCTCCCTCCGCCCCTGCAGGAAGGGCCATGCTGGCTGCAACATGGAGCTCGTAAGACTGAGCTCAGAGATGGCCTTTTGGGGCAGGGGCCAGCGAGGGGAGGGGAGGGGAGGGAGCGGATTGCTTCAGCCGCCTTTCCTTGTGCTCCAAGGAGGAAATCAGAAATCTACTGAGGGAGAAGCATGGAGCTGTCCCTGAGTCTGGGCGACCACAAGCGGCCTCTTTTCATGGTACTGCCTGCCACAGTTACGTGGAATAGCAGCATTCCCTTAACTATTTCTTTCAACTATTTGTCATCCACGGATCCAAAAGCGTTGCTAGGTCAGCTTACAAAACAGATCATGTGTTACAGTAATACCATGAATTGACTTGATTGAAAAAGAACAGAGGAAATTAACAGCATAAAAGTCATCATCGCGGGGGGTTCAACCATCAGTTAAAAGGCCTGAAATATACCAAGGTCTTTGCCTGACACCAGAAATGAGGTCAGAGTTGGTGGTTGGAAACAGCGTTCCAGTAACAGGGAGCTGCCCTTGAAAAGGCTCCGTCTTCCAGGGCCAGTCACAGTACCCGGGTGGCAGGGGCCCAAAGGGGTGGCAGAGATCATCTCAGCGTACAGACAGGGTTATATGGAGATAGAAGGTCCTTCAATTCCGCCCCCCCCCCCAAAGCATTGGCTTTGGTGCTTCACACAAGACATTTCATCCATTGTAAGCACCAAGGAATAAATTTAGCAGATTGTTAGGAATACTTAAGTCCACTGAAACCAAATTTGTGCTGGATTTAGGCCCAGATATTTAGCAAATATTGGACAAATATTTGAATATGAATAGATCTGACTCTCCAAAGAATTCAATGAATATCCAGTGTCAAAATGCAGAGAAGTTAATTTGTTTGGGAGCAAATTGGCCTGCCTTAGACAATTGCAGCAGGGCTTTGTTTCTGTTGTTTGAAAGTTTATGGGCTGGGACAACTGCCAATGTGAGTATCATCAACAACATCTGGCAAAGCTCCTAAGTGCCAACGGGGATGTAAAATATGACACACGTTTATTATTGTTTGTAAAACCATTGGGAAGTTGATTGAGCAGTGCAGGCAACCGCTGCTCGAGTTCATGCGGCAGATAAAAACGGCTTATTTATGTTGCTTACATTGAAGATGGCAGATGGCATCTCTCAGCCAGCTTTCCCTCTGCGTGCGTAGCTTAGACTTTGCTCTGGAATTCAGGTGAGATAAATACTTGCTCTGGGACTGGGATGGGGAAAGCGGTGGACCAAAGGAGGAAATCTAAGTGTATCGCTCTTGTGATTTGTTGATAGGCTAAGATAAGGGCCAGCTCTCAGGGTATCTCCAGGAGAAGCAATGGCAGCTCCTGGATCTGGGGGTCCTTCAACAGTGGACAATGGGAATCCGATGAACTGGGTATCCCTGAACTTTGACACCTGACCTCTTGTGCCATTGGTGCCTCTTGTGGCTTCGGCTACCAAAGAGGAAATGGCTTGCAAGTAACTTTCCATAATCTTTGTATATGTATGTATAGATGCCCATTTAGAAATAAAGATTCTAATTTAAAAAGAAGAAATCCAGCCCATCCTAGCAGGGGAAATGGACCAGGGACCAGTTTGCTTGCTCTAACTGGGCACCATTGGAGGGCAACTTCAAGGCTCCCGAGACCTCAATTCTAAGGGTTCTTTATGTATAAATTGGACTTGAACCGGACTGTCCATCAAAGAGAGGGTTGTCCTCTGGAGAGTAGGACACCTGGCTGATTTAGCCACTGTGCCCTGCAGGAAAGCCAAACAAAATGATACCCTGAACACGGAACATGTGACTCCATCTGTTCATTTTCTTTACTGAAAGGCAAATATGGAGGACGGGATCCAGACTGGGACTCCAGCACTCTGCGTGCATGCGTGCATGATTTACCCTGTTCCACCTCAGATTGAACCTCCACACCTGCCATTTCCATAGGGAAAAAGCTCCCTTCGGAGCACCTGGGTCTTTCTTCCCATGCAAACGCCACACTTGCAGGGCCTGATCCAAGTTAGCTCCACGATTAAAGCCCTCCTACTTCTCTACCGTTGGATCTTGACTGGATCCCCACTTTTCCATGAGGGAAAGAACAGAGGAGCTCCGTGTGACACGTTTATTTGTTGCTATGTTGAGGGACAGCATCTGGGTTGCAGTGGGAGCTTCCATGAGCGCTTCACGTGACATCTGCCGGCCGGCTCTGTCACATCTCCGAGCTCACGCACAATTTCTGGAGGCAGAGCACTGCCAAAGCTCCTGCTGCCTTTCCCAGTTGCTGCTTTGGACTTTCTAATCCCCTTTTTCAGGGATTAAGAAAAAGGCTTTCATTTCAATACCCTGCATAGCTCCATGTGTGAAAACAAAACCAGGACAGAGTAATGCAAAATACAATAAAGTACTGCTGAATAATTTCTGAAAACCAGGTGAAGGCAAACATACTCGTTTAGTTTGCATGATTCATTAAATTCATGGGAGGATACATTATTGTTCGCTACTCAATGGACGTCTTATTTTTTACAACTGGCTTGTCTCAGAGATAGCTGCATGGACCATCCTCTTATCCAGAACACCTTTGGCTCTCCTTGTGCCAACCTTAAGTTTTCTCTCTGCCTGCCTTGATTTGACTCCCATCTGTGCCTCCTGCAGCCTGTGATTCTGCACACCGCATTCCCCAAGCCCTCCGAAGAAGTACTGAACCGGGTGCCCCTGAATTGGGCACCCAATCCAGCTTCTGGGAAATCTAAGCTTCCTTATGCATCATTTCTTTTCAACCAAAAGAAGAACGTGTCTCATCCTTATGGTTGCACAGACGGATGATCCACAGCCAATCACCCAAAGGTCCACCTGGCCTGGATGAGCAGTCCACTCCATCCGTTGCTCAAAGAGGCACTGCTTGCTGCAGTGACTCCAAGCGCATTTAACAACATTTACTAACTGTTGAGATGCTTACGATTAAGGGGTCAACTGCTCTCAAATGCACAAATATCTATCCTAAATGCCAACAATGTGTGTGCACACCAGAGTCAAGAGACACCTGTTCTCCATGCGAGATTTAACTCCTGTAGATCCAGTTTCCCCCCGGAAGCAAAATACTTGCTTTCTGTTAGAGAAATGGGTGACTGGCTCAGGATCTCCCTCAAAACTCCACGCATGAGTCGGGACTCAAGCAAAGATTTCCCCTGGTGGGCCATGACACCCACACTGGTCCTCATAAGTGTATCCCTGTACCTTTCAGCCAGTCTCCAAAGGCTTTCATATCCCCAGTGACATAGTTCACGGCTCTGCAGAATTGCCTCCAACTTTCCACCGTCCAAGTCTGTGTTTTGTTGGACTTTTCTGCAGCTGTTTCGATGTCCATGGTGGTTTTTGGACCCTGCTGGGATAGAAGCAGTGATGCATCAGACTTACCCACATGCTTATCAGCTGCTCCCCCAGGTTGGTGCTCTCCTTTCCATGTTAAGACTGGGAGTAATGCAGGGAAAAGCAGGCCAGAGAGAAGCAAAGACACACAGAGGGCCAAAGAGCCTCAAGCATAATCAGATGCACCCAACTGCTTTTTCCCGACATGGCTTTTGAACCTCAATCATTGTATTTATTTATTTAGAAAATTTCTAGGCCGCCCCATTCGCCGAAGCCTCGGGGCGGCTTACAAATACATAAATTAAAATATGCCGAGTCTGGACTGACCGGGGCGGCTCAGGACTTCATGGCCTCTATGACGGCCATGGGCCTGTCTCAACACGTCACTGGCCCTACCCATGAACGTGGACACACTCTGGGCCTGGTATTCACGACGGGGCAGGTAGAGGATGACCTGAGGGTGAAGAACTTATGTTTGACTCCCCTGTCATGGTCAGATCACCTCCTGGTGAGGTTTGTGCTCGAGAGCGGCCTCTCCCTCTATAAGAGTGCGGACCCGATTGTATGGGCCCGCCCCCGGAGCCGGATGGATCCGGATGGATTCCTGGGGGCCCTGGGGGAGTTTCCGGCGGACAAGACTGATGCTCCTGTCGAGGCTCTGGTCGAACTATGGAACGGAGAGATGACCAGGGCTGTGGACGCGATCGCTCCTAAGCGTCCTCTCCCATCGGGCAGAGTCCGCTCTTCCCCTTGGTATACACCTGAATTACGGGCGATGAAGCGAGTTGGGAGACGGCTAGAGCGTAGGTGGAGGAAATCACGGGATGAATCTGACCGAACACACTTGAGAGCCCACTATCGGGCCTATGCTGTGGCGGTGAAGGCGGCGAAAAAGAAGTTTTTTTCTGCTTCCATTGCCTCCTCACAATGCCGTCCAGCGGAGCTTTTTCGAGTGGTGCAAGGCCTGGTTCGCCTGGGTCCTAAGGAAGATCCGATGCCACCCTCAAAGGCCCGCTGTGATGACTTTGCCAGGCATTTCAGGGAGAAAATCGCTCAGATTCGTCACGAGCTGGACTCCACTAATGAATCAGAGGTCTCTGAGGAGTCGCCAATGCCACCGTCTGGTCCAAAATTACTGGAGGAATTTCAATTATTGCGGCCCAATGATGTGGACAAGGTGCTTGGAAGAGTACGTCCCACCACTTGCCTATTGGATCCTTGCCCGTCTTGGTTAATAAATAACTCCAAGCACGGGATTGGGACCTGGATTTTGGAAGTGGTTAACGCTTCTCTGAGGGAGGGTCGAGTGCCTGCCCCTTTAAAGGAGGTGGTAATACGACCAGTCCTGAAGAAAGCGTCACTGGATCCAGAGATGGCCACTAACTATAGACCTGTGGCCAACATCCCGTTTCTGGGCAAGGTGCTGGAGCGAGTGGTGGCGGGACAACTCCAAGCACTCTTGGATGAAACTGATTATCTGGATCCTTTTCAGTCCGGCTTCAGACCCGGGTACAGTACTGAATCTGCCTTGGTCGCCCTGTACGACGACCTGTGCAGGGAGAAGGACAGGGGGAGTACATCCCTGTTGGTTCTTCTGGACCTCTCGGCGGCTTTCGATACCATCGACCATGGTATCCTTCTGGATAGACTTGCGGGATTGGGGGTTGGAGGCACTGCTTTGCAGTGGTTCCGCTCCTATCTCGACGGTCGATTCCAGAAGGTAGTGCTGGGGGACCATGTCTCTACGTCATGGCAGCTATGCCATGGGGTACCACAGGGCTCCATTCTATCCCCTCTGCTATTTAACATCTATATGAAACCGCTGGGAGAGGTCATCAGGAGGTGTGGGCTGCGGAATCATCAATACGCTGATGATACCCAGCTTTACCTCTCATTCTCCACTAACCCAGATGAGGCAGTGGCTGTGCTGAACCGGTGCTTGGCCGAGGTAAGGGAATGGATGAGGGCCAATAAACTGAAACTCAACCCAGACAAGATGGAGGTCCTGTTGGTTGGCGGATCGGGTTTCGGAGAGGGTGGATTTGACCTGGTCCTGAATGGTGCAACACTCCCTCTTAGGGATAAGGTCCGCAGCTTAGGAGTACTCCTCGACCCGGAGCTTTCTTTGGAAGCTCAGGTGACAGCGGTAGCGAGGAACGCCTTCCTTCAGCTTCGGCTGATTAATCAGCTGCGCCCCTACCTGGAGTACGACTGCCTGGCGACGGTGACACACGCGCTGGTGACTTCCCGCCTAGACTTCTGTAACGCGCTTTACGTGGGGCTTCCCCTGAAGACAGTCCGAACACTTCAATTGGTGCAAAATAGAGCTGCCAGGTTGCTGACGGGGACGGGGCGTTATGCTCACATGACTCCAGTCCTCCGTCAGCTTCACTGGCTTCCCATTGAAGCCCGGGCCCAATTCAAGGTGTTGATTATGACCTACAAAGCCCTAAACGGCTTGGGTCCTGGCTACCTGAACGAGCGCTTACGTCCGTATATGCCCGACCGCCCTTTGAGATCTGCGGGAGAGTCCCTTCTCCGGGAACCCTCCATGAAAGAAATTAGGAGAGTAAGTACCCGGAGGAGGGCTTTCTCTGCGGTGGCGCCCAACCTATGGAATTCACTCCCCAAAGAGGTCCGCCTGGCACCGTCGTTACTGGTTTTTCGGCGCCAGGTAAAGGCCTTTTTATTTAAACATCATTTCAATTGTTAAAACATATGATCTGGCCTGGGCAACTTCTTCTTCCTTCTCTTTCTCCTCCTATATTTTTATTTTATACTGATAATTTTAATTTTGTATTTGTAAATCAATGTATTTTTTGTATTGTTATATTTAATGGTAATTTATTATGTACTATTGTATTTCAATGTATTTCATCATGTTGTAAGCCGCCCCGAGGTTTCGGCAAGGGGCGGCATAGAAATGCTATAATAATAATAATAATAATAATAATAATAATAATAATAATAATAATAAATTAAAATACATAAATAACAATATAAAATACATGTAACTGTATCCCACCACCTTCCTTGGCAAGAGAACACTTGGAGGAGAACCTTGTCACTCATCTTATTGGTTGTGCGGGCCAGAAGAAGTCAGAAGATGCCAAAGTCCCTGTGAAGACCATCCAGGGTCATGACATTATTATCATCAGAACATCTGGAGAGGTTCCATTACGTTCTTCCAGGCCCACCAGGATCACACTGAGGATCCCAGGAAGAGACTGGTAGCACAAGCAGACAGAAGCCCAGAGGTGGAGGTGAACGGCCTGTCTGGGAGCACACCAACTATCCTTGAGTCCTACTTGTGAGGAGGAAGGATTCTCACGTGCCAGTGAAAGAAAGGATGCAGTATCCCCATCCATTGCAAAACTGCTCAGTTTCCACCTAGTCCTTGTCAAAGCAGCACCTTTCTTTCTGTACCCTCTGTTGGACGGCCCACCTGATGTTCCTGATCCTTGAACCACTGAGCTGTTTCTGGTTGGGCCTTGACACCAAGAATGGGACAATCCTAGACACAGGTCATGCTCAACGTATGCCTACCTGGGCATCCACCCTTTCCAGCAGTGGCATGCTTTGAGAGGGGTCCTGGGGACCGGCTGGCCAGCGCTGGCTCTGAAATCCAGAGTCACACGACTTGTGTCCATCTGGTGCTGTGTCTGTTAGGACGGGGAAGGTGGAGGGCCCAGAAATACTGCTGAAAGAACATCCATCCATCTTTCCTAGCATTTCATGTGTGATAAAGGGCAGAGAGAAGGACGTCAGCAGAAGTGCTCTTTGCCCTGACAATGAGTTTATTATTTTACAGACCCTTGGCTGGGAGTCCCTAACTGTAGTGTTTGCCTTATGGAAAGCGTGGGTCTTATCTCCACTGGCATTATATTCTGGTGAATTGCAGATCAACCCAGTTATTGACCCATGGCAATAACGAAGTCGTTGGCCTTCAGGGAGGGCATGCTCACGATGGCCCAGGGCCCACACCCTGGCAGAGAGCCACCCTAGGAGCATCCTGGAGCGCCTCCCTCCTCCCACATTACAGCCTGCTTCTTCCTTTGGCCCGGATGCTGCCGCCCGCCTGCTGAAGGTCTTCCTGCTGGTGCACCGAGGGATCGGCGTCCATGTTGAGAAAAAGGATGAGAGCGACCCTTTGGAGGCCTTGCCGAAGGCTGGCTCTGGATCTCCGGCTTCTATGTGTCTGTGTCTCGTCATTACACCTGCATCCCGCCTTGCTACCTTTTGCAAGGAGCTCAGGGCAGCAGGCGTCATACTCCTGTTTTCCGTGCCGTCCATGCAACAACCCTGGGGAGGGGCTTAGGCTGCGAGTCAGGGGCTGGCTGACTGGGAGGGGACCAGGATCGGCACCCCCCATGTCCCAGGCCAGGGCTGTAAGCACTGCAGCGCATTGGCTACTAGGACAGAGGGAGCTTGTGGAGGTGCGGCAGGGGTAGGTCTGGACCAACAGGATGGAGAGCTCAGCTCTGGACCCGAACGCCAATTCCTGAGCTGAGCATGTGCTCAGAGTCACCCTGTTCCTTAGCTCCAAGTGAACCTTGTCTCCAAGGGCCAGTGTTTTGCATCAGGTTGCTCTTGGAGACTGAGCTGAAAACAAGGGGCATCTCCCACACCTGGAACCTGCACTTCCTCCCTTCCTCCACTCCCGACCGCCCCAAGCTGACTGGGCAGGTCTTCTACGGCCTCTGCAACCGCGTTCACTGGGAACCCAAACAATGGGAACCAGGAGCTGCACGGAGCAGTGCGAGACCCTTCGCCATCCATGCAGGGCCCTCAGGAGCGGCGCCGGGGGGTGTTCCCAGCCCCCTCCAAGCCCACAGAAAAGGCTGCCGTGGAAGAAGACCCAAGGGCTACTGGGCCAGAACGAAGAGCATCCTTGCCGGCCCAGCGATGGCCAACCTCGGACCTTCTTGGGAGCCCCGCTGCAGATTTCTGTCTCCCGCTCTGCCTCCATCCCTTCAGTGCTGCCTTAGCTGGCCTTTGGGCATGCGGCAACCCTGAAGGGTTTTGCACTGGGTGAAGGGGATTCTCTCTCCTATTGGAAAAGCCTTCACCCACCTGCCTGCCTTTCCTCCAGTACTTCCATCAGTGCCACTTCCTGAGCCAGCCTTGTCTCAGGAAGGCAGGCAAGCACCCGCTTGTTCTGAATCCTGGAATCCTAGAATAGTAGAGCTGGAAGGGGCCCAGAAGGCCACTGGGCCCAACCCCCTGCTCAGTGCAGGACTCCCAGTTAAAGCACCCCCAAGAGAAGGCTGCCCAGCTGCCTCTTGAATGCCTCTGGGGTGGGGGGCCCCACAAGCTCCCCAGGTCATGCGTTCCACTGCTGTTCTGCTATACAAGTCAGGAAATTCCTCCTGATGTTGAGCTGGGCTCTGGATTCCTGTAACTTGAGCTCATTGTTCCCCATTACTGCATTCTGGGATATTCAAGAAGTGATTCTGACCCAACCTTTCAAGTACTTGAAGCGTGCTATCATATTTCCTCTCAGTCTTCTCCTCTCAAGGCTAAACATGCCCCATTCTTTCCATCTCTCCTCATGGGGCTTTGTTTCCAGTCCCCTCATCATCTGCACTGAGGTTCTCTGACCCTTCCCAGTCTATCTGCATTTTTCTTAAGCTGTGTTGCCCAGAACTGGATACAGCACTCAGGATGAGGTCTAACCAGTGCAGAGCATCAGGGAACCGGTCCTTCTCATGAGGTGAAGTGACATTTCCATGAATGCAGCCCCAATCGCCTTTACCTTTTTTGCAGCTGCATCACATCGTTGGCTCATATTCAGCTTGTGACCTACAACAGCTCCAAGATCCTTCTCATTTGTAGCATCGGTGAGCCAAGTATTCATCTGGTTTCTTTTTCCTAGGTGCAGGTCTTGCCATTTGCCCCTACTAAATTTCAGTCTGTTTTTTCTGAGCTCCATGCTCCAGTCTATCAAGATCCCTTTGAATTTTGTCTGTCTTCCAGGCATTTGCTATCCCACCCATTAAAGAGTATGATGTTCCTTTGAAGATTTACGACATCCATCAATGCCATTATGGGAAGGCCACCCACCCTATATAAGGGCATGGGAAAGTCAGGTGAGTCTTTGCAAGAAGACGCTTGGCAGCATACCTGGACCTCTTTGCCATCAATTAGCACTCCTACGGACAACACTCGGTGTGAAATCATGTCTTGCACCCACACCCTGGTCAATATTATTAGAAGAGGTTGGTCAGTTCTTTCAGCTTTTCATTCTTGGCAGCTACCAGCAGAAATGTTGGATAATGCTTGGATCACACTTGCTGATAGCAGCTAAGAATGTTTCCATTGTCAGCCACTGGTGCAGGCATTCTTTTTTCCCCCCCCCCCCCACCACTTTATGTTAAAATTTATTCCAAAAATAAAACAAAATTCCATAAGAAAAAGGAAAAGAGCACATTTTCACTTAGCTTAGAAAAGTGTGCGATTTTTCTTTCTGCCACTTGATTTAAACCGGTTAGCCATCTCAGCCAATTGCATGGATTTATTTTATGAGAGTCTTTGGGTAAAGCATTGTGTTAACTCCGGATTCCTTCCAAAGTTCACAGGCCGGTACAAAATGGCCTTGCATTCATCCCAGAATTTCAGGGCCAATTTCCCCCTCCAAAGCACAGATATCTCCACATCATCTCACTGTTCAGGCCATACAGCTCGAGCCCAAATGGTGCCATTGCCTGGCTCCCGGATCTTTTAAAAGAGCCGCATCAAGGCCCATTCCAGGTAGTGTGTCTAATTTTGTTTTTGGCAATGCAGCAGCCAAATAAAATGTGTCCTTGAAAGAGATTCGTTTGGGTATGAAAATTGTGAGCTCTAGCAAAACTGGCATCACTCTGTTGTTCCTGCAATCCTGAATTGCACAAAGGTCGAATTCCAACTGGTGTTCTCCCCCACCCCCCCATCAGTATAGTGGCCAATCTGCCAAAAGCCACACCTAGTGAAATTTGTCCTTCAAGCAATTTGTTAGCCACAAAAGTCCACACGGGGAGCAGATCTGGGAACTTGACTAGCCATTCTTGGCTAGATGTTTCTGAATTCAGCAAATGTTTCACCTTATGTGTAGGGAGGTGGGATTTGAAACGGATCCCACTGCTTCCCCAAAGACTTTCCAGGAAGTGTGAATGGGATCTCCACCTGCTAGTTTTGTGCCACTCCCCAAATTCCAGCAATTTGGAACTTCGGGATGCTGGAGAACAAAACTCCACAAAGCTGGCGGTGGCCAGACTTTATTTAAGACTTTGCTCTCCTGCTTTTCAAGCTGGTTTTCTGAAGCCTGAAAACCATGCAAAGTGAAGGCTTAAAAAGCAGAAAAATCAAATGACAGAAGTAAATGGAAGTGGGACCTGGAGGGCACACATGCTCTCTTGCCCCAGAATGCTGCTTGGACTTGCATTATGGAACAGGGTAGCAGAGGCCACATTGACAGTGGATAGTCCTCGATTTGAGGGCCTCCTGTCTGAAAGTCTGCATGGCCCTCAGGAAGGCAGTCCTTCCATTGTGGAACCTTCATCCCATCTGAACTGGGAAAACCTGATTCTCACCCCAGGTGAGGCTGCTGACTGGGAAACCCGTTCATGGTGACCTGGAACGGCTTGAGAGCAGCTTTCCTCCATGTCTCATAAGATCAGGACTTTGGGCGCTCAAAAAAACTGTGTAGCTGATGTACAGCAAGTGGCATGAATGTACAGAAGTTCTTGCCGCATTGGCTTAGACTGGGGCTGTGGAACCTCCCTTAGTCTGAGGGCAAAGGCCAGCTTTGGGGAACCTCTTGTGAACCACCTTCCCATGGTGGGCAGAGTCAAAGGAAAAAGGCATCATGCAAAAAACGCAAAATACATACATAATAAATAAATAAAAATAGCGGCACATTTGAATTTAATGCTCTTACTGCGGGGAATTAAGCCTTAGGAGAAGGTTTTCAACCTTCCAGAATGGGCAGAAACATGCAGAAGCCAAGTAATCATGGTGATTACTTGTGTAGAAGAAGGCACTGCAGTTGTCCGGGAAATCTTGCAGGCCAAGGTTTGAAACCCTTGACCTACATACATGGCTTTAAAATCATCAATAACTATTCACAGTGATGCCCATGTGGAACCTCCATGTTTGGAGGCAATATGCTTGCCACAGAATGCCAGGGCTGAGGGAACAACCCTGGCAAGAAGGCCTTTGCTCACGTTCCTGAAGGCACCTGGTTGGCCATTGATGGACCAGGCATCCATCCATCTGTCCATCCGTCCATCTCCATGCAACACCTCAGCAATGGTCAGGCAGCCAGGGACAATGTTATCATGAGGATCACTTTGTCAGCCTCTGGCCAGAGCACCCTTTGTTATGTCCTGACTGGAACACAATTTCCTCACACAAGTTCCTCTTGAGAAGATTAGGATTCCATTGCCCAACCAGGGCTGTGGACGGGAGCTGAGTCAACCCAGATTAACAGGACCAGGGTTGTGAGCAAGTTATTCCCTCAGCATTCTTTCTCTATTGGGAATGCCTGTTTCTGGAAAATTGTTTTTCAGCATCTTGACATGAATCATGTTCCTCATGGATTTACTACTTTTCATCATCTCATTGGGCAATTTCTTCAAGTGGCTGTCCAAAGAGTAGCTCTACTCAAGGCTATTAAATGCTTTCCACCATAATGGCTCTGACTAGTTATGGCAGGAAATCAAAAATAAAAAAGAATTTGCTGGCATCTTAACAAATTGATCTCAAGTGGACAGCATCCACAAAAGTGTCTTCCAGAATCAATTTGCTAGCCTTTAAGATGTTGCAAAACCCAGTGGTTCTTGCTACAACAGGCTAACGCTCCTCTGGAAATTGGCAGGAAAATCCCATTGTCTCCCCCAGCTTAGCAAATCGATAATCCATTTATGATGTTCGGATGAACACTTCTTGGCTTTGGGCTTTTATGAATGGCTTTGATAAGTCTTAAAGCCCAAACTGCCCATTAATATAAAAACAAGCATTTCACCTTCCGGACACTTATCTTCAATTGAAAGCGTTTCCTGTCTATTTGCCTATCTTTTTCTACAGGTTGTTTTCATTAGCCCTGTTAGAAGGCAATGAAGAGGGGCAGATTCAGTCAGATGTACAGTGCAGTGCTATGCACAAGTGGAAGTAAGCTCTATTGAGTTTAATGGGCTTACTCGCAAGTAATAGCAGTTTAGATTGCTGTTCCTCTGGTCATGGGGCTTTCCCTTATATTGGAAAACAGTGAAAATGTCAACAATATAATAATCATAATCATAATGATTAACATGACAATAATAGTAATAGTCACTGTCCAAACCAGGTAGGATTAGCAATCAATTAGTATTCTTAAGTGCATGTTTACACAGGAGTAAGAATTCAGTGTGATTTACTGCCTAGAGTGTATGCCTAGAGTTACATAGTCTAATTCTGACGTACTGAATTTCTGAAACTGAATTATTTTCAAAGATGCTTTTCCAGCAGCACTGGTGACAGGGAGAAGACTCAGGTCACCAAAAGATCCCAAACCTCACCCCGCAGGATTAAATGGTCATTCCCCATGAAACGCGCAAAGAAAGGACTTCTCTCACCTCAGGTTACTGTCCAGCCAGGAAGGTTTCCTCTCCGCCAAGTTTATCGCTGAACTGCAGCGGGCAGGGACAGTGAGACTGGAAACGAACACGCCTCCTTATATAGCCCACAACTCACGGCATAGCAGAAGTCCTCGGGGCAGCTCACCTCCTCCCTTAGCCAGCACACACTCAGGTCTCCCAAGCAATAGCAGCAGAGTCTTGCTTTTTCCTTGGCTTTAACCAAGTTGCTCATGGAAAACCTGCTTCTCCCATACAGGTTTTTTGTTTTTGTGGTGTCCACCCCCTCCCGTGTCAATCTCCCCTCCAGCTAGAGAAAGTTTAGGCATCACACACACGTGCACACACACACATTAAATATAAATCCATTGTGCTGAGGCTGTATTGTTGCCACAAAGCAACAACACCTCACACGTGGGGAGCTGTAGGTCCTCTTTCTCTCTGAACTTGCACATGATTGCATCTTCAGGCTCTCAGGGGAAGTGCAAAGCATTCTTCTGAAAAGCTGCTGCTGAAACCTGTAGGATGCCAGCATGTTTGCATTTGCCCATTGGCCCTGAAAGGGTTACCAGGAGAGAATGCTGAAAAGGAGGTTTCTGGAGACGTTTGCAAGGCCAAAGCCACCTGCAAGGTGAGGGACTGGAGCTCAGCAGCTGCTGCCTGTTTGTCCTGCAGTCAGTCCCAGTTCAGCTTCCAACGTCTTTAGGAAGACCCTGGACCCGGACCTCAGAGAGCAGGCCGAACCAGGCTGGCTGGAGGCCTGGAGCAGTTCCACCATAAGGGAGACATTGGGATGGGGAGCAGAGAGTGACCGTGAGGTCCTGCAAGATGCTGTGTGCCGGGTGACTCGCCCTGAGCCCTTCCACACGCCTGTCTCCTCCTTCCCCCACTTTCTGGCTTGCTCTTTAAAATAGTTTACATTCACTTTAAAAACTTTAATGGGATGCTTCTGCCAGACTTGAAACAAGACTTTGTGTTGCCATTGCAAAACAGTGGCGGTGGCAGAGACTCCCTTGGGGGCCACCCCACCCACAATGCCCCGTTCTGAGGAAGGCTCCCTCCTCAGGGCCTGCTGGGGTCTCCGAAGACCCCAGGATTCGCATCCCTCACAGCTTTTAGGCAGCAGTGAATCCGGCTTAAAGCTGAGCAGGGCTTGCAGCAGAAGCAGCAGTGAACCATGTGGTCCTGACACGGTTGGGACCGTGGTGGGAAACCTTTCGGGGAGTGGTGGAGAATTGCATCTGAATGGCCTGACCAAACAGGTCATTGATTCTCATCTCAGGACCAGCCCAGATGGAAGATTATGCATTTGTTAATTATTAAAGGGTTTTGTGGGGGGATTTACAATCTGATTAACGTGGGCAACCTCTCTGAAAATAGGTGAAAGTGATGTGGTTTTCTCCCAGACCCGCTTTTCTGTTGCTTTTGTCACAGTGTGCCTGGGTTCCTGAAGGCCTAAGACCCAGAGGAAAATGAAGACTGAAGAAGCATGAGGAAACCAAGAGGAAACTGAGAGGAAACCGAGAGGCCGGGAGTGGCTGGAGAAGGGGACGCAACAGGTAAGAGAAGCCCACGCTGCACCACCCAGCGAGAGCATGGAATGCTCCGTGTCCGCTCTGCTCAGAGGAGTTCGCTGTTCGATCCAGTTGGACTAAGCTGACAGCATCAACTTAAAGGTACAAAATGCCAGGGCTTTCCAGCTCCTGCGTGTGCCAGAACAGCGCTGCTACTGGTCACCCACAGTCCTGATGGATCACCGAGAGGGTCGACTGGCTGTGAGGATGAGTGTTGCCAGAATGCACGTGTGAATCAGGCCTCTTGATACTGTTGCTGCTGACTGCTGAACTTGTAGTATTCTTACACTTCTGGATTCTTTACATGATAGAATAAATGTTACATAAAAGTAAAGGTTTCCCCTTGACATTAAGTCCAGCCATGCCTGACTCTACGGAGTGGCGCTCATCTCCATTTCCTAACTGAGGGAGCCAGCGTTTGTCTGCAGTCATGTGGTCATGTGGTCATGTGGCCGGCATGACTAAACACCGAGGTGCAGGAACGCTGTTACCTGCCCACCGAAGTGGTACCTTTTCATCCACTTGCATTTGCATGCTTTCGAACTGCAAGGTTGGCAGGAGCTGGGACGGAGCAACGGGAACTCACCCCATGTGTGGATTCGAACCGGCGACCTTTCAATCTACCAGCCCAGCAGCACAAATCACTGCGCCACCTGCAGTCTCAGCCATGTTACATGCATAGTGCTTAAAACCCAGATCTGGCATTCAGTCTCTCTTTGAAAGGAACTTTCCTTGGAAACCTGATAGTCTCCTTTTACTGAATCAAGAACCGCTTTAGCATGGTCACACTTTCTATGATCCGTCTGTGCTTGGACTGCAAACCTCCAGCAGAGCAAAGATTGTGCAGAGTTGGGCTTTGAAAAGGAACTGTAAAACCCCATCCATTTTCTTGTGTTTCTGTCCTCTGGGAAGTAGCAAGCCTGGATTTGGAGATACGAAAACCTGGGAAAATGAGGCAAGAGCCTGTCTCCATGCAAAGTTTTAAAAAAGCACTGGGAAAAAAGTGGTGGAGGGGGGTGTTCCAGCAATTTTTAGCTTCCCCCACCACAGGCTTTTAACAACTCGATGTGCATTTTGCAATGATGTTGGTCTATATGGTGTGTTATGTAACAGAACGTGATGTTACATTGGAAGGAATGTTACTCTTAATAGTAACCCATAAATTCATTTGCTTTCTCACCTTTATATGTGTCACTCCTGTGGAATGACCTTATTTTTCTTTTCTGTAAAACAATCAACCTGTATTTCAATGGGAGAAAGCTTTGGGTCTGAGACAAACAGGGAGATCTGAGATTTCACTCTCAGTTCTGTTCCATCCTAAGTGGGATAAAACAGCTTGGATCTGATGTCATGATCGTCAGTGTACTCAGTCCCAGGAACCTGCCTTTCACCTCATTCTTTATTTGGGGATGCACTTTAAACTTTTTCCTATAGGGTTTTACACTAGAAATGCTGCTTCTGCAACTCACTTTAGGTAAAAGTTGGACCTGGGATCAGACCAGATGCATGAGTTGAAGTCCAATACTCCAATTTACCTATGCTTAACATACAGATGACACAAGGAAATGAGATAAGACCATGCACACTGTGCATTATACCAGCTTATATACAACCAATAACAGGAAAAATAAAATTTGTGACAAATAATTACTGCACAAATTGTGGTTGCTATCATCTATATCAAAATTAGGTTTTGATTTCAGGAAAGAGGAGATAAAATAGTTGCAGAATGCATGGTCCTCTAGATGTTGTAGGACCATAAGTCCCATCAGCCCCAGTAAGCATGGCCAATAGATCAGAATGATAGGAGCTGTAGTCCCACAACATCTGTAGGGTTAGTTTCCCAAACCCTGAAAGTTTCAAATTTCCCAACTTTTCGTTTGCATTTTCTCAGTCTTATCAAGATTGTCCCCTCTGATTTTCCAGACTTTCAATAACCATTGCATAGGTAATGGCATAGAAGTGCCTTCATGATTGAGCTATCAGGATTAACATAGAAACATAGAAACAGAGCAAGTCAGAAGGGGTCTCCCGGGCCATCTAGTCTGACCTCTGGCTCCAGCCGGCTCCACTCACAACATGCCTGCCATGTGCATGTCTAGCCTATCCTTGAACACCCACACCGATGGGGCCTCAACCACCTCCCGGGGAAGCCCATTCATACCCTCGGGGTCCTATCAGGAAGTACTTCCTGACATCTAAATTGAACCTTCGTTCCTTGAGCTTGGCTCTGTTGGAGTGCGTCCTGCCTTCCTCTGCAGGGGAGAACAGGTCTCTGCCCCCTTCCATGTGATACCCCCTCACATACCTGTATGTCGCCAACAGATCCCCTCTGAGTCTCCTCTTCTCCAGGCTGAAGAGACCCAGTTCCCTCAGTCTTGCCTCATATGGCATCCCCTGCAAACCGGCCACCAACCTTGTGGCCCTTCACTGCACTGACTCCAACCTGGCTATATCCTTTCTGTAATGAGGGGCCCAAAACTGAGTACAATACTCCAGTTGCAGGCACACCAGAATCGTATAGAGTGGTAGTAATACCTCTCTTGATCTAGAAGCCACACTTCTGGCTATGCAACCAAGGGTGGCGTTCGCCCTCTTGACCACCGCATCACACTGCTGACTCATGTTCAGCCTGCAGTCAACCAGCACCCGGAGGTCCCTTTCACAAGTGCTGCTGTCCAGCCACTTGTCCCCTAACCTTTACTTATGACACCTATTCCTATGCCCCAAGTGCAAGACCTTGCACTTATCCGCATGGAACACCACCCTGTTGTCTCCTGCCCACTTCTACAGCCTGTCCAGATCCTTTTGGATCTGGAGTACCTGCTCCTCTATTGTTGCAGTGGTGAATAGAATCTCTTTGGAGCAGCCCAAGAACAGTGGCTGTTAGACCCCGAATTCAGTGGGGGCAATCTTTGCCTCCCCATCTTCCTGCCCTGACTTCAGGACAGCTCTTACCTTGCCTTCTCTAGTCTTCTCCCCTCCACAACCCCTGCATGGGGAAAAGGGCAGAGAAGGACAGCAAAAACTCCATGAAACTTGAGTTGGTTTAGAAAGGATTCACAGGTGGTCTCTCATCCAGGTATGGACCTGCCTGGGAATAGATGAGAAATGATTTTGGTTCACATTTTATTGTAGACTTTTCACATATGTGCCTCCCAAGTCTATGCTTGAACTGGAATTCAGTTATATGGCAATATTCACACTTTCTAAAACATTGCAACGCAGCTTGCAAATACAAATGTGTACAAAAATGCATATATTACAGAAGAATATAGCCAGGGTGTATTATTTCCCATATATATCATGGGAAAATATATACACATTTGCTTTCCTTTGGGGGAAAAATCGTATGTGGGATTGCCTGCATTTGGAGAGGTGTGTACAAAAGTATGCAGGTTTGAAAAATGCAGAGGTTTTTTTTTTTTTAAATTGCAACTTTAAAGTGCAATTTTTAAA